TCAGTCTGGAAGGTCGGGATGTTATTGTAGATGGTTCGGCACCAAGGCAGCACGTTAGGCTGCACATTCGATCTTCTAAAACGGACCAACAGGGACAAGGTTGTTATATCCTCATGCCAGAAGCTGACGGTTGTCCATTGTGCCCCGTGTAGGCCGTTCTAGACTATATGGCCATCAGGCCGCAATCCAGCGGCGCCTTTTTCTGTCGGTTTGATGGGAATCATGTGACTAGGCGGGAATTTACGGCGGTTTTAAGGAAGTGTTTGTCCTTTTTGGATCTGCCAGTAGCACGATTTACATCACATTCTTTCAGAATAGGTGCGGCCACATCAGCTGCTATGGCCGGTTTTGACTCAGGAGAAATTCAGAACATGGGGCGCTGGTCCTCGGACGCGCATAAGAGATATGTGCGTATCAATATGCTGCCTATTACATAATTCATGATGTATTGTACATTTACTTCTTTGTTGTTGTTTTTATTTCCGAAATCAACAAAATATTTATACATGTACATAGACAAACAAATCGGTGGAAAGCCCAATTCAACAGTGTTGATAGAACACCACTGTTCTTCCTTGGGGTCTTTACACTACAATATTAACACACAAGCGACATGAAGCAGAATAGAAACAAAACCTAAATACAACTTAATACCAAAGTTAAAAAAAAAAAAAAAAAAAAAAAATTATCATTCGAGTTAAGGAAGTGTGTTAAGAAGAATTATCATTTCTTCGGAGAGGCCTATGTTTAAATAGAATGTATAATTTACTCATGTTTATGCATGAGGCAGTTGAAGATCAATAATGTTACAATTTATTGGTGGTTTTGACACGAGTAAATCATAATCTTCAACAACAATGAGCTGCCGGAAGTTTTTCTTTTTTTTCTTTCATTCCTGCTGTAGGTTGCCAGTCGCGTACGATCCTGCTCATAGGCGATTCCATGATCCACTGGTTAGCCGCCTTCGCGCATCGTAAGGGAAAACAAGGTTTGGGGTCGGCAGCCAACGTCGTTTGGAGAGGAAGGAGGGGCCTTAAGCTAGGTCAACTAAGTGGACATGTCCAATGGGTGCTGCCCGGTTCCTCTCCGTCGCACATCGTTCTGCACGTGGGGACGAACGACGTCGGGCAAGCTAAAAAACACGAATTGTTCTTGCTTTTGTATACAACACTCGGACGATTGCACGAACATTTCCCCAATGCCCGCATCATTTGGTCGGATATTTTGCCGCGCAGGACCTACAGCGGCTTCAGTAAAGACGAGCAGCCCAAAATTGATCGGACGCGGCGAGCTCTAAACAAGCACGCCAGGCGCATATGCCGCACGATCGGGGGCAGTGCTTTGACTCACCTGGGCATCAGGCACGAGCGGCGCGAGCTGTTTAGGAGAGATGGTATTCATCTCTCCGAGACCGGAAATAATATGTTTCTTCATAGCCTTATTAAGGGGTTGGAAAACATGGCATCAAATAAAGGACCTTACTTACTGATGACGTAGAAAACAGCGTCATCAAATCTCAGAGAGACGATCTGCAGAAAATCAAGGATGAATCAATAAATAACCATACATCTAAAACATCTATCACTGTTCAAGTATGGTTACCACATACGTCAACGTCAAGGGAGTGACTAGTATACGCCATGGTATACGCCATGCTTGATACACAATCTGACACGACCTTCATCCTACGTGAGACAAAAGAGAATATGGGCATTGTTGGTTGGAGGTTAATCTACTGCTGTCAACCATGAAGAGAGAGTTGCCAGTGAGAAGATAAAGGGTCTCAAGGTGAGGGCATTGAATGGTGATAAAGTAATTGCCTTACCTCCAACGTACACCAACGTACAATCTTGTATTGGTCGAAAGATGAACATTTGACTCTTCGGTGCATTGCTCATCCATAAGTTGGCAGTGCAGAGTAGGGGCAGAAAGTGTTTCTCCTCTGAATATTCCCCAGAAACACTCAAGGCAGCAAAGAGTGCAACTTATCAAGCCCTGTCAGGCCTATCTACACACCTGTAATGGTCAGTAACAATTACAAGTAGCAAAATGTGTAGCCAGTAGCCAGAGCCCGGCATTTCATTTCGTTTGTGCCATAATGCTTCAGTTGCACCCTAACCCCCGCAGAGGCGCTACCCCTGCTAGAAAATTCTTAATTCATATTTTCAAATGTTGGCAGGTATGCCAAGACATTATGCCTGCCAACAGAAGACATATTCCAACGCCTCAGGTCACTAAGAAGATCCCGTACTTGAAGGAAGTTGCAGGACACTTGCAGGTCACCGATCATAGGCTGTGAGATAGCACTGCTTATAGGATACGATTGCCTGAGCACCCTCACTCCTCGAGCTATCATTCCCCCTCCGCCATGGAGGTAAACAGTATGCATAGCTCCATAGAAACGGTCAAGAAGAAAGTCCCTGTGTACCACCCTGACCAGTGGTCAACTATTGCCAGTATGGCTAGAAGGAACAAGCCCTATCATATCAGACACCTTCACCATCATGAGTTTGTTGATCTTAAAAGGCTCGATTCAGAGCTTCTCCAAAATATGGTAAAGGACATTTCAGGTAATCGTGTCTACAAGACCAGAATCAAGCACCTGAAATTTGAGAAGCAGAACCCCCATGTCATGCAGTTTAGGTACTCATTTGAGGAAGAGATGCAAGAGATTAGGGTGTCTTCCTCCCGCAAGATGAGTAACTTGAGACTTGAAGTTCTTCATCATGATCTGCTCAAGATCAGTGCAGTCAAGAAGGCCGGCTGACCTTGTTTCCTCGTGTGACCAGAATGTTATACCTCATGCATACCAGGCATTCTGCGTATGACCACATTCGAGAAACTTCTGCTCAATAACAGAAAGAGAAGAAATACGCACAACATAGAGCAATGCTGCAGCAACATACTTGTTTCTGTTCTGCCCAGACTGATCTTGGATGGAGTGTCATAGGCATGGTAGAAGATGACTACAAAGATAACGACTCAATTGGTGTAAGTCATTGTATGATGGTGATGGTCTTTCCTGAAGAAGTACAGATAGACATGGTTTTTGTATTCTGCTTGTTTTTTTTTTACTGCTTGTAATGTCGTCTACTCAGTGTTGTGTTGTAAGATGCAAATTCTGAGAAACGGCAATGAAAGTCAAGGATGTATTTGTACAGATTCAGTGTATGATAACCTTACGGAAATACGGAATGATTTCGTTAATGACACACATTATGTATGTTTGCCTTGTTTTTCTCTGTCTTTCTGTTGTACCACTATTTATATCTAATTATTTATATAGTTTAGGAACAAGCCTTTGATAAGCCATTGTTTGTCTTCTTACATTTTGATACTTCTGTTCTGTTGTGTTATTTGTTGGAGTTGACTTTGTATTGTAAATGTTTGTTATTGTGATTTTTATCAAATGTGGAAATAAAATGAATTGAATTGAATTGAATCTAGATATCAATCTACAGTAAGAGAGGAGATGGCACCTCATAAGGTCATCAAGCTTCTGGAAGCAGACTCATCAGGTCATCAAGCTTCTGGAAGCAGACTCATCAGATCATCAAGCTTCTGGAAGCAGACTCATCAGGTCATCAAGCTTCTGGAAGCAGACTCATCATGTCATCAAGCTTCTGGAAGCTTCTGGAAGCAGACTCATCAGGTCCTCAAGCTTCTGGAAGCAGACTTCACCCCTAAAAGGGCACAACATTTTTGCTATTTTTGCTTGTTTCACGTTGTATATCATCTTATGTTAAGGCCTTCTTGCCCACCTATTACTATTGTTACGTCCTTTACCATTACAACAACTTCAACCAAATGTTAGTATTATTTATGGGAACCTATAATCTACGAGCTGAGCTTTTTAATAGCTTCCTCACAATTCACCCTGTATAACCTTCTATTCAATACAATTAATTTCGACGTCTTTTCAAAGAATTAATTATATAAAGTGACACTTTTAGTATATTTCATATTATGTTCTAATTTTGTCAATTATGTGAATTCTTTTTTGGGAAATGTGAAACATATAAACTTGAACTTGAAACTTGAAACAGCCTTACTCACAGAATGATGTGAACTTTCCGAGACTGATGGAGGACCAGATTCGTATCACAGATGATGGACGCTATGAAACGCCTCTTCCTTTTAAGGAAGCTAATCCTAAGCTGCCCAACAACAGAGATATGGCTGAGAAGCAGCTTTAAGAGAAAATTTGAGAACGTCTTTGAGTATCACAGGATATATACTCCACAGATTCAGCAGTTCAGCAGCCTATAACAAGCTTTGTATAGTGTTTGATTGTAGTGCACAGTACAAGGGCGAAGCACTGAATCCGGAGCTGTATTACGCAATAGGATATGACCTCATTGCAGGTACGTACCGCTCAGCGCATCAAAATTATACTGATAACATTTGTGTCTGGAGAATTATTTCCTCGGTTACGGACAAACTTCATCGTGAACGAAAAGGAAACATGACTGAAGAAGACAATGAGAGCGACAAAGAGGTTGCATTAATGATCAATCAGACAGTGAAGGACTACAGAAAGGAATTAGAAGAAATAACTTTACCTGCATTTAGAAAGTGCTTCCCTAATGGTACTTCATACTCTCCTAAGATCGAAGGTCGTAAATAAGAAAATTGACCACAGTAACGTTAAACACTATCAGTTCGAGCCAGAGCCCGGGCCAGAGCTTGATGAGGCATATACGATGCTTTCATATACATTTTATCCATACAGATTTCCCAGAGCTACTTTAACTAAATGAGCTAATTAAAAGAGAGCTAAAGGAGTTCATGAAGCTAATGGAGCAATCAATGAAACAAGTTGTTCTGAAAGTCTTGCTATGCAGAATACCTCTGCATTCAAAACAGAGCTGTTCACTTTTTAAAACCCACAAGCCATAAGTAATCGACCACTCAAAGCCACACCTCCGGTCAAAATTCCCTAGTGGAATGTTCCGGAGGAATCCCATCCAAGATCCAAGATTAAGTCAATTTAGCTCCCCTAAAGTGAGACCTTTGTCTGTTTGTGTTTATTCGACCTCATGTGCATTCACAGTATATATTTGCGTAAACAGAGACATTATTTTGCTCAATAAGAACCTCAGAAAATGGTGCTTTTGACAATGAACATCACAACTTTTATGGCCTAAGATATGAAAGACAACTATCTTTAAATCCGACAAACCAACACAATCTAGCTATTCCATATAATCTGGAGAGAAAACTGAGAACGGACAGTCTTGCCCAGATCACTTAATTATCTCATTCTCTTCAGAAATTGAATCCTGTTCAGATTTGACTAATCTGTCACCTACACAAGTCATCCTAATCAGAGGCTTGAGAGTCTTGTGCAAGTCATTTCTCCAACATAGATCGTTCAAACTGTTAATTTTTTCATTCATTGTTTCACCTCTGTTTCATTACAACAAGCTATTATATTCACTTAAACAGTAGCTAGAGATTGAGTCAAGTGTGAATGATTCCTTCAAGTGAATTAGACCCCTGAAATTTGTATAATTCTATTCAGCATTTGAGAGACCTGTTCACATGTCACCTCACAAATCATTCTAATCTCTCCAACAGCGGGCTGGAGACTTGAATGTGAATTGTCCTGACACACATCGATCAATAACACATCTCCTTCTATTCATCTTCTGAGCCCTGTTCATATTCGATCCATTTGTCACCTCCACAAGCCATCCTAATTTCTTCTACAGTAGCTGGAGACTTAAATGTGAATTGCCCCTACACACATTGATCAATAACACATCTCCTTCTATCCATCTTTTGAGCCCTGTTCATATTCGATCCATTTGTCACCTCCACAAGCCATCCTAATTTCTTCTACAGTAGCTGGAGACTTAAATGTGAATTGCCCCTACACACATTGATTAATAACACATCTCCTTCTATTCATCTTTTGAGCCCTGTTCATACTTGATCAATCTGTCACCTCCACAAGCCATTCTAATCTCTTCTACAGTAGCTGGAGAGTTGAGTGTGAATGGTTTCTATTCATCTTTTGAGCCCTGTTCATACTTGATCAATCTGTCACCTCCACAAGCCATCCTAATTTCTTCTACAGTAGCTGGAGAGTTGAGTGTGAATGGGCCCATCATGCCCTGATCCTGCCGTGATGACGTGATTGCATGCTTGATGGCAAAGAGTACAGACATGGCCAGGACGATAGAACACTCTCCGATGGCCTGGACAAGAATCAAAGAACACAAGAAAACTTTAAGAATATGAAGCGAGCAATGAATGAAAAGTGGGGAAATTTATCTCTCATTCCCAAGTTATAAACATGTACTTCATTTGTTGTTAGTGCATTTACATTTATTCAAGATTCAAACATATACCAAAAAATAAGAAATAAATAATAAACAATTCTTACAGAATTCTTACAGAAAATGAAAAATCAAATTTTGATTTCCAATCATGAATATCTTGATAGTCAGACAGGCGATCAACTTGTAAAAGTCATGTGATTCCTGACTGACCTAAAGGGTTATAATTATGATTGCAGCATGAGCTAAATCCAGAATTTCGCTTCAGAATATGAGGCAATTAATGTTACTGAGTCACTTTAAACTACACTTACCTTTGAGGAGTAGACCGTGCTGATATTGTCCATGCCCTCCCTCAGCAGCGTCACGTTGAATTCAGCCGGTATGTCGGACGCTAGGGGGATCTTGTAGGTTTGCGGAGCTTCAGTGAGAAGGGCTCCCTCTCTTGACATCTTAAGTTGTTCTATTGTATAGTATCCATATGCCTGAATGAAGCCTCCTTCAATCTGCAATATCAAGCAATTATTGACTTACTAGCTACCTCACATGGGGGGTGTTTCACAAAGGTCCTAACAAATTATGAAAAGCCATTAGCATCTTTGAAAATATTTTGTTAAAGTTATTTTAAAAGGCATAAAATGTTGATTCAAATCATTCTTATTTTCTAATATCAAGGAGATTTCATGTTCTTTATGTGGAATTTATGAAAGTCTACAAATACTTGAATGTTTGCTTTTGAATATATTCTATTTGAAAACTACAAATGGCTCTCCATAATTTCTAACTCCAACTTAGTGTTAAGCTCAACTTAGGATCTTTGTAAAACAGCCCCAAACTCTTATCAACAATATTCCTTTGTGAAGGAAGTTTTGAATTACTCTGCCTTGTCTGACTGTTGTTCTAGATATAATCCCCGTTTCATGATATCCAACTTGGATCACTTCACAACTTTTTTTCTGATTATTCTCCTTTCACTCAAAGTAATTTACTATCAAAAGTGGTGTTTAGCATAACATGATGACGAATCTGAAGTGTTAGTAGTTGAGAGTTAACTATGAAAGCAGACACACAGAGAAAGATTATTTTTTGAACAGATATGTGTAACCTTTTCTCTCCTCATGACCTTTCCACCCTGCCCTCTCTCTCTCACCCCCTCTCTTGCTCTTCTCTGTCTATCCTTCTCTCCTGCTCCTTGCTATACTTTTGCATGACCGGGGGGGGGGGGGGGGGGGGGGGGGGTTTCACAAAGACTAAGATCGACTTTAAGTTGGACTTAACTATGGCAGGTTGTTCATGTCACTGTTTGCTTTCACCATTATGATCTTTTGATAATATTTTTCTTTCAATAATGAACTATCAAAAAAATGTAAATTCTGTAGATTTGTCACCATGATTTGTACATGTACATGTACATCTCTTGAGAGACCAATGCCAGTAAATGGTGAGAGTAAACAGTGGCATGAATGGCCTGCCATAGTTAAGTCCAACTTAAAGTTGATCTTAGTCTTTGTGAAACACTCCCCAGGAACCCCCAAAGTTATGTCAGTACAGTTACTCTAAGGGCTCACAGGCCACAAATATTTGCTTATCTTGAAGCTCCATTTCTGTTAAAAATCAGTTTAAACCAAAAAGTTTTTCATAACTTCATAAGCTATCCCTTACCTAGGACTTAAGGCTTAAGGCAAGTATTAATTACCTGGCCAATGTCGAGGGCTGGATTGATGCTTTTTCCTATCTCCAAGACGAGGTCGGTACGGAGAAGACGATGCTCACCAGTCAGACAATCAATCTCAACATGGGACACCCCGACACCGTACGTGTTGTAAGTAAAAGGCTTTCCCTTCTGGGTTCCCCAATCCCAATCGATACCTTCCATTCTAATGCAAGGATAGATACATTCAATCAATATTGCGATTAGAAAAGTATCACGATAAATTAGAATTTGAAAGAGAAGCAAGAAATCAATGCTGAATAAAAAAAACCTGGGCCCTGTCTTATAAAGAGTTACGATTGATCCAAATCAATCGCAAGTTTGCAGTCACCTATCTCTTATGTACATAGTTACAATTGATATCAAGCACAAATAAGACGGGGCCCTGGCATAGAATTACATCTTTACAATGTTGCAGTTTGAACAAAGTCACAAATATTCGAGAAAAAAAGCAAGACATCAATGCTAAATAAAAGAAACCTGGGGGGTGTTTCACAAAGTTTTTAAGTCGAACTTAACTCTAAGTTGGACTTAAATATTATGGAGAGCCATTTGTAGCCTTATAATGAAATGTATTCAAAATAAAAAAATCAAGTATTTTAGACTTTTCATAAATTCCACATCAAGAACATGAAATCTCCCATGATAATAGAAAATATGAATGATTTGAATCAACATTTTATGCCTTTTAAAGTAAATTTTGCAAAATATTTTCAAGGATGCTAACGGCTTTCCATAATACTTAGAGATAAGTTCAACTTAGGATCTTTGTGAAACACCCCCCAGGCATGTCTCACATCTTTTACTCTCTTGAATCAATTCAAAGCCTTTAGTACTTATATTAGATTTCATGAATTAAAAATATTGAGAGTTGGAAGAGCATTCAATCATATGCTACACAAATGTAATGCCCTTTAGGCTTTCAACAGAAATGATCATTGTGTTGCCAATTTGTGTTTGATCTCTGCAAGATCTCATATTTCAGAACTTAGGTCTTTCTATCCTCTTATCACAATTTATCAAATATTCACATATATATTTCACTGTTTTTCTGCTATCATTCAAAACTATTGCAGCCCTAATGTCCTTTGGAAAGACATTAATGTACATTTGTCAAACTTGACCTGGCTGTACCTGGCAGGAATTGAATCCTTAAAATGTTTGAGCGTTCAATGGCAGCTGTACTACAGCCAGGGTAATAATGATAGAGCGCCAGGAGTGGCATTTTTATTATTAGTAGAAGTAGTGGTATTTAAACTAGCTTCATGTCAGAGTGGATATAAACAACTCTTATCAAGAGGAAATTTAGGAGACAATTAGTTACTCACTTGTGGAAACCTGTAGCCGATAGGCTAACCTTGGCACAATAAGCAGCAAATATCTGAATGAGAAATAAAGGAAAATCATAAGTGATTGTTTCAGGAAGGAAGCTACAGAAAGAGGAGAGACAAAAATAAGAAATAACAAGACAAATGCAAATTCATCTTCAGCTATGCTTCAACTTAGAGCTTAACAGAGTAAGATTTGCTACTGTGCATGTATATGCTACATGTACATGTATTTGAATTAAATACATGTAATTCAATTCAATTCAATTCAGAACTTTATTTCAGACTCATCTACACAAGGCAGAGGTCCATAAAACATATGTTACATAGATATATAGGGAGTATAAACATGATGAATATAATAACAACAAATCTTACAAAGAGTCTAACTAAACTTTACTAGGCCTACGTACAAACAATCTAAACTCTAAGAGTAACATGTAACCTGCATACATGTATGTAAGGTTGATAACAGCATAACAATCTAACTCTAAGCTGTACCTGTAACTGTAAGATTAAAATAAGTACATGTATAACAATCAATAACAATCTATTGAAGTTGTATCTTGTAACAATCCATCTCCGTTCAACTAACCAGAACGATAAACTAATAATAAATAACTATTATAAAAAACAAACAAACAAGGATACTGGAATCCTTGGTAACAGGAACATAATGATCAATTGCCATGTGTCAGCAGGCTATTCAGCCAAAATCTCCAGAGGCCCGATGTGTACCCTAAGACAACTATACGAGGGGTTCACTAACATCTTTAAAATACCATTCTCAGACACATCCACTCTCTGGATGAACTTATACATAAGATTTCGTAATACAGCCGAACAGGCTGGAACATTCAACTCAGCAAACATTTGACTAGCACTAAAGTATCTAGGTACCCTAAGAAGCATTCTCATGGCATCATTATAGGCAACAGTAAGCCTGTACAAACTGCTCTTTTAAAATTACACCACAGATGCACAGTGTACAGAGGTGTACAGTATGCCCTAAACAAAGCCACCTTCACATCTGGAGAACACATATGAAATTTCCTAACAAGCAAAGACTAATGACTGATATTTTTACATCTATGTAAAAATCTGGATGCGCTTGGAAAGTACAGACTAGTATGAAAGAATGATATGCTTTCGTTTAGAAGAAAGTTCTTTCCCAAGCAGCTTTTCAGGGAAAGGTAAAGGAAATATTCACAAAGGTGAATAGGTTGGTCATATAGATCTATCGAGTCAACTCGCTATAAACCAAATCTGACATGATTAGAAGAAGTGAAAGACCTACCCATTGCTCCCAGCTCCCCGATGAATTGGCATCCTTGAAGGGCTTCAACCGATCCAGTAGGGTTTCACAAGCATTCTGTAGGATCATATTGAAAGGACATTGAATAACTATTGGGTGACGTTGGATGAACACTGAATGAACAATAAATGAACATTGAATGGACATTGAATGAACAATGAATGAACATTGAATGTACTTTGAATGAACATTGCATGAAGACTGACATTGAATTAACATAGAAAGAGCATTGAATATTGACGTAACAAATAAAAGATATTTTGGCTTCCTCCTCTCCTACATGTAAACCGATGGCTTTTGTGGTCTAAGTCTAAAAGATAAATAAATATATAATAGGATTTTGCTATTCTGTTCCAACTACTCTTTCCATTTTTGTACCTGGTTTTCATGATTTAATTTTATTTCTTCAAGATAATCTGCCTCCTTCAATACTGAAGATTCTTGCAGATGCTGTATATACTCGGCCTGATTGGGGCGTGCAGGTGGACCACTACACCGGGGTTTCCCCCTACTCTTATATGAATAGTGCAGTGGGTTCATAACGTGCAAGGGTGGTGACTCTCAAGTACATTGGGCCTCTATTTAACATCTTATCTGAGGGACGGAGTGTTTTCACTATAGCCTGCGTCTATGAAACAAGGGGAGGGGCACGTTAACACACAACGCAGGCTTCAGTCATCCGCCTGGGTGGGATTCAAACCTGAGATCTTTGGTTCGACAGGCAGACGCTTTACCGACTGAGCCATGCAACTTGCCAATTACATGTAGTAAGAACTGTTCACCTTTACAGCCCCTCCACAGAGCTCTGTACATATACTACCAGCCGAGGAAGTGGTGTTAGGGACACGATCTGTTGAGGTATCCGTGGTATGTATCTTCTCCACTGGTAGACCAAGAACCCTACTCGCAATCTGATATAAATACAAAAACGATCAGAAATTCGGTATTAAAGGTTTGATGGGGTAAAGTATGATTGGGAGCACTGCATGTACACATTAATTACAAATCAAGCTGTAAACTGCAGCAAAACTATTAAGATTGTAATGAAGAAATCAAATTTTAATAATCTAAGTAAATATTTATTGTTATACTGTAGGTTTCAAAGTTAAGACAGAATTCACAATCGAAGAAAAAAAAAAAAAAAAAACATCATGCGGTAGCCTTAGTGAAATACCGTATTTGCTGGCGTAAAGGCTGCAGTATTTTCTGAAGAGAAAATATCAAAAGCCTTGGTGCGGCCTTTGCGCAACAACTAAAAATTCAGCGGTCAAAACAGCACGTCCATTCGGACATATGGGACTACAATGGATATACAATGGTACAGGACATTTCTAGAATAACTTGCCGACAATTTTGTGTTGCATTGTTGACATGAAGACAAAAATAAACTGCATAATTTATATTTCTAACAAAGTCTACCGGTAGATCTAGATCTTAGTTTGTGCTATTGCATCGCTAAAAAGTAAAAGAAGAGACCGTTATGGAGCTAGCTGCTGCGCAACTCAACTGCGCATCCAGCCAAAGTCACAATTTTGTATTACACTGCACATCGTGTTAGGGGTATATGTAGGATACCAAATCTGCCTGCGATACAGTACTAGCTTAAAAATCGATGAAGATTTGCTAAATTACGATCTTTTTTTAGGTGAACTTCCTGTAAATTTATAAGAATATTGATGAATTTGGTATCAGTTTGTAGAAAAAATAGTGTTCTACAAGAAAATTATGATTATTTTGTTTGGTCCATTTGATTTTTTTTTCCTTTCCCTCTACGAAATGTCAAAGTTGGGGGTGATGTCTTATTGCCAGCAAATACAGTATTTATCTTTAATAGGAACCTTATTTAATAGAGGAATGGAGGGAATTTTTTTTTTAAAGAACACCAAACAAGGATAAATAAAAGAAATGAAATTCAACACTAACATAGTACTATTTAATTTGTTCTACTTTGGGTTTTGACACTTTCAACAAGGTGTCAAAGCAAAGTATTAATTTCCGATACTACTCAAATTCTGAACTTGAACCTTATCCTTACCTAAAACCCAATTGCAACCCTAATCCTAACCCTAAACCTTTAACAAAATACATGTAAAACCCAGAGTGATTGTCACAGGAGCAAATGTTAGATCACCAAGATATGCCAGCACTGTTTAGTGTGTAGTGGTGATTATTTTACCTGACTGCTAAGAAAGCATAAATGCTTGTTAGTAAGCAACCAGACGGCCAACGTCTTTAGGTCCTCTCCGAGAGACCTGGTAATGAGGATTAATGCCTTACCAAAGGGCACTAGCGCATCGCCTTGGTTTCGAACCCGGGTCGCCAGATTACGAGACCACGACTCTACCAACTGAGCTATCGCGCCGCCTTACCTGTATGATCTTGGTGTGTAGACCCTGCCCCATTTCGACCCCACCATGATGAACAAGAACAGAGCCATCGGTATAGATGTGTACGAGAGCTGCTCCCTGGTGGTAGAATGGAGAGCATTGATTAGAGGTTTGGGGGTTTTTTCACAAAGATCCTAAGTTGAACTTATCTCTAAGTTGGACTTAAAAATTATGGAAAGCCATTTGTATCCCTAAAATGAAATATATTCAAAAGCAAAAATTTAAGTATTTTAAACTCTTTATAAATTCTACATCAAGAACATTAAATCTCCTTGATAATTGAAAATGTGAATGATCAACATTTTAGGCCTTTTAAAATAACTTTTACAAAATATTGTTATAGATGCTAACGGCTTTCCATAACTGTTAAGTCCAACTTTCTTTGTGAAACACCCCCTGGTTTCTACTGAGTTTACTTTTTTTGCCTCTCTACACAGTCACTTGCTTGCCACACATGCAGTTTTGCACTAAACAATAGGCACCAATGGACGGTAGGATGGCATTGTGCAATGGCAAAATGACCCATTTCCAGTCTTGCTTAGTTCTATGACAACCTTTTTTTAAACACAGGTATAGATAAATGTTGTCCTGGAAACAGTTAGTGCTGTGCTAGGGATCAAACATATTAACAAGAACACCGTAAAAAGTGAGGAAAACTTAACAAGACTGTAATATTGAATTAATCTGAAATAAATTGGATCAAACGTCACATTAATCCAGTCATGAATGAAAATAGAGAATACAACACACCTGGTTCATAGGGGTCCAATCATAGAAGCCAGTTCCATATATCATGGGGGTGATTGCTATACCCTGCTTCTTCCAACGATTGCTCCTACACAAGAAAAGAAGAAAATTAGAAACTTAATATACACAAGGATGGAAACAAATTGATTCCTTTCATCAGGACTGTTCATCTCTGTTGAAAGTACTCAAACCACAAACTTAAAGGTATAGACCAGTTTTGGAAACGCCCCCCTCTCAAAAATTTATATGGAAGCTCTTATTACCAATTATGTGAAAGAATATGTTTTGACTAAAACGTGATTATACCAACCGCCTTCTAATTGATATATTTGGTAAATTATCATATCGATCAGGCTTGGATAGATATCGTGAATGCAATTCAACGTTGAACATTTTGGCATATATTTCTATTTGTTTTCAAATTTAAGTTGAAGTATTGCCATCTACACTGTAAACCTCTGAAGGCAATATTTAAACAATATTGAATGGATATTTTTAACCCAAAACCCTTGCACCGCAATTTTACCACTACCGGTCTATACCTGTAACAAACAAACAAACAAAAATATCACCGTCTGTCCAAACATGCAATATTTATTGTGTTACAGAGCCCTGTTTCATAAAACTTATTATCAATATTAAAGGTATTGCAAAGTTTTGGGAAATTTTGAAAAATGGGTGGATAGTGATTCTTTACAATTTTGACTTATTTGGATGCCCCTGTGGGTTTATTAAAAACACCAGAAATTTTAGCCCCTAAAACACTTCTGCTTTCGAGAAAAATTGAATATAAAGATTTACCGGTGCTCCCGGTAAATTTGGATAAATTTCAAATAGCTCCTATGGCCGTACAATGGTAGCTGCGACCATGAAAGTTTCAGAGTATGTAGTTGTGGTATATAATTTCCGAACGAGAATAGCTAATCGGTCGATTTTAGTCAATAAACATTGTTTTATAGTTTAATTTATATCTTGACCTTGAGAGGGAGCTATTCAACATAAAGTGTTTATTATTTACAATTTCATAACTTTAGAGTCGATTTCGACCGCGACACCGATCACTGAATATTGTAGGATCGTATATGCTTCCAATATGTTCATTTGAACCAAATTCATGACCCCATACCAAAACTTTGTATTACCTTTAAACAAGTTACAATAACTGTTATAAGCTAGTGAAACTGTGGCATCTGATTGGTTGAGAGCTAATTTGTCAATGAATTTTAGCATTTGTTATTGTTAACAAGTTTTATGAAACAGCTGGGCCAAGATTATAGATCACTGATTTGAGTCTGAATGTTTAAGATACAATTCTCATAATAATCAAATAAAATAGTTAAGGCTTATTTGTTTCGTACAAGGTGCATGATCTAAAAGAGCAAGTGGCATCAAAGAGTGCACTCCATTTCAGCTGCGCACGTCACATGATGATGATGATGATGATGATGATGATGAAGATGAAGATGTTCCTTTAATATGTATAATTCCCTGTATTAAAGGCATCGTTTTACAATGTAAAATCTGAGATGCATGGCCCTACATGTACATGTTATCAGTGTCTGTGACATGGTGTAATATTGAAGCTCTAAAAAAATTGTGCTTCAAAATCATCATAAAGTGCCTCAAAAAAGTACAAATCTTTGAGTGACTGGTTTTACCATTCTATTTTTCCCCAATAGACTGTAGTGCTATAAAAACCGTAAGGAAAACAAATTTTGAAATGTTGATTTCCAATCATAAATATCGTGATAATCAGACAGGCGATCGACTTGTAAAAGTCATGGGGTTCCTGACTGACCTGAAGGTTTATAATTATCTTTGCAGCATGAGCTAAATTCAGAATTTTGTTTCAGAATCTGAGACAAAGTTACCCAATCCCTTTAAAGCTCCAAGGAGTATAACTTACTCATTAAACCTCTCAATCTCTTGCAGTCTCTCCTCATATCTGCTCTGTTCAAGACACGTCTGCCAACATTTCCTAATGACCACCATGTTGAGTGGAGTCTGGCCTTCGTACATGGCTTCTCCATCACTCTTCAAGTTGATCTCAAGAACCTGAACCGAAAAGAGGCTTCGAATAAACACGTGCTCGGGACACATGGGCCACTAAATTCTTATTTCATGTTCGCAAAATTAAAACAAAAAACATTTACATGGGACTTATGCATACAAACCTTCATAATTTTAATCTAGACCCCTTACAACTAGCATAAAGCCCTGCTTACATGTACAATCAAGAAGAGATTTAACCATGACATTATCTAATCTCTATTCATCTAAAAAAAAAAAAGAAGGAATGTGGAACTGTCCACTTCATTGTTAAAAATATGAATTTTATACATTTTTCATTCAAATACAATTACTAATGGGACATTTTGCTTAATAATATAATTTGATGATATAAACCTGGATGAACGTTTCTAATAAAAAAGGTGATTTAAAAATGGCCACAAATAAGGAGAATGTGCTCCATTTTAGACAAAACATTGCAGAAAAAATGGCATTTCTGTGAATGAAAAAAAATAACAAGGTTTTGAATAACGATGTAGATACCTGTCGTTGAGGAATGCCACATGCTAGTCCCACTTGTGATAAAATATGTTCCATGGTGGCCATCCCCTGAGGTAGACCAAAGCCTCTCATAGATGTGTTCGATGGATTGTTAGTCTTGCACAGATATCCAGTGATTCGACTGTGCTGCAGCGAATACGCGCTGTCAAAATGAAGCATGGCTCGTCCAAGAATCTAAAGTGTGTACATGAACAAAATGCAAAGGTGAGAAAATGCAAACAGATAAAAGAAGACATTTTCTTCAGGCATACCTGAGCTTTTAATGCTTATTCTGCTAGACCAATGATGTGTGCAGAGTCATAAATAATCTATGACATCATCTTGGAAAGAAAAGGAGAAATAGCATATAACAATTACGGTAAGGTATAATAAACATTCATAAATGAAGGCCTGAACTGCCACTAATTTTATGGGCAAAGTGGAAATGCATGGTCTATGTTTTGTCAAATCGTGTAAAGAATTGCAGATCATGGGTAGGGTATCACATTAAAATAACGCACATGTATATACCGTAAATAAACATTTTAACAAGAAATGAAAATCATTCAGAGTGAAACCTGTATACAGACTACCCAAGGCAGACAGAGAAAGTGGTCTTTATAGGCAAGTGGTCTTTATGTACAGGTTACTTGAATTCATGTTGCAATTAAGTAAAATAAAAAGAATAAACTTTTCTTTTTTGTATATTTGCTTGTACCACGTTATTGTTTCAAAATATTTTTTCCATGCTTTATACAAGTTTTGTAAAATGGAGATGTAGAAATAAATTCAAAATTGAATTGATTTGTACAGAGGGTATGGCCCCATCAGTATTAAAAGTTCCTCCTGAAAGCTCTGCAGTCACATAGAGGCATGTGGTCTTTCTATACAGGTGGTTGCTGATAAGGCTTCAACTCAAGCAGGTTTGACTGTAATTGACTGAGGGAGAGATATACTCACGAAAGGTGAAAGGTCAGTGCTCCATCCACTATCACAATAGAGCGTAACATCTAAAGCCTGGATTCTTCCCTGATCATCAAAGCCGACGCGATACTTGGCCAGGAAGGGACTCCTGAACCCTCTCATGATGGTGTCATCGGATCTTGATAAGCACAGTCTAACAGGCTTGCGGACCCTGGAAATATACAGTGGGTTATTCAAACGGAAAGTGACGTGGCCGAGTGGTTTAAGGCGCTTGACTGGAGATGCGAAGGTCGAGAGTTCGAATCCCGACACGTCACTAATATCCTTTGGCAAGATATTAACCTGCACTTGCTACTCTCCACCCAGGTGTTAAAATGGGTACCCGGTAGGACGCGACCCTCATCGTTGGTCAAACAGTTTTTGAGCGTCATGTAATACCTGGCTGGAATGCTCCCCAGGGAGTGGAGATTGTGCACACAGTGTTTGTGCGGGCAAGATTTGAATCCAATGACTGGGGTAAGGTTATATTTGTAAAGCGCTTAGAGACATTTGTATTAAGCGCTATATAAAAGCTGAATATTATTTAAAGTACATTGCAACTGCAAAGATAAATATCCGGTGGCTGAAGGATCTTTTTTATTGGATCAAAGACATGAGTAATATCAAATAAGAAATCAGATGCTTTAAATTAAAGTGTGAATCAATATTAGTCATCCTATATGTAGATGCTTGAAAATCTGCCCAATAACAGAGCACAAGTCAGTGGTGAAAAGAGAAGGGACACGTACATCCTGATATTACATTGGGATGATGTTTGATGTGTCCCACATCCTTCAAAATTTGTATTTCCCCTCTTTCTCATCAATTGTTTTCAAGCCAAATTTACAACATGAAATATTCCATCGAGCTATTTTGTGTTTCTTACTTGTAAGCTGCTACAGCGGTAATCATGGCGAATTGATGTCTGGTATCCTTTCCGCCAAAGGCTCCACCAAGGCGCTTTAATTTACACACCACTTTATTTGCATCTATCCCCAGACAGTGAGCGACATCCATCTGAAGAACAAAACACCAAATAGATTTCTATTTCTCTTATCTGAAGGGGGATGCTGAAGACTGGAAAGCTTGGAGAAAGGCCAAACAGGAAAAGAAACATCAAACCACACAGTTTGGGAAAAAAAAGGACGCAAAATGATGAGACAAAAATGCATATCATTATGTTTGGACAATTTTGAAAATTGGATGGATAGTAATTCCGTAAAAATTTTGATTTATTTGGATGCCCCTGTGGATGTCTCATAAGCACTAGAGAATTTAGCCCCTAAAATACTTCTGCTTTCGAGAAATTGAATAATCAAAATTACTGGTGCTCTCGGTAAATTTCAAATATTTCAAAAAGCGCCTAAGGCCATTCCATGGTAGCTGTGACCACGAAAAATATCAGAATATGCAGTTCTGATATATAATTACCAAACGATTGTAGTCAAGAAACATTGTTTTAAAGCTAAAGTAATATCAGTCTTCAGAGGGAGCTATACAACATAAAGAGTTTATTATTTACAATTTCATCACTTTAGACTCGATTTCAACCAGGACAGCGATCATTGCATATTGTAAAATCGCATATATGTTTCCAATATTTTCGTATTAACCAATCAAATTCATGACACCATACCAAAACTTTGTATTACCAAAAAAGCTGCCATAGTTTTTGTTTATGTGTAAAATGAATGGCAACTGTGCACAACAAGTGTCTTGTATAATTCACTGAGCTCTCTGTTGTAAGATACAGAAATGCGAAGCGTGTTACACTTCACGTCATGAAACAAACAAAGCAGTTTTGCTGCTTCATATCTGATCAAGCTTTTGGGGTTGAAAGTGGGTTTCAAGAAAGGTTTAAAGGTTAAGGTATATAGTGTTTGGTACAAGGTTGAAGTTAGAGATTGGCTTGGAGTATGAAAATAGTTGAAGAACAATCGTCATTGGAGCATGTGTCATACAACCCCAATCTGTCATCAAATTTTCCTAGATTTGATTTGATTGATTGATTGATTTCTGTTTGATTTTCTTTTTCTTTTGTACTTTTACAAATATATAACAAACAAAACATCGCAAATTTTACACATGAGAAAAGAATATATGTAGAATAAAGTAAGGCCGGTTGTAACTAATCGAAAACATCAAACAGGAGGGTTGACAAAGTAAGCAAAGCTTGATAGCATGACTATCCTCAATGGATACACCATAATACAAATATGGCGGAAAAAATATTGGTAAAAGGGAAAAAAGAGAGAGAAAAAAAAAGAAAAAAAGAAAAAAGAAAAAGGTGGTGTACATCAAGATTCACAGATGTACTGTATGTGGTAATTGGATTTCAATTGATATATGAAGATAGAAAAGAAGATGCACATTTTAATATTGGGTGGCCAACTTGGGATATATTATAGCATGAGAAGACTCGCGAGGTTTCTGGACAATATGAATGAGAATGTGAGATCAGCGAACTGGTTTACAAAGACTGTAAATTTGGGCCTTTGCAGCGTCTTACCTGTACGTTATTAGGAGCCTGGGTCGTCAGCGTCAGCTCCATTCCATCCCGTTCTAGCGGCTTAGCGATGCAGGCTCGTGGCTCCATGTAGAAGTGATCCTGTCCCCCGATGCTAAACTCCCCTTCTAGGCTGCGGGGTGCTTCTCTGAGGGCTGTGTCTGCATCTCCCCTCGTCAGAACCCTTGGCTCGGGCTCCAGGTAGGAGTTATGAGTGATGGCATGCTGAAAAAAAGGTTCTGGGTTTATATAGCGCTTAATACATCAATGATAGGTCTAAGCGCTTTACCAATTTCATTATCCCAGTCATCAGATTCAGGCTTGCAATTATACAATGTATGCACATTCCTTTTTTTTCCCTCCGATTCACTTATATTCGATTCCATCTTTGTATAAAAACATTTGATATCTAAAGCATGAAAACAAAATTCACTGATTTTCCACTCATTTGTTTCATTGGAGGACTTTTAGAATTCTATGATGATTAAAGGAGGTATTTTAGAAGCTTACAGACTACCATAGCACCATCGAGTAGATATCGTATTTTGACACAAAATTTTTTTTTTAAAAGGGACCTTTTTTTTTAATTACCAAAATTTTTCCTGGTTTGAGTGTTTTTTTCTTAAATTCCCGAACTTTTCATTGACTGGAAAAAAAAGGAATTCATTTTCAAAGCTTCAACAGATTTCCAGAATAGTTGGGAACCCTACAGGAGTAACAGGAGGCAAGATGGCTCAGTGGTAGAGCAGTGGTCTCATAACCGAGAGGTCTCGGGTTCGAAACCAAAGCAATGCGCTTGTGCCCTTTGGTAAGGCATTAATCCTCATTACCAAGTCCCTCTGAGAGGACATAAAGCCGTCAGTCCCCTGATTGTTTGTTTACAAGTATTTATGCTTTCTTAGCAGTCAGGTAAAATAACCACCACTACTACTAGAGCAGTGGTCTTGTAACCGGGACATCCCGGGTTCGAAACCAAATCAATGCGCTCTTGCCCTATGGGAAGGCGTTACTCCTTATTACCAAGTCCCTCTAAGCTGTCCGTCCCCTGGTTGTATATACATGCTCTCTTAGCAGTCAGGTATAACAGTCATAATCATCAATATGATTATTAGTACCATCATTTCTCAGTAAGAATTCTCATCAATGTGATAATGTACCTGTATGGTCATAAGAGCAGGTTGTATATCTTCATAATGAACTTTGACGAGCTTAGCAGCCTTCAGCGCAGTCTGTCTGTCTTTAGCAACAATACCACCCACAGGCTGTCCAACAGCCTCGACCTAAAATAAACAAAGAGAGAACAAAGGAAGTACAACAAACAATAGTATTTCAAAAGGTGAGTATATAGCAAAGGAATACAACCGTTTGAAAAATGAACAAGAAAGAAATATGAGAAACATCCATGCTTATAATCTACAGCTCAATAACTCTTCTCCCATTGATGAGCTAAGATATGAATATATATAAAGATATGTTTAATGTCCAAACAGGTGGACATGAATTCTATAAGTAATTGACAGATATTTTGCATTAACTTTAATAGTTGTATATAAGAGTAAAAGGAATGAGAGAAAAATTATCGGTAGTACAAATAAGAATTTAGAATGAGGATTTCTTTTTTCATTCTGACCAATTTCAACAAAAGGGACTATATCATCTTTGAAACACTTGATAATAATGACATGACAAAACATTGACAATAAACACATAACAAAACATCAACAACAATAATCATCATAATTAAAAGGTTTTTAGTGCATTCCATTTAATAACAAAAAACCAATCAAAACACTTTATAATGATTTTTTAGTTCTGAAACAAAATGTACTGTAAAACTCTGAACCTGATTACTTACTAATGTAGAGAAAATCACTTCCTCCTTAGGATTCAGTATTTGTCCATTGGTTCCTGGTACATCTGAGTGAGATACAAACCGGACGACCCCTCTCAGAGCTAAGGCCTCCGACGGATCAATGGATCTAAACACGCACAACACGACAAGAAGTATCATCAGGTAGCTCATTAATGTTCCTTTTTTTTCATCATGTAAATAAAATGAAATGATCTAGCATTTGTAACAACAACAAACATTAATTATAACAACATTAACAACAAAAACAAGTACAAAATAATGAATAACAATATTTAAATTGTAGTTTTTCAATAACTAACCGATTAAAGCATTTTATATGGTTATTGGATTCAATAATGATTCCAAACTAAAAAAGCACAATCTCCACTCCATGAGGAGCATTCCAGCCAGCCACCATTTTACAGTTGTTCATATGCTTACCCATGCGTTACTGTAAAACCAGAAACTCTTTGAAATTTTGAGAAGGATTTAGATTTATAATAATAATAATAATAATCTTTTAAAGTCCTCTCCAAATTTTATTAAGTTAAAGCGAAAATGGAAATTCTTTTTGCCCAATTGATCGTGAGCCCGGCAGCCACTGAGCAGCGCCAGATCGCCGTTGCTCTATCCATTATTGTTGAACGCCAAACAAGGTAGCAGCAACTCCCGTCTTTTAACGTCTTTTGGTATGAATCGGCCGGGGTTCGAACCCCATGACCTCCCGGTTGTGAGGCGGACGCTCTTCTGACTGAGCCAACACACCGGTTTACAAAAGTTTCATGCTGCAAAATGATTAAATCCACATTGACACAACACTAAATGTTTGCTCTTTGCATTTTTTTTTTGAGGGGGGGGGGGTAAGAATGGCATTCATTAACAATTCACAGAAGTTATTCATAAAGTTGCTGAATTTATAGTGATTATAAAGCAAAAAACAGAGAAAAGGATAAATCTTGTTGTTCACTTACATAATCTTAGCATGAGGCCGACTGCTCAATACTGGAGCGAGTGACAGCTCACCTGTGCAAAGAAAATGGTGAAATAATCTTAATCCTCACTCTAATTGAATTTACAATAACGAGGTACCCTTGCATGTTTTAACTCATCCCAAGCATAAGTCATGCTAATTTTACAGGATAAACTTCTTAACTTGAAGGCTGCATTTCCCAATATGTATTCCCAAATTAGAGATTTAAAAGTATTTTTTTCATCATCTAGCAAACGTAAATGCTATAAAAACAACCATTGATTGCATTTTGTTTAATCTACTCAGCTTTAAAGCCCCTTTGCACTAGTATGGTCAGGAGGGATTAGACCTCCCTGCATGGTCACTGACAGGTGGTTACCTCATCGAATCACCTCTCAATTAACATAAGAAAAAGGGGACCATGAGGAACAATGGTCACCAATTAGGCATTGTTTGCTTTATAGTGGGCACAAGTAGCTATAAGTAGTGCAGTGGGGCTTGATGGTATAAAGGTAAACATTGATGAAGTATTACCATCTACTGGAGGGATATCATCTGTGTAGACCGCCTCTCCGGAGCACTGCTCAAAGGCCGACAGGTGAACCAGAGGGCGCCCTATAGGGTCAATATCAGGTTGACTCTCGGGTGGAGGCTGAAATATAAGCGTAATCCACAATATGATCAAACAACCGGATAATGCTATATTAAAGCTATAGACCGGTTTTGGAAACGCCCCCCTCTCAAAAAATAAAATGAAAGCTCTTATTACCAATCATGAGACGGAATATGTTTTGAATAATACCTGATGATACAAATTTTGTCGGGAAACCACCTATTAGTTGATATATGTGGTAAATTATTTTATGTATCAGGATCGGATAGATATCGCACATGTGTCGCGTATAGTCCTATATGCATCTTTCAGTGTGCAGTGCTTGTAACTTACCAAGACTGGGCCAAATTCCAACCTTTTCTGATTGATTCCACAACGTTTCTTTCACAATGCAATCGCAAGACCAGAACTGGTCTTTATCTTGAAAGCTATAAAATAATCACTTCAGGTAGAATAATTTTGTTGACTTTGGATTCAAAACAATAAATGTCACAATGAACTTGTTTTCCACTCTTCCAAAACCATTAGGACTGTATGCCAGAAGTGATGAATCACTTGTGACCATGTTGCCAATGTTGGTGTTAGTCTTTATTAAAATTGTTGTGTGTCATTCACCTGAAAGACCTGAGCACTGGTGAATGTCCCATCAGACAGGCTGGTAAGGAGACTAGCATCAGTCAGAGGAACACCCAGAGCAGTGGTCTCTTCTAGAATCTGGAGAGAGAAAGAGAGAAAACAAATAAAATAAATGTACTAGCTCCCTTTTATCTCAGTGTAGAGGATTTGAAGTATGTGATGATCAACTTCACAAAAGAATAATTTTCTAGCCACTATAAGTCGAAAAGAATATAATTTGAACAAGTAGTCACTATGAATATGACTGACAAAGAAAGCGGACAAAATATGCAGTTCCTCAGGTAGACAAAGGAACATCCCTTCACTGCTATTATGTAAAAATGTGTAGGAAAGGTGTCACATGCATATTCACTTTTTACATAATAGCAGTGAAGGGATGTTCCTTTGTCTACGAGAGGAGCTGTATATTTTGTCCGCTTTCTTTGTCAGTCATGTTCATAGTGAGTAGTGGTGTAATATAGTAGACTGTATTGGATAACTTGTTTAGCATAATAGGCTAAGCAGCTACAAGGTCCACACAAAAATTAAACGCTTCACGCCCAAATAACAGAAGAGCAAAGACAAAGGAACACGTTTTGATTGTAAGATGTAACAGATGCCAATCACTATCATATCAACAATATTACATCAGTCTATGGAGACTCAAGTAAACACACGTTATGATTAACTTGTATGTTAATCTCTAAGTTCCAAAAAAAGTATGTATTTACCATGGGTAACTTTGAATTGAAAAAAAAAATGACTTGGTGGAATTAGACAAAAACATTCACATATAAAGCTTGAAAAAGTAATAAGCAGTAATTAATATATACATGTTTGTAAGAAGCAAACAAAAAAGGCTTGAAAAGACCCAACAAGGCATGAAATAAAGGGATAAGAAGAGAGTTTTTGAAGTCAAAACTATAATTTCTGAGACCTACCTTGGCGTTACCAGTTTCCTTACAGAGGCTGACAAAGCTTCGGATGAAACACGTTGCCATTAGGCAACCTTTGAACCCTGCACTGTTCAGGTCACCTTCTCTATGACCCGCTTCCTGGGTCATGTTTGCAGATATCAAATTCAGAACGTCACAGAGAAACCTTTGATCGAGGGTCCTGAAATGGGAAAAGAAGTGATGTCACTTTAAGGAGTGGAAATATATCAAAAATTTAAAGCTAAAGACCAAATATGGTCATGCGATTGCATTGTGAAAGAAACGTTGTGAAATCGATCAGAAAAGGTTGATCATCTAGCATAGATGTACTGCAAGGTTCTGGAATCATCAAAATGATAAGAAATTTGGCCAAGTCTTCATAAAGTTAGAAGCACTGTACACAGAAAGATGTATATGGGACTACACACATGTGCGCGACACATGCATTTCATATCTCTCAACAGGCGAGAGATACACTAATTTACCAAATATATCAATTAGTAGGCGGTTTCTGGTCAAAATTTTTATCATCATGTAATATTCAAAACATATTCTTTCACATGATTGGTAATAAGAGCCTCCATTTCATTTTTTGAAATTGGGGCGTTTCCAATACTGGTCTTTACCTTTAATACACAAATTCTTGGACCAATATGTTTAGAGATTTTTTTTCAAATTAAAGCAAATTTTGCATTTTCATAACTCCTTGAAAGATAGGACGGGAATATGTGCACTGTTCTTAATAAAATATTGATTGTCTTGACTGTGGTAACTACTTCATAAAAATTTCCAAACAAATATTTGAAATTTTACACTGTAACATACCATATGTCTATAAAACAAGGTCGGGACACGTTAATACACAAGGCAGACTTCAGTCATCCGTCTGTGTTGGATTCAAACCCACAATGTTTGGTTCAAAAGGCAGACGCTTTACCGACTGAGCCAACTTGCCTCCTCCTATTTGCATGGTTTACAGTAAAAATCATTTAAAATCATTTTACAATGAATATCCAATGTACCTATCTCTGAACCGTAAAGGTCCTACAAGACTCTCTCCTCCGAACATGATGGTGAGACTTGAAACGTGGCTGGTGTCTGTAGCATCCATCACAAAGAAGAAAGAACTGTTGACTGTAGCTAGACAGTTCCTCCTTCTCTGACTGATCTTGTGGGCATAGCAGTATTTATGCTGATCAAGTAAACGAAGAGAGATTAATTATTATTATCATCATCATCATCATCATCATCATCATCATCATCATCTTCATCATCATCATCATCATCATCACCATCATCATCATCATTTTCATCATCATCATCATCATCATCATCATCATCATCATCTTCATCATCATCATCACCATCACCATCATCATCATCATCATCATCTTCATCATCATCATCATCTTCATCATCTTCATTATCATCATCACCATCACCATCATCATCATCATCTTCATCATCACCATCATCATCATCATCATCTTCATCATCATCATCATCATCATCATCATCATCATCATCATCATCTTCATCATCATCATCATCATCATCACCATCATCATCATCATTTTCATCATCATCATCATCATCATCATCATCATCATCATCATCATCATCATCTTCATTATCATCATCATCTTCATTATTATCTTCACCATCAACACCATCATCATTTACTAGCCTATCACGCATTTATAATGTGCTGTCGCTCCAATTAGTACACTATTCTGAGGCACAGAGGGATATTGAGAAGAATGCTTTACATATATAAATGAAGGAGGGTGAAAATCATCACCATCATCACCATCACAATCATCGTCATCAGAATCAGAATCATCATAATTCTCACAATCATCACAATCATAGTCATTAGAATCGTCATCATCACCACTAAAATCTTCTTCATCATTCTCTCAATCCTCATCATTGTCACCATTATCACCAGCATCATCATCATCATCAAGGCCATTATCATCATCATCAACATCATCACCATCACCATCACACCAAAAGCACTGAGATGATGTTATACCTTAACAAATAGGAACTTTAGTAGAGCTAGCGAAAAAAAATCATTTGTTTAAATCATGAAACTCTAAAGAATGATTCTGATCATCACCTCATCTCGCGCCTTTGAATGTTATCTGAAACAGATATATGGCGCCATTCAAATGCTGTTCATCATCATCATCATCATCTCAGATAAGAGATAAATAAAGTCAAACCGACCTACCTTTGATGTGTATGGTATGAAGACATGCTTGGCTATCTCTGTTTCTGTCATGGAATTTTCTGCTGACTTCCTAAAGTTCTCATCCAGGACCACCTCTCTTTCACCTGCAAAAAAGAGTTGAATCTACTTAACTAACTAACTAATAACAATTATAAACATGAAGAATTAATTTGTTAGTATGGTTATGGACATTTTATAAACAATCAGTTCATTAGCCCTGCAAGATACATACATGACCCAAGTTTGGCTGTAATCCATCAATCGATTCTTGAGATAAAACGCGATCATGAAAACGGATGTACAGACGTATGTATGGACGTACGATCGTAGCAGAGGCATACAAATTATTTTACTTATCACATTTCTGTAGTAACATTGTAATTTTTCTTAGAAGACGATTAGAAAGAATACCATGATCATACCTCCTTGTTTTATGAGGGTCACAGTAGCCCCGCAAACCACCAGCAGGGGGACCAAGTCTCCTTTTCTTGAAAATCTCCAAATCGTGCCACCCAGACTCTGTACAAACAATTACCGGTAACAGTTAACATTTAAAAGTCCTATCTCACTGAGCGGTGAATGCTTGCGAACGTAGCAAATTTGGGGTTTCGCCAGGGTTTGTCAAAGGTTGCAAAAGGTTGCAAGAAAGTTCGCAAACGGTTTTTCTTGTCGCAATTCTTTTTTAACATGTTCACAATTTTTCCGCAAACAGTTGCAGGCCTTTGCAAAACAGTTGTAAGCCCTTGCAAACGGTTGTAAGACGGTGTCGCACTTTGTTATCGCCAGTTCTCTTTGTTTCGCCAATGCTAGCGACCACGTAACCATATATGGTTCCTTTATAAAATCGACCCATTGACTACCAGGAGTTCGCAAAAGGTCTCAAACGTTCACAAATAGTGGCAAAGGATTGGCAAATAGTTGCTAATCTTCGCAAAAACTGTTGCTAACATTTGCTTACAGTCGCTTATAGTCGCCAACTGCCTTTCGCAAACACTTTCAGAAACATTTGCCCAAATGTTGCTAATTGTCGCTGATTTTCGCCAACAATCGTCAGAAAAATTGGCGAAATTCAAATTCAACATTCGTAAGCATTCGCTGCTCAGTGAGATAGGGCCTTTAAGGATGAGGATAAAGGAATGACAGTATGATTTAGCAACCAAAATTAATAAAGTTGGTCATCCTTTTGATTTCATATACACCTTTTTTCTTCTTTTTTTCTTCTGTTAATCTCCAAAGAGCTACGCAACCTATACCAAAGATCCATATGAACATTATCAGTTGTGTTGCAGGGGCACTAAATACTGGGTTTACACCCTACTCTTTGCGAGAGGTGTAGCGTATTTGAAACATGCATAGGGTGTGACTCTCCTACAAACAGGGCCTCCAGTTAACGTTTTATTCCAATGAAGAGGATGTTTTTCCCTGAAACCGAGCCTGCATTGACAACAAAGGCCATAGGGGCACACAGACACACAGCACGGCAACAATCAGTTTCATATTTTCGTCTGCCAATTTCAGGAGAGCCAGACCACACCACCTCCACCTACTAGTGCTTTTATTTGGGCACTTTTAATATAGATATTATATGAGATGTTAACAAAGAACTTACAGCCATGTTCCTGATCTGTGGACTGGCATACTGTTTCACCAATTTGACGATAGCTGCAAATGTTTTTGTTTGATATTCTGTGAAAAAATTAGAGAATATAAATTCATAGAGAAATGATTCAACAAACAGATAACACAAAAATCAACTGTCATGCAAAAATATGCAGTTCAATGAATCTCAAGCAGAAGTTTGAGCCATGATACAAAAGCCTAGAGAATGTTCCCTGTAAAGTGAAAGGCCTTGCATGTATGCCGTAGCAATACATACATCTCTTTGTGACTGGGATTTATCAAGAAGGAAATAACCTTGAAGCTGTAAAAAAAGGCTGTAGACATTGCTTCATTAATTGTCTCTTTGTTAAATCAGGAGCTTAAATTCATGACAAGAATTTGTTCTGTACATGTTTAGCTAGTGTATGTCAATTATGATGTTTATCTAAAGGACTTGGGCCATTATTACCCCGACTTTATCTCTGGCATTCATGCTCACTGCATTTAAGGAATACAAGATACCCACTTACTATATCTGGGTTGAGTGTGGAAAATGTAGATAAATGCCTTCCCAAAGGATGTTAATACCATAGCAGGGAATTGAACCCTGTACCTTTTGATTTATAGTCCAGTGACTTATCCACTAGACCACAACACCTCTCTTGAACACTCTATTGTCAATACATGAGAGAATTTATACTTACCAGGTAAGACTCCCATCAAGTTGCTCAGTTCCTGACTCAATTGGGTCATCGTGACTCCGCAGCCTATCGTAATACCAAGGTCAGAGGTCGTGACCTGGGTCAATTCTTCAATCAATGGACCAGGGGAGATGACCATGGGGTAGGTTGACCCTGCTCTCCTTTTGTTACCTAGTACAAAAAGCAGAAATATTTTAAAAGGGCTAAAATAATCAATATTTCTGCATCCAATTGGCAACAGTAATACTTTCATTTTATTGCTACATTTTTGCACAAAAAAAAATATATGTCAGAAAAGAACATATGGATATCAGCCATGATGCCCGTAATTAGCAATTTAACAATTGCAGACATATGGGTCATGTCCTGTAGAGTTTTCATTGAACTAAGTTGTTCCCAAGTCAACAAAATGTTACTATTTAAATGCAAAACAAGTGACTGGCGTTCTCTTGGTTGGACTTGATCTTTTTTTGGACAATCAGACTCTTCATAGGACTGGCCATACTCTTTTTACTCACCTATAATGGTGTTGCCTACTATGAAGGGAGCCGCAGGATACTTGCTCTTCAACTGAATGATCTCATTGAGGGAGGATGCTATAACCCATTTAGTTTGACCTTTCTTGAATGTCACTGACCTTGTATAATTGTCATGATCAAGCTGGTATAAAAAAAAGCATATAAGGGAATATGAAGAAGAAAAAAAAATTGATACAAAATTATCTCTTGAACCAAAGTCACAACATTATAAACAGCTTCATAACACCCACAAAGGAAAGAATCTTGGTTCTATGAGAGAATGTTCTGCAGTCAATATCTCACCCTAACCGATTTCCTAACTTTAAAGCCCACTGCACTGCACTACTTACAGCTACTTGCGCCCTCTATATAGTAAACAATGCCTAAGTGGTGACCGTTGGTCCCTTATGATCCACTTTTTTTTATGTTTATTGAGAGCTGATTTGATGAGATAACCACCTGTCCGTGGCCATGCAGGGAGGTATAATCTCTCCTGGCCAAACTAGTGCAGATGGGCTTTAAAACTCTAGGCCGAACACTATTAGCCTGTCCCTAACACTTAACCTAACAAGTCAACCCTACATGTAATCCTCCCCATATATTATATGCATTTTTTTACAAAAGAATGACTGTAGTAACTGTTGCAAGCTAGAGAAACTGGAATCCTTGATAAAATTGTTTCTTTTGGTTGCCTTACCAGTAAATCCGGTGGGAATATCGGCTCTTGGGTGGGGTCGAATCCTTTGTAAGTCTTGCTTGTCAGTGAAGGCACCTGTTAATTACAATTGGACATAAATAAATCACAAGTAAGCACATGAACAGATTACCTAGAATACTAAAACTAAATTGCGAATGGAAGGAACTTCTAACAGATTCTAAAAGACAGAAATTCTTTACACAGAGAGAGTTCTTTAGAATCGACTACTTTCAGACCCTCTGTGGAAAAAGATTTCACTTTTCTCAAACAAAATTGATTCAACTCTTTACTTTCAGGGTTCTCTTTCTCTTTTGCCAGAAGGGGTTTAATTCATAAACTTTAACACAGAATACCCTTCTGGCTCAGAACTGACAATAACCATTCAGAGATCTGCTGTTTATCACAGGCAACCTTTAGTTAATACGTTTAATAGCTGTTATTCAACAATCTCTACTTCATTACACATTAAAGGAACAGAACTTAATGGTCTCACAGAATTTTGAATGAGGAAAATAAGGCATCTGTTTCCTTTTTGCTTACACTAACCCAACCATGACAGAGTCAAGTATGGCACTGGTCTACTCACCTTCATGTCTGCCCCTTCTTTGGTCTGTGTCTCCTGTTCCTTCCCAGCACAGTAACAGTTGTCCTGAACAAACAAACAAATCACAAATAATAAAGAGAAAAGAAATTGTGTTGGACATAAAAATAACCGTATCAAATGCAGAAAGAAACATTATGAATCTGTTATTAAGGACATATGTTAAATAGACCACATGTGCCTGCTGCAGATGATGAAATTGACTTTGTTTTCCCTTTTATCGCAGGATACACTCAGGTCTCTCATTAAGTGCCCACTATTCAAATGAATTCTCAAACAAGCCAGAAAATCTACATGTACCTTTATGTGTTTAAGAACTAATGGCTATATAAGCAGCTTTTCTTGTTCACCTCGATTAGTGCAGATATGATTATACTGGTTATGGTTGGTACCGTTGGTTTGAGCTTCTGAAAAAAAGTTGACCTGAAATTTGCTTAAATGACAGTTGCTCTGGGTTTTATTTTGTCAGAATATAGAGTTGATTGAGGTAAGGGTTGCAATTAGGTCTTTGGTTAGGTTTACATGTAGCTTCATGTTTAGCGTTGGGGATAGTGTTTGGTCCTTTGAAAGCCCCACTGCACTACTTATAGCTACTTGCCCCTCTATATAGCAAACAATGCCTAATTGGTGCCTGTCGTTCCCCCATGATCGTCTTTTTCTTATGTTAATTGAGAGCTGATTTGATGAGGGAGGTCTAATCCCTCTTTGCCAAACTAGTGCAGACGGGCTTTAAAGAAGAAAGTAGAGTCCAGAGAATTCAGTTCACGTACCCCACAGAATGTCCTGAAGCCATCCAGGATCTGCCTGTAGCCTGTACATCGGCACAGGTTACCTTCTATAGCTGTCATGATGTCATCCATGCCTGGTTTAGGGTTGTTACGTAGCAGGGCGTACACTGACATCACCATACCTGGGGTGCAGAACCCACACTGTGTGCCATGGTGCTTGGCAAGGCGCTCCTGGAGACACAAGGATTGTATATGTAAAGTAAAAGTTTCTTTTGGCATGGGTGTCTGAGAGATGTTTATGTAAATGTGAGTGCATTTGTTGATCACAAGCTAAGTTATATATTCAGAAGAAGAGGGGAGATACTATTTATGTAATTGTAATTGTAGTTGTAATTCAATTTTTTCGGGCCTTCCGCATTCGTACCTACTTCCACTTCAAAGAATTCAGAATACTGCTGCAAGGCTTGTTACTCTCTCAAGAAAATTTGAGCACATAACCCCAATATTGCGTTCTCTTCATTGGCTTCCCATACACCATCGTATAATATTTAAAGTTTTTCTTCTTACATACAAAATTCTCCATGGCCAAGCCAGTAAATATCTTTCAGATTTGATATCCTTTCGTTCTTCTAGATCTTTAAGACTGCTTCGATCATCATCAACTTTGCAGTTAACCCTTGGACCTTGTACCGTTACATAATATGGCAATCGAGCTTTCTCAGTATATGCCCCTATCCTTTGGAATAAATTACCAGCACATTTTCATAATATTCATTCTCTTGACCAATTTAAGTCCTTGCTGAAAACGCACCTTTTTAATTCATGAATGATATTCTGCAGTTGTGAGTCGGTCAAAGAAGGTGTACACCGTCTTATTTCTTGTTTGTTCGATCTTATGTTTGATCCTATAATAATAATAATAATAATAATAATAATAGCCTAATAGTCCACTCCAAATTTTATTAAACCGAAACAGAATTTTTTTTTGCCCAATTGATCGTGAGCCCGGCAGCCACTGAGCCAGATCGACGTTGCTCTATCTCTATGTTTGACCTTATGTATGTTTGATCTCACTCTTTTTTTTAATTATTATATATGCATGATTTATTGAATAAAGAACAGATGTATAAGTTGTGTGTTTATTATGAGTTTTGGTAAATATTTTTTTAGTCAGACTATGGTGCGCTTTTAATAGAGACACCCGTATTAAGTGCCTAATAAATATTTTGTATTATTATTATTATTATTATGTAAATTTTTTGAAATGAAGTATTTATTGTCCATTCTGAATTTGTTTTTCATTGCTTAAAGTTTAGAGAGATCAATTTATGAAAAAGAGATAATAATAATCATAGATAGTTACATTAATGGTAAACTACATTCATAACAGCTTTAGTTGGGTAATGTTTCAGAAAAAAAGATGAAATATACAGAGCAAGTGAGAAAGAGCAAGAGAAAGGCATTGGCAGAAGGAGAGAAGAAGAAAAAGAAAGTTGGAAGAGAAGAAAGCTGCTGAATGCCTAGAAGAATGTAAGTCTGACAGATGCAACAGGAAAAACATAAATGTTTGAATACATTCAAACTTGCTTAAGAAAAACAAACAGCCTATACTAATTTGTTTTCCATAAATTTGTTCTCTTGGTGAAACATGAACAAATAGAAGCGCATGTGCATTGATTTAGACAGCATGCCAAACAAACTATTTTCCTTGTGTTCGTATGTATCGATCAGCCTTTATATAGGTACTGTTTTTTTTCACAAAGACTAAGGTTGACTCTAAGTTGGACTTAACTATGGCAGGCCATTCATGCCACTGGTTGTTCTCACCATTATGATCTTTAGAAAATATTTTTCCTTCAATAATGAATTATCAAAAAATGTAAATTTTGTAGATTTGAGACCATGAATTGTACATCCCTTGAGAGAACAATGCCAGTAAATGGTGAGAGCAACCAGTGCATGAATGGCTTGCTATAGTTAAGTCCAGCTTAGAGTCGACCTTAGTCTTTGTGAATCACTCCCCAGGTATCATACTTATTCTCGTCCCTACCTGAACCGCATGTAGCCCAGTTCTTACATCCCCCACACCTTCCACAGTAGTCACAGCTCTCCCATGTACCAGACATAGAGGCAACAAGCATGCAGTTACTGCTACATGGCTGAAAAACAAAATGCAAAGCTAACAATATGTTGTACTAAACATTTCAATGCATGCAGTATATATGTTGGTAATGACTGCAAGTTTAAAAAGGGAGATACTGATTGAATTTTCCCTCATGAAAAAAATTAATCATAAGTTACTTTTATTTCTCTGTCTGTCTGTCTCTCCGTTTGTGTCTTTTCTTTCTTTCTCTCTCTCTCTCTCTCACTCTCTCTCTCTCTCCTGATGCCATGGTGGTGGTGACTCTTTCTTGAGCATCATAAAAAATAGTTAAATGCCATTTATTTCTGGTAAGCCCTTACAAATGTTTGCTAGATTTCTTCTCTAAAAAATTATGAAGCCTGGAACATCAACATTTCTGGCATATGTATAAAATATAGATCATTGATACATGAGGATCAGTATGAGAACAATTACAAAAAAGCTTTGAATTTCTTCTTTGCTGTCAAAAGTACACTTTTGCTTTAATCGTTATCTAATATGAAATCTTTACCTGATTTTCTTAGTGTAAGGGTCAGCTGATGATATCATCACAGTACAAGCTCCACATCCTCCTTGACCACAAGCTGCCTTTGTACCGGTCAAGCGTACTGACGATATGACAGAGTTAAAGACTTTTCATTGGTACAGTAATATTTTATAAACAACTTATGTAGGCAATAATTACTGCTTCTATGAAATAAATATTTAAAACAATTTATGGCTTTTGGTTGCAAATAACAGGGGTGCACCTTAAACAATACATACATGCAGGGAACTCACATTAAATGTTTAATCAGCACTAGTGGGTCTCATCTAGGAAGTATAAAATATGCACATAAATTTCAAGACTTTCGAGTTAAAATCAAATCATATCATAAGACCTAACTTAAGCGATATCTTTGGACTGTTTTTTACAAGGAATTTTCTTTCAATATACCGAAATGAATGAACAAAAATGGAACTCTTTGAGAAAGGATACATTTTGTCCTCAGGTAAACCAAGAGATTCATCTCGGGGTCCACATTATCTTCCTCAACCTGTTACACAGGAGGGAGAGATGGAGGGAGGGAGGGAGGGAGGGAGGAAAGGAGAAAGGAAGGAGGGGAGTGAGGGAGATAGAGGGGAAGGTGGAGATGGAGAGAGATGGGGAAAGTGAGAGATAAATAGACAAAGAGAAAGAGAGAGAGAGAAAGAGAGAGAAGGGGAGGGAAGAAATAAGAGAACAAATATGTACACATACCTTTGTTTCATGAATATTTAGCAAACAATAATTAATTGATACAAGACAATATAACACCTTTAGGTTGTAACTAAAACAAATTACATGTATATGTGTTTCGATATTTTTAACACTTTTTAATGACTTGTTTTATGGATGGTATATTTGTTTTGTACCTGGTACTTTTATATCAAGACTCCATTGCCATATGTCAACCTAGCTGTTTCAAGATTACAAATGTAGATTTCTTCCAAGGTTGTCTTTTACATATAAATACCATCAAAAGAACAAACAGTCAATGTCATAAGACATATTGGGCATATAGAGCTGACATCGGTACTGTATTACTTCCATATAATCAAGCTACACACTGTACAGGTCTAAACTACATGGACCAATAGTTTCTATTTCGATGGATTTATAAATTGTGCAACATAGTTGGGAAAGCTCCTGCGGTCTAGTTTCAAACAAATAGTAACAATGCATAATCACAAAAGGATTTTTGTTCTTCATTCTCTCCATCAAAAATGTTTTTAAAAAAAAAAAAAAAAAAGGGGGGGGGGGGGGTATCATTAAAAGCGACAATTCCATTAGCAAGTAAAAAGTTAAATATTCGTTAAAAACAATTCTATTTCTACTTCCATATATCACAGAATTCATCATTACCACAGGTGTAGTTTGGTACACATACAATTGCCAATACATGTATCTTTGACTCCTGTCGAATCACCTTTCTCTAGACTGTTTTTTTTTTTTCTTCAAAAGTTGAATAACACCTTAGAAAAACAACCTACCTTAACTCCATTGCAGAAAAACACCAACGTGTCAGTTCCTTCCATGCTCATCCTGTCTCTTCAGACTAAAGTGAAAGATAGTGATGTTTTGTAATGGTGAACTGTGATTATAACTACAGAGGGGCTTTTCACAAAATTTGTCATCAGTGACAAATGACAGTTTTTTGTTATAAGCTACTGAAATCCATGCTTTTGATTGGTTATCAGCAAATTTGTCACTGATTTTAGTCATTTTTCATTGAAAAAAGGCTTTGTGAAACGGGTCCCAGATCTATCACACTGCATCCTTCTTGGGATATTATGAAGTAGAAATTAAGCCACCCACTGAATGAGTCACTCAAGTGCATACAGTATTCAGTATTTATTTAATTCCATAGTAAACTAGATGGAATTTTGACTGCGCACAGTCGAAAATGATGCCTCCGCCATAGAGCAATTTAAACAAGTTTGGAGTTTAAATCTCCAGTGGTTCTTGAGATATCATGATAACAATCTCAATGTATGGAATTTCATAAGTTGACCTCTGTGACCCTTGACCTTTGACCTACGTGCTCCAAAATCTAATCAGATTGTCTTCCTATGGTGATACACACTATCATTAAGTTTGAAGTTTAAATCTCCAGTGGTTCTTGAGATATTATGATATGGTGATACATACTATCATTAAGTTTGAAGTGAAAATTCTCCAGTGGTTCTTGAGATATCGCGATAACGATCTCAATGTATGGAATTTCATAAGTTGACCTCTGTGACCCTTGACCTTTGACCTACGTGCTCCAAAATCTAATCAGATTGTCTTCCTATGGTGATACACACTATCATTATGTTTGAAGTTTAAATCTCCAGTGGTTCTTGAGATATTATGATAACAATCTCAATGTATGGAATTTCATAAGTTGACCTCTGTGACCCTTGACCTTTGACCTAGGTGCTCCAAAATCTACTCAGATTGTCTTCCTATGGTGATACATACTATCCTTAAGTTTGAAGTTTTTACATCTCCAGTGGTTCTTGAGATATCATGATAACAATCTCAATGTATGGAATTTCATAAGTTGACCTCTATGACCCTTGACCTTTGACCTACATGCTCCAAAATGTAATCAGATTGTTTTCCTATAGTGATACACACTATCACTAAGTTTGAAGTTTAAATCTCCAGTGGTTCTTGAGATATCATGATAACAATCTCAATGTATGGAATTTCATAAGTTGACCTCTGTGACCCTTGACCTTTGACATACGTGCTCCAAAATCTAATCAGATCATCTTCCTATGGTGATACATACTATCCTTAAGTTTGAAGTTTAAATCTCAAATGGTTCTTGAGATATCGCGCTAACAAACTCAATACAAGGAATTTCATAAGTTGACCTCTGTGACCTGTGACCTTTGACCTACGTACTCCAAAATCTAATCAGATCGTCTTCCTATGGTGATAAATACTATTCCCGAGTCTTAAGTTTAAATCTTAAATGGTTCTTGAGATATTGTGATAACGGTCAAACGGGACGGACGTACGGACGGACAACCCGAAAACATGATGCCTCCGGCACCACCTTCGGTGGCGGAGGCATAAAAACAGTAACATCAAGATAATTACTTTTACATAATTATTATTAACATAGACTAGTACAATATTGACAGTAAAAAAACAAAAAAGTAATTGGGTTGCTGTATAAAAACCCTAGAGCCGAGGGTTTGTCTAGCTGGACAGCCATACAAATGTATTCAAAGTCTATGGGGGGACCGGAGAAGATGGCAAGGCGTTTGATGTAATAAGGCGCTACGTACTGCACTGAATGGTGGTTTACTATTTCTTTGGTTGATTGAAGTTTGACTTTGAACAAAGTTTCTTGGTTCTTCTTGGTTGGTCCTCCAAAATAATACTCATCTGACAAGTTTTAACTGGACACACACAGCCATAATCTCCCAGTCTCATTCATCTCTATCTTGTTCTCTCAAACTTAATGATTCAACTAGTATGGTGGTGTGACCAAAGTTCGCGCGTGACCTAAGTTCGCTATCTCAAAAAAGCAGTAATATTACGAAAATCTGATATCACTGATGGAAAGAGGAACATAAAATTACCCAGAAGTGAAATTTTCTTTGGAATTGGGTACGAAATTGTGAAAATATTGACAAAAGATCGGCAAATTTTGCAATATTTTGCGTCCGTTCCGAAAAATGATCAACTTACCGATAAGGGTCTGAAAATCTTCAATTTGAGAGCAGACTTCCTCAAAATTGTAAGTAAACAGTGGTACTAACTGATAGTATGATATCTTGCCTTGCAAATTATGATATTACCTTATTTTTGATGGATCACACTTTTTGATAAATCAACTGTAAACCCCCGTGCGTGAAGTTAGGTCTCGTTGTTTTTATGACTTTTTTAGATGCAGCGCGCACGAACGATCGGACATCGGATTTTTAGATCGCGATATCTCCGAAATCCTTCGACGATAAAATTTTCTAGTTGAACTAATCTGTAGTTAAAAACTTCGCCGTCCCTTTGGTTATAATTGAAATCAATAAATTTGTGTAGAATATGGGAAATTGTAGTTCGAATATCACATTTTGTAATATGTTCTAAAATGTCCGCGAACTTTGGTCACCCCTTCATACATGCCATATCCTCTTTATTTCCCCTTCCAGTATCAACTGTTTCACCTCACTTTCGTTGGAAGCTAGACGATCAGCTACTAGGTCTAGGCACGGACGAGTGGTGGTAGCGGTGCTTGGATGGCAAGTACGACTGGGGGCCGTTTCTCGAAACCAACTCCATGACAGTCATATCTTTGTCGGGGACCTACGGAGATGTCATGAAGCGGATAAACCGTTTCACAAAGCCATGACAGACATGATATCGATATATCGCGATACTAGCAGCTCAAGAACACAGTCTTTGTCACGATCCATTTGATTTATTAAGAATAACCCAAAACAAGTTTTGGGGCTAAAATTGTTCAAAAAGAAATATATACATATAAATTCTCCTAAAATAAATAATAAATAGTGTCATTATCATATTTACATCATCAAACAATTTGCATATTTCTGTAAAGATTCATAAATTGAAGAAAAACCGGTGAGTGTTTTTTTTTCGACAGTCGAATCAAAAGTTAGTTGAAGGATACCGTAATGTGATAGTTTATCAATACGTACTTTTTTGTTTATTGTGACGAGGAATTTTAGGCAAAATGTCTTTTCTCAGCCAGTTTTTATTCTAGAGTCTCATAAATACTCGTTATATAATTGATTTGATATTGAAAATATAATTTGGAAGAAGTAATTAGAGGGAATAATAATGCACATAGGCCCCAAAGGTATGACGGTATCCTAAGAAAAGACTATGGATCGACTATGGAAAACGGTGTGTAACATTCTTACCTTTCTTATTTATATGTTATAGTTTGATGATTTGTGATTTAGTGTTTATACACGTATTCAGCTTTTTAAAGTTTCTGTATAATTTGTATTCTCACTTTTGTACATTTGCATTTCGCATCCCAGAGAATTACGTACCGAACTTGTCTAGATCTATATTTTTCTCAAAATGAAAGTGAAACTAATCGTCCATTTCGCGGCCCATGGAATGGCAACAAACTGACTTGTGATGGCGCTTTACAGCAATTAAAAAGATATGACAGGTTCGGAGCAGTGACAACTCGCTTGTCGCGGAAGTTGTCGCTCATCTTGGCAAAGACGGCTTCGTGAAACACTTAGCTGACAAGTTGCGTGACAGTGGCGAGATGTCGTTGATCTTGTATGGCGGTGTGACCAAAGTTCGCGCGTGACCAAAGTTTGCTTTCTCAAAAAATCGGTAAGATTTCGAAAATCTGATATCACCAATGGAAAGAGGGTCTTAAAATTACCCAGAAACGAAATTTTCTTTAGAATTGGTTGCGAAATTGTGAAAATATTGACAAAAGATCGGCAAATTTTGCAGTTATTTGCGTCCGTTCCGAAAAATTATCAACTTATCGATAAGGGTCTGGAAATCTTCATTTTGAGATCAGAAATCCTCAAAATTGTAAGTAAAGAGTGGTACGAACTGATTGTACGATATCTTGCCTTGCAAATTATGATATTAGATCTACCTTATTTTTGATGGATCGCATTTTTTGATAAATCAACTGTAAACCACCGTGCGTGAAGTAAGGTCTCATTGTTTTTATGACTTTTTTAGATGCAGCGCGCGCGCACGATCGGACATCGATTTTTTGGAGTCGGGCTAACTCGGCCCACGGGACTACTCGGCCCAGCTGGAAAAACTGGGCCGAGATGTCCCGACCTGATTAATCGATCGAGAGATACCAATGTGTATATGTTTGTGCTCTTTGTGACTTAATAATGCCCTTTCCAACCAAAATCTTTAATGGAATTGTGTTAAATGATACCAATGAAGACAATTTATAACTTATCTTTAGGTAAAATGACAAAAAAATGACATTTCGGACAATTTACTCACAGCTCGCAATCCGCATTGCCGCACGTACATTAAATGTGCGTTGTATCTACTCGGACCACTGAAATTCGAGCAGTGTTTTCGTCGGTAAATCACTGCAAAAATATCATTTTTATCTCGTATGAAGGTCTATTTTTTTATTCCTGACACAGATTTCATTATTGAGAAGTCGAATATAGTACATTTTAGATGAGATGGTTGATGTTTGTTCACATTCTTTCGTCCTGGCCGTAAATTAGCAGACTACTGCCTAGTGCTACCGCAGCAGCTCAGCTCAGTGTGCAGCTAGCCGTACAGCGCCGCCGGCCGGGTCGGCGGGGGAATTCACTGACTCGGCGCCCGTACCGGGCCGCTGCACTGCATTGCATGATTGTACTGCCCAATTTGATCGAGTGATGTGAGTATAACTAATCAAACTAGATCTATATCTACTGTATTATCATTATTCATTCCGAGTAGAATATCCAATTTGATTTAGTGAGTAAACTAGACCTAGATCTATATCTACTGTAGCTACATCATTATCATATACTAGATTAGTCATTCAGAGTAGAATATCCGATTAATGAAGGAATGGAATTTTTCTTTTTTCATAATCAGATAATCATATTTTACTCCTAAAAGTTAAAGACTTGATAAAATAGCTAGATCTAACGTAAGGGCCTAGCCTAGTACTGTAAGAGAAGTGAGCTGAAGAATCGCCTTCTTCTTTTATTTTGGAGGGGCAGGCGCGTAGCCAGGGGGGGGGGGCAGTGGGGGCGGTCGCCCCCCCCCCCCCAAAAAAAAAAGAGAAAAAAAGAAGAAAGGAAGAGGACGTAGGAAGAAAAAGGATTAAGAGTCGAGAACGGTACAACGAATCGTCTTCTTTCTCTAATTATTTAATGAAACATCAAAGCTTCCGCGCTTCGCACGAGAAGGGGGGGACAAAACTGAATTCAGGTAAGGATAAAGAGTCGAGATCGGTACAACGAATTGTCTTCTTTAGTAATTTATAAAACGTAAATGCTTCCACGCTTCGCGCGGGAGCGGGGAAACTGAATTCAGACAAGGATCTAGAGTCGAGAACGGTAAAACGAATCGTCTTCTTTCCCTAATTATTTAATGAAACATTAAAGCTTCCGCGCTTTGCGCGGGAAGGGGGGATGGAACTGAATTCAGATAAGGATTAAGAGTCGAGATCGGTACAACGAATTGTCTTCTTTAGTAATTTATAAAACGTAAATGCTTCCACGCTTCGCGCGGGAGCGGGGAAACTGAATTCAGACAAGGATCTAGAGTCGAGAACGGTAAAACGAATCGTCTTCTTTCCCTAATTATTTAATGAAACATTAAAGCTTCCGCGCTTTGCGCGAGAAGGGGGGATGGAACTGAATTCAGATAAGGATTAAGAGTCGAGAACGGTACAACGAATCGTCTTCTTTCTCTAATAAATTATGAAACGTCAACGCTTCCACGCTTCGCGCGGGAGCGGGGAAACTGAATTCAGACAAGGATCTAGAGTCGAGAACGGTAAAACGAATCGTCTTCTTTCCCTAATTATTTAATGAAACATTAAAGCTTCCGCGCTTTGCGCGAGAAGGGGGGATGGAACTGAATTCAGATAAGGATTAAGAGTCGAGAACGGTACAACGAATCGTCTTCTTTCTCTAATAAATTATGAAACGTCAACGCTTCCACGCTTCGCGCGGGAGCGGGGAAACTGAATTCAGACAAGGATCTAGAGTCGAGAACGGTAAAACGAATCGTCTTCTTTCCCTAATTATTTAATGAAACATTAAAGCTTCCGCGCTTTGCGCGGGAAGGGGGGATGGAACTGAATTCAGATAAGGATTAAGAGTCGAAAACGGTACAACGAATCGTCTTCTTTCTCTAATTAATTATGAAGTGTCAACGCTTCCACGCTTCGCGCGGGAGCGGGGAAACTGAATTCAGACAAGGATCTAGAGTCGAGAACGGTAAAAGGAATCGTCTTGTTTCTCTAATTATTTAATGAAACATCAAAGCTTCCGCGCTTCGCACGAGAAGGGGGGACAGAACTGAATTCAGGTAAGGATAAAGAGTCGAGATCGGTACAAGGAATTGTCTTCTATCTCTAATAATTTATAAAACGTCAATGCTTCCACGCTTCATCCATCCCTCTAATCATCAATATCGTCTTCATCCCTTACATCATCAAAATTGTCTCCATCCCTCTCATCATCTCTAATTCTCCATCCCTCACATTGTCTCCATCCCTCTCATCATCTCCATCCCTCACATTGTCTCCATCCCTTTCATTATCAATATCGTCTCCATTCCTCTCATCATCTCCATCCCTCACCAATCCCTCTCATCATCTCCATCCCTTACATCATCAACATTGTCTCCATTATGTATTATGCCACATTGTGGAAATGCAATTTTATTTTTTTAATTCATTATTTATTTATAGTATGTACATATTTACAGGTACACAAGATCAGATATAAATCTGTTAACCCCCAGCCCCCCCCCAAAAAAAAAAAAAAATTGTAACATGCAGATGACACGCCACACCATTCCTTGTGTTGTGGTATTGGTACGTATTATTTCATATGCAATTTACAAGGCAAAAAAAAATCTAAATAAATAAAGTTAAAGCAATTAAATAAAAATGAGGACATGTTTGAAAAACACACATAATAGCAATAAACATTATTTGTTTACGACTCCAAGATACAAATTCCAACAATATGACGTCAAGCTGACTCAAAATAACAAATGATAAGCAGGTGTAATCGTGTATTAATTTTATGCCACGTTGTAATGCAAATTTGTTTTTTTTATTTATTATTTATTTATAGTATACATATTTATACAGGTACACAATATATCAGATATAAATCTGTTAACCCCCAGCCCCCCCCCCCAAAAAAAATATATAAAAATTGATTTTGCTCATAGATCTTTGCCTCTGTTGCTGATTACATACCCGGCCGAGATGGATGGGAGGGGGGGGGGGGGCAGCTGCCTTTTAGAAATTTGAGGAACAGTTAAATTAATGACCAGTTGACCAAAGGTCCAGGAGAAGGCTTACAAGAATTAAGATCCCCCTGCCCAGGGGCGGCCGAGCGACTTCCAAAGTGGGGGGGGGGCACCAACAAAAAAGGGCACTTTCTGGAGAAAAAAAGGGCACCTACAGTGGGAAATCTCAAAGCGAAAATATACAATTTTTTAGACATTGGTATATACCCCTACATTGTGATTACATTATCAGGGATGATTTCAATATTTGTTTTTCTTCATACATCATACAAGATATCGCTTAAGCATCATACTTTACAGTTGGGTGTGATGTCTGAATATGCATTTACGAGCGAGCGAAGCGAGCGTGAAAAATTTCAAAGATCTACATTGTATGAGGTCGCAGTGCGAAAAATTACATCTTATAAAGAGGAAAAAAGCCAATCGTGATGGGGTTATAAGCACATTCTCATAACGGAAGACTGAAAAGACCTTTGATAAGTAACATAATTATATCATCTTTAAATGCGAGCGAGCGCAGCGAGCGAACTTTGGGGGAAATTGCTCTCAGTCGCCTTAAATAAGGGGCACGTTTAATGATTACAAGAAAAGGGGACAATTATCGAAAGGGATAAGACACTTATACGAAAAGAAAAGGAGCACGTGTCAAAGTACAAAGGATTATTATAAGAGGTGAAAATGAGACAAAAAGGCGTTTACGAAAATGGGAAATAGGCATTTGTTGACGGAAAAGGGGCACCCATCAGATTTTGATAGGGGCATTTATAAGAGGTGAAAAGGGGATAGTTCCCTTATTAGAAAGGAAAAGGGGCACGTATCATTATTAAAAGGGGAATTATCAAAGTTGAAAAGGGGCATTGACCAGATATGAAAAGGGGCACTTATAATAAAGGAAAATGTGCATTTGTTGAATGAAAAGGGGGCACCGTTCAGATTTTTAAAAGGGGCAGTTATGAGAAGGGGAAGGAACTATTTCTTTTTAACGGGGGCACTTATCATAAGGAAAAGGGGCACTTATTAGAAAATGAGAGGGGCACATGTTAAAATGAAAGGTGTGCTCATCCGAGTTTAAAAAAAGGGGATAGTTATTAAAAGGAGAAGGGGCACTTCTTACAAAGGAAAAAAGGGGAAGTTGTCAAAGTAAAAGGAGCACCTCTTAGTTTTGAATAGGGCAATTATCAGAGGTAAAGGGGGCACTTATTAAAAGTGAAAAGGGGCACTTCTCGTACCTGAAAAGAGGCACTTACTAGAGATTAAAAAGGGCACTTATTCAAGATTATTTCATGATTTATGAGAATGGAAAATGGACACTTATTGCAAAGGAAAATGGGAACATGTCGAAGGAAAAGGGGCATGTGTCAAAAATAAAAAAAGGGCACTCGTCAGAGGTGAAAAGGGGGAAGGGGCACTTTTACTAAGTAATAGGGGCACTTGTCAAATGAAAAGGGGCACCTTTCCTATGTAAAAGGGGCACTTCTTACAAAATAAAAGGGGCACTTTTCCTATGTAAAAAGGGGCACTTTTGGGGTATCTGAAAAAGTGGGAGGCACTTTGCCCCCCCCCCCCCCCCATCCCCGGGAGGGCCGCCTCTGCCCCTGCCCCTCCATGCACCGGCACGTCATTGCAATATCATGTCTTAATTTGCTTTGTATATATCTCTTTGATTCCCAGAAAAAGGGAACAAAAAGGAGATTTTTTGGTTTGTTTGGGGGGGGGGGGGTGGTGGGGGCTGCATTATTTATACAAAAAACTTGAAGCCAATACCTTCTTTTCGTAGAATTTTTTGGAAGCAGCCCCCTCCAAAAAAATAAGGCGATTCTTCAGCTCACTTCTCTGCTTAGAGTACTAGGCTAGGCCCTTACGTTAGATCTAGCTATTTTATCAAGTCTTTAACTTTTAGGAGTAAAATATGATTATCTGATTATGAAAAAAGAAAAATTCCATTCCTTCATTAATCGGATATTCTACTCTGAATGACTAATCTAGTATATGATAATGATGTAGCTACAGTAGATATAGATCTAGGTCTAGTTTACTCACTAAATCAAATTGGATATTCTACTCGGAATGAATAATGATAATACAGTAGATATAGATCTAGTTTGATTAGTTATACTCGCATCACTCGATCAAATTGGGCAGTACAATCATGCAATGCAGTGCAGCGGCCCGGTACGGGCGCCGAGTCAGTGAATTCCCCCGCCGACCCGGCCGGCGGCGCTGTACGGCTAGCTGCACACTGAGCTGAGCTGCTGCGGTAGCACTAGGCAGTAGTCTGCTAATTTACGGCCAGGACGAAAGAATGTGAACAAACATCAACCATCTCGTCTAAAATGTACTATATTCGACTTCTCAATAATGAAATCTGTGTCAGGAATAAAAAATAGACCTTCATACGAGATAAAAATGATATTTTTGCAGTGATTTACCGACGAAAACACTGCTCGAATTTCAGTGGTCCGAGTAGAAACAACGCACATTTAATGTACGTGCGGCAATGCGGATTGCGAGCTGTGAGTAAATTGTCCGAAATGTCATTTTTTTTGTCATTTTACCGAAAGATAAGTCATAGATTGTCTTCATTAGTATCATTTAACACAATTCCATTAAAGATTTAGGTTGGAAAGGGCATTATTAAGTCACAAAGAGCACAAACATATACACATTGGTATCTCTCGATCGATTAATCAGGTCGGGACATCTCGGCCCAGTTTTTCCAGCTGGGCCGAGTAGTCCCGTGGGCCGAGTTAGCCCGGATTCGATTTTTTAGATCGCGATATCTCCGAAATCCTTCGACGGTAAATTTTTCTAGTTGAACCAATCTGTAGTAAAAAACTTTGCCGTCCATTTGGTAATAATTGAAATAAATAAAGTTGTGTAGAATGTGAGAAATCATAGACCTCTAGATCGAATATCACATTTTGTAATATGTTCTAAAAATGTCCGCGAACTTTGGTCACCCCTTCATACTTATGACGGTTTCGAGAAACGGCACCCTGATCGACCGGGCTGGCAAAGCATGAGCCGATACCTAGCCCGAGCCTAAACGCTGAGAAGTTCGTCAGCGTCAAGGTTATCCGCCGAGGCGTGCCGCCCCGAGGAACCGCGTGTCCGTTAGGCGTACGGCTCCGACTCTCAGAGCTTCGATTATGTCGCAATGTATTCAATTAGTTTACCTCTTGCCTTTATTGTTTACGCCATGTAATTCACTATTATTTTCATGTCTACATGATCCATAAGAACATAACTAATATATTCAATTCTTACCAATTTACAGGCTACGTGAATGTTGGCATCAATTAAAATCAACCAGCATAACTAAGAGAGAATCAGGGGAGCCTGTCGACCATTAACCGGTACCAGCGCTTTGTAGGTTGGTTCTTTTCCGAGGGGCGCGCCCGTACCCGTACCCAGGGACCTCGGTTGGGGCGTGGCGTCGGAAAGAAAGAAAACGAGAGAAGGAAGGAAAAAGAAGAGAAGGAAGGAAAAAGAAGAGAAGGAAGGAAAATGAATTAAGTCAAGTAAGCTGAAAGGCGGATATGAGATGAGAGGGGTAGAAGATGATCGATGAAAGAGGAAAGAAATAGAAACATGAAACGGAAACAAGTTTAGAAAAACAGAAGAAAAAAACATTAATTAAAGCGACAGGATGGACGAAGAACAAATTATGACAATAATAGAGAGGATAAGGAAATAAAAGAAATAAAAAAAATTAGCAATGAGAATGACGAGGAACAAGCTAGGCCACCCTGGTAAAAGCTAATACAGAAAAATGTCATCTCCATGCAAGACTCACGACACAAACATACTTCTGGGGTGGGGTGCATGGGGGGGGGGGGGGGGGACTAATTGGAGGCTGTTGCCCCCCTCCCCTCTAAAAAAAAGTTTGACTCAAAGACCAACAAAAAAAGGAGAGAAAATTATAGAAGATGTAAGAAAAAAAGGGGGAAATAAAAAAAATACTGAAAATGAAAGAAAAATAGACTCAAGGGAGTTTTAAAAAAAGTCCATTTGCAGGACCTACATGTATAGCAATAAGGAAAAAGTAATCGTATATAAGGCTCATGTTTCATTCTTTGGGGTCTAATTAAAGAAGCATACCGGTATATGCTTCCTATAAAAATAGTTTTAAAAAATAAAAAGGATTTCTTAATTACAGGAAAACTTCTTTGAGCTAAAGGTTCAACTTTGACATGGCTGTAATTACTGTGGGGGATGAGGGGGTGCACGGGTCATAGAGTAGGGATCAGCATATTTGTCTAGAAATTTATCAAACACATTTCTCTCTATTCACTAGGTAATTAGTTCCAACCATAGTGTATTTAGAGAAATAATTGTGACACACGCACTCATACCTAATCAAAAGTCGGTTCATGGAGCTCCATATAGTTCACTCCCACATATAATCTCTACGGGAGCAAACTATTTTGAGCTCTATGAATTGACCTTTGATTGTGACCGTGTGTCACAACTACGTCTCTCAATGTGCTATGGCTCCAACGATACAAATACCACTCAATCACATTCACAACCTATATGCCACCATCCAAATAATCCAACAGGAAATGTGAAAGTCCAAAAAGGATCCCATTCATTAGGAATACATTGTTTGCCCTTTCAAATTTCCTGTCTTCATTTTTTCACAAGATAAGTCACTGATTCAGGCAACACTAGTCAGCTGTACAAAATTATATTTATTTACAAGCATGATACACATACATGTACATAAAGAAAAACATCTTGAAACAAGAAGAGTATCATAACGTGCAATAATCTTTTGTGCAAATGCTGATTGTGCTTTTTATATATATACATATATATACACACATGTACAATGTATCTTACAGAAACGTTGCATACAATGTGTATTGTAATTATTATTTGTTTAACCCAGGAAACAACACCATACCCAATTACCCTAACCCTATAAGTCAAGCCATGACCTATCCCAACACTAAAGCTATTGCTATATTTAAAATAACATCAATCCCAAAGCAAATGTCGCCAGAGAAGGCGACACAGGTAGATTGAAAGGTTCAGTCTTTTATTTCGACAGTTGTTTCATTGAGACTACGTACGTCTTGCTCCACTGACCACCTTTACTTATGGGGAAGGTTGACAAATGTCTGATCAGATCAGCTACTTGCCACTATAGAATGTACAGACGGAGTCTGTGGAAATTGTATGGGCACATTACGCTTCAGTTGAATAACAAGACAGTTGGTTTGTAATACTTCAAAATACACCATTCAATTAAACTGACAACAATATTTTCGATTCTACTGTACGCTAAAATGTATGATTCATATAAACGTTTATTTACAACAATGTCATAATACTTCAGCTTACAAAAGCTATACAAGGCATACAATAAATCTAATAACGATCAACCTACAAATACATGGGACGATTATACACAGCACGAGCCAAGTAGATATCAGTTTGGTATTAATGATAAAGAAAGAAATAGCTGGGAGGGGAACATCAAACTCTGAGCGGGGAGAAGGTACCTAGTAGATATGAGAAACATTATTCCTCACTGCCAAAAAAAAATGGTCCAAGCCATGTAAAATTTACATGTGCATTTCAGAGCAACATAGAGAAGACACAACACAACAATTTCTTTCTCAAATAAAGTAAACAATTACTAGATTTGATGAACAATCAAATATTTGGTCTGTTTGGAGCCAGATAGGCCTTAAATGCTATACTTTAAGTAACACAGATTTAGCGCCCTTCTGGCTGTGACAGTCACTTTGATTCTTGATTATGATATTCAACTACATAATATGCACTATATACACAACCATTGAAAAACTATTTCAATGGTGGGAGGAAAATACAAACATACTAGTCAACATATTTACAAGTTCGATCTAATGACAAAGTCAAATATTACTCAGAATTCTGCAAGCACAAAAACATGAACCTGAATCTCTTCCCATCTACCCTCCTGAAAAATTGAAAGCGACCATTCTGTGAACTCCTCACTGAATTTACAGAATTTTTATTCCTGCGTTGAATGTAGCTTTTATATTAAAATACTCAATCCACCCGACAGATACAATCATCCTTTCACTAAATAACAACACATGGAGATATAAGTTTGTTAATGCTATCCAATAGCTATCACAAATAAATACTGATATGTAGAGCACCTATATTTGTGCATAAACGAATGCATATTACATACATTTCCCTTCCAATTTGTAATTATGAAGGGCATCTAGAATACTGGGTATAACAGGATAATAATAATAATACAGCATTTGTTATGCGCCATCGATCTAGTAAACTATTCTGAGGCGCAGAGGGATAGAATTAGAATGAGTTACGTAGAGAAATGAGAAGGGAAAAAAAACACGTCCTATTGGCTGCCGAACATCTCATGGAGTAGGTTGAGGTTAGGATCCTGTCGGCACATTTGACTTGGCACCTTATCCATTATCTAGAGAAGGATAAAGACAAACATAAAATCAGACCAAGTTGAAAGTGTTGTTGTTTATGTACTCATATTATGAATATGACTGACAAAGAAAGCAGACAAAATATACAGTTCCTCAAGGTAGACAAAGGAACATCCCTTCACTGCTATTATGTAAAAATGTGTAGAACAGGTGTTACATGCATATTCACCTGTTCTACACTTTTTTACATTATAGCAGTGAAGGGATGTTCCTTTATCTACCTGAGGAACTGTATATTTGTCCGCTTTCTTTGTCAGTCATGTTCATAGTGCATACTTCTTCTGCATATGGCACATCTTTGGGGGAGTAAAGACTGTTTTGATTGTTTTCCTAACAATTAATTATTGCAATAAAACATCCAAGATATACTTGAATTGCAACATTTCAGAAGAGTTTAGAGTTCAGTGTTACAATATTGCTAGGTATTATCAATTAAAACTTAATATTTAAATTAGTTCTTATGATATTAGTAAAATAATAATAATAATAATAGCCTAATAGTCCACTCCAAATTTTATTAAAGCTCAGTGGAAAAAATTGGTTCTCAACTTTTCAATTGTTGATGGCAGATCATCATTGGGAATGTGAAACTTCATTTAATTCCCCATTTGCTATTCATGGTCTTTAAAAAAAAACTTTCTACTTTACCATGATGGGTGTTTTAGGCTGTTTAAATTAGTGTTGTGTGTGAATGAGGCTACAATCAGGGCCCTGTTTCATCAAACTTATTATCAATAACAACTGCCACAGATCTATGACAAATCTGCTCACAGCCAATCTAATGTAAGGATTTGATAGCTTATAACAATCATCATAGCTCGTTATTGATAATATGTTTCATGAAACAGGGCCCAGGTTTGACCTTGGTCTCTTACCTTTCTGCAATGGTCAAAGAGTTGATCGAGTCTGTGGATCTCTGCTTCAGCCTTCTTCCAATTGCCCTCTAAAACTTTCATCTAGTTAAACAAACCAATGCACAAGAAGCAAGTCAAAATTCATTGTTAAAAAACAGTAAAAATTCTGATGCATGAAAAAAAAAGTCAAACAAGTCTTTATGTACACATTGTGATGGTGAAGCCTACACAGTTTCACAGCCATCCCTTGGAAAATGATGAATGACTTTGCTTTTGCAAGATTATTTGATCACCTAAATGTCTGATTGACGAACTAGCTGTGAGATGACTCCCATGTTCAATCATCTTTATAGGGTATCATTATTGTAAGCAATGAAATATGTCATAAATAAAATTGAGGAAAACATATCTAGACTCTTAGAAACCGATAGGACAATGTAAGAATTCTATCAGCAAAAAATCTTTAACATACATGGAATATGTGATCATTTTTTTTTAAAGTAATAAACAAGAACTGAAATTAAATGGATGGTTATTTTACCAAACATATAATTATAGAGATACGATTCTCACCTGTTTTCCAGCCTTGCTCTGGAACAGCTCATAATCTTCCTGCCTTTTGAAGAACTTCATGCGACCCTTGTCCAGCTAAATAAATGGCAGACAGTAAGAGAGAGAGAAGGAATGATACTAGAATTTCAACATGCTCAACAATCTGAACATTCCTGCCAACATTTGAAAATGAGAATTAAGAATTTTTAGCACGGTATGTCTTAACAGGCGTTCGCACATGCAGCAGCAGTGTAACTGGCAATACGCGGTAAATCTGTGCAAAAAAGCAAATACGAATTCGCTGCTCAATCATGCAGCCCTTCACCGTTCACAATACGTGAACTCTCACATCGCGGCATATGATAAAACAAGCTTAATTTGGCTTCAGCAAAAAAACCAAAAAAAATTGAAAAAACAGAATATTCCGGGTTTTGGGGTACTAAAAATCCAGAGAAACAGAATATTCTGGATTATTCGGAAGGGTTGGCAGGTATGTCTGAATGATCTAAAGTTAATGATGCCTAGCTTGAAACTAACAAAAACCTGGCTAAATTGTTGTTCAAGTGAGGGGTTTCTTTCAGTGGCTTGCCCATGCTCCCGCCATCTCAGCGTGAATACTGTACATCTTATACATGATGGCACTTACCTCTTTCTTCAGGTGAAGGTTTTCTTTCAGCAGCTTGCCCATGCTCTCTCCATCCCCAGTAGCAGATGCAGCAGCTTGTCTCGGCTGAGAGGCCAAGGCTTCAAACTGACTCATCACCATCTCTTTCTCTCTGGTAACCAGCTGCAGCGATGATGTAAGGCGCGCAACCTCTTCCTCTAGAGCCTGTGGGATGCGAAAGATGAGGACAGAAAAATGCTAAGATGTCATATTTTAATTCTTTACATATTTCTGCCTTTACTTCTCTTTTTCCATCAGATCACCATTACACAAACACTATGGTTCTCTTCTCTTGTTTTCATAACTCCTCTTCCTCGCTTTTTTTTATATTGAAAACACCTTCATCCTGGATTGCCTAATTTCTCCCTACTCCAAACTAGAACCCTCAACACCAAGGTCATTAAAAGAGAAGGAAATAGCTACTGTAGTTGTTCAGATATAATTTTTTTTCTCTCTCTCTCTCTCAGTTCCTCCTCCTCTAAATACTTTGGACTTATTCTTGTATGTATCCAGCCATCATTTGATTGAATTGATCATGGTTTTACCCATTAACTAACTAATTTTGTTGTTCCTCTAGGCTTACTTCAGCAGCCATCCACTTTAAAAAAAAATTTTTTTTTTAAAGACGGCTTTGGGATAAGCAGGAACATGAGAAGGAGGAATGAGCCAATTAGAATCTGAGGAAAACCTGATAACAGGACAAGATAGAATTTCCAAACGTGATGCTGGAGTGAACTTCCCCTCTAAAAGTGGGTGGAGAATTTACACTTTAATGTGCCGAACAGCAATTGATCGAATGACCAGGGTTATAATAACCCTGTAAGCGCTTTGGTCAGTTGCAACTGGTCTAGCATTTTATAAGAAACCGTTAGTTCCTTAAGCAATTGCCTACTGCACCCGGGTGATCCATGTATTAAGCCTATGGAAATTAGAGAAAATCAGTACTTGGTATTACCTCTATCTTTGATTTCTGGTCCGAGAAGCGAGCCAGGTTGGTGGCCATGCTCTCGATCCTCTGCTGTGCGTAGTCTATGGCCTGGAGCTGCTCACACGACTGGTTCTGAGCGTCGGCTAGACTCTGCTGGAGCTGGTGACGATGCGTCAGGGACTCCTCAAGCTGGTCCCTCAGCAGCCGTACCTGGTTCTCAGAACGCTGTATGGTCTTCTTGGAGCTTTGATCCTTCTCTTGGCTATAACAGAGAATTCAAGAAATAATGATAACAAGAAATATCAAACGAATTTGAAGTTATGAATATGGGCATCATCTGGTAATCATTGTTCGGTAACATTCATTCTAGTCACATTAACAATGTAAGCAATGTTATCAGTGTTGCATAAATGTAGCAACATGATGGTAGCTGATCAATCTTTCCATCTAAATTATAAATTGCAAATACCTCATTTTATCATTTGCTGTAAAAACCATGATAATCAAAATTTACACAAGATTTCACACTATATATACCAGGATACATTAACAAAAATTATTCCCATTATTATATTTCCTCAAAAATTTATCTTTCATCATGCAGCAACATCATTCTTTTGTGCCTCTTCTCTGGAAAACCATTTATGTGTTTTAAAGATACTGTGAACCCTAGAAATGGTTTGACCATTTTCTACAACATATCCTCATGCTTACATTTGTTGTTGAAGTCTGGACACTTCTTCTCTCAACTTCTCCTCATTCTCTATGAACACAGTGAACATCTTTGCAAACGATCTCTTCAGCTTCAAGATCTGATCGGGTAGTGGCTCAACTGACTTCTTCTCTCCGGCAGCATCCTTGACCAGTGTTTCTCCTTCCCGACGGTCATCCTGAGTGCTTGGTCTGACCGCTTGGAAGGCACTTGAGGACGACTGACCGATAGTCAGCCTTGGATCACCGTCTTCCTGGTGATTCTGCTGTGCTGGAGTGACCAGCTCAGTCTCACTGACACTAGGTGCTTCTTCACCAGGGGTTTCGATGTGATCAACGGCTCTGAGCACAGACACCACTAGAGATCCTGGTTTAGCAGAGGCTGCAGAAGACTCGGTGTGCTTGGAGCGATGGTTCGATCCACGACCTCGCTGTTCTGTGACAAAACCTCCTGATGATGCTTCTTCAACCTATTATCAAGGAAAATTAAGATTTGATAGCTTAACCCTATAATCATAAATTCACCTTTTCCAGACCATAATGGTGATCAATGTCAATATAAACAAATTTGGTTTCAATAAAGTGATGCATTTAACTGGTATGATGCAAAGAAAGAAAAACTAGATGGAACTTCAACTGCGCGCAGTCGAAATGATGCCTCCGTCATAGAGCAATTTTACAAACCAAAACAGAAGAAATTTGTCAAATTCAAGTTCAATTGTAATCCATTAACAGGTTCTCAGAATATCGTGATTACAAGCAATTTCTCATATACATATATGACCCTTTGATCTTTGACCTCATGACCCTAAAATCTACTCAGCTCATTGGCTGTGCAAGATGTCCCGAGTTAAATAGTAAAGTAATCCCTCTGTCAGTTCTAATGAGAATGCGTTCACAAGCTATTTTTGCATACATTATGAGCCCATGACCTTTGACCTATGACCTCATGACCCAAGAATCTACTCAGTTCATTGGCTCTACAAGATACATACATAAACTAAGTTTGGCAGGAATCCATCAATCTGTTCTAATGATAATGCGATCACAAGCTATTTTTCAATACATAATAAGCCGCATGACCTTTGACCTTGACCTGATGACCCCAAAATCTAATCAGTTCATCGGCTCTGCAAGTAACAAACATGACCTAAGTTTGGCAGGAATCCATCAATCGGTTCTTCAGATAACGCGATCACGAGCTGTTTTTGCATACATAATAAGCCCTGTGACCTTTGACCTTGTGACCCCAAAATCTAATCAGTTCATCGGCTCTGTAAGATACATACATGACCAAAGTTTGGCAGGAATCCATCAATCGGTTCTTCAGATAACGCGATCACGAGCTGTTTTTGCATACATAATGAGCCCTGTGACCTTTGACCTTGTGACCCCAAAATCTAATCAGTTCATCGGCTTTGTAAGATACATACATGACCAAAGTTTGGCAGGAATCCATCAATCGGTTCTTCAGATAACGCGATCACGAGCTGTTTTTGCATACATAATGAGCCCTGTGACCTTTGACCTTTGACCTTGTGACCCCAAAATCTAATCAGTTCATCGGCTCTGTAAGATACATACATGACCAAAGTTTGGCAGGAATCCATCAATTGGTTCTTCAGATAACGCGATCACGAGAACGGGACGTACGGACGTACGGACGGACAACCCGAAAACATAATGCCTCCGGCTACTTCGTAACGGAGGCATAAAAATGCATGAGTGCCCTTTGGTAAGGTATTAAATCTCAATTATAGAGTTCCTTAGATAGGATTTTAAGTCGTAGATCCCCCTGGTTCCTCATCTAGAAGCTATCCTGCTTTCTTAGGAGCAGTCAGGTACAATAAATAGTCAATCATTCTGTCAAGAAGTGCTTACCTTTACAATAGCCTGATCTGACATTTTGGCCACTGCGGAAGAGATGCCTTGACAGAGTTCAGCCAGCGCTGCAGAGGCATCGTTGATCTCAGAACCTTGATTGAAGAGCATCCAATGTGCCTGTGCCTTGGTGTGGTCTAACTCACTCTGCAAAGACTCTACCTGCTCACTGTAAATGGGGAATAGAGAAACAAAATGTTACACATTGAGGGTTCAATGACACAAAGAGTAACTCCATATTTTGCCAAAATGAGCATTTGATATCAAAATGTTCAGAAAAATGTGGGCTTTCCAGGAAACACAAAGACTTAACTCTTTCTATCGCTACCCAAATCCCTAACAGATGAAGTAATATTGTGGTGGTGGTTATTTTACCTGACTGCTAAGAAAGCATAAATGCTTGTTAGTAAGCAACCAGAGGACCAACGGCTTTAGGTCCTCTCCGAGAGACCTGGGTAATGAGGATTAATGTCTTACCAAAGGGCACTTAGCGATGCCTTGGTTTCGAACCCGGGTTCCTAGAATACAAGACCACTGCTCTACCAACTGAGCTATCGCGCCTCAACTGAGCTAACGTGTAACACCGAATCACAACCCGAGCCTTATTAGATATTTTTGAATAAAAAATGCTTAGAGGAAATGTTGTTGGAGCATGGTGTCAGATCACCACCTTACCTGAGAGAAGACATAGACTCCTGGAGCTGTCTCCTGCAGAGCTCTGCCTGAGTGAGGGAGGCCTTGCTCCTGGACAGCTCCATGCTAGTGATACGGAGCTCATTCTCCACCTCCGCTGCAGACTCCTCCAGAGCCGTCCTCTCCTCTTCAAGGAACTGCTTGTTCTCCTGGAACTGTTTCACTTGAGTCTGTATTAAAGAGAGGATGGAAAGGACCGATTGTTACATCCAGCAACAAAATGAAGAGCTTGGCAAACTTCATCTGGTTGAACAACACACGCTAAGATGGCAATTGCCTACACGTACCAAATTCTCTAATTTCAACCCTGGACCACACACATTAAACTGTATGCAATACCTAATCCTAACCCTAACCATATATATTTGATATAGAAGTTGGAGCAATCATCAACAGAGAATATGTCAGTGGCTCGGAGCACCCTTTACATTTAATTCTCATTCCATTCATGAAGCCTAGTAAAATACATTGTTTACATGAATATCTGCGTAAAGATAAAGATGATTGCAGTTTCGAAATAAATTATATGGAATCTGCATACTGGTAAATAATGATTATCTTTGTGCTTGTCATAACAGAAACAGTGAATAGTACTGAAGACAGGGATGCCAGTTAGAATTGATCAGAGGGCCTGAAAATCACCTAGAATGAGCTATGTTGTACACACAAAAAGCCTAAACTATGGTCTGAAAATAACTCGCCGGGGCCAGAGTTCAGGCTATTGTCTGAAAACTGGCATCCCTGTGAAGTGCAACACAACTAGTAACCATTACCAAATTGTCTTGAACTCTAAAAAATTAACAAGAGCACTGCTGATACAACAATATTTTTAAGCTTCTCATTCTTTTCCAACATTTAGTAAAACATTTTGATAACTGATGAGTAAAGGACGATACTTTGGATGAAAAGCCTGCAGAAATTGTTGGAAGAGAAAGGAGTGAAAGAACTGGGAGTGGTGCTAATAGAGAAGGCAATAAACCGAGGGTTGTGGAACAGCATGATCACCAAAGTCATCGATATGGCACTTAGAGAGAGAGAGAGAGAGAGAGAGACGAGTAAAACAAGATACCTTCAGTTTTGACTTGACGAGTATCAGCTCTGCTCCAGCGTTCCTGCAGGTCTCAAGTTCAAGCTCCATCTCTGAGATCCTGGTCCTGCGTTCCTCACTGGTCCTCTTGGTGTCCTGAAGCTCTGCTTCCACCGAGTAGAGTTTGGCCTTGGCGGAATTCAGATCGATACCAAGGATGAGCTTCTCGGTTGAAACGCTGTTGAGTGAATAAAATAGGAAAGAGAAAAAATTGGACGTTACCTTGATGGAGAAGCTCTATCTAATTGAGTGTCCGAGCTATAATTAAAGCCCCACTGTACTACTTGTAGCTACGTGGTCCCTCTATATAGAAAACAATGCCTAATTGGTGCCTGTTGGTCCCCCATGATCCTCTTTTTCTTATGTTAATTGAGAGGTGAGTTGATGAGATAGCCACCTGTCAGTGACCATGCTGGGTGGTCTAATCCCTCGTGGCCAAAATAGTAAAGACAGGCTTTAAGGGGGAAATTAAAATCAAGGCAATACTTCTCTAAGCATATATCTTATACATCATTTGTTGGTAAGTAACTTCCTTGGGTAATGGTGACATGACCTTTGTAAAAGACTTATAATCTTTTTTTCTCAAAATTAATGCAACATTTATCTTCAGCATTTTTCTTAAACAAATTCTTAGAATTCTTCTGCCACAAATTTCATGTCGAAACAAATTTCAAATTGGGCTTTTCTATTACCAAGAAACAATTCACCAAGAATCAGAAATTCACTTCAACCTACCTCTGACATTGCTTATGAAGCTGATCGATGGTTTCTTGCAAGTTTGTCTTTGTCTGATCAAGCTCAGTTTGTATCGTCTTTTGCTGCTCTACCTGTACCAAGATGGCTGCCTCCTGATTCTGCTGCTCCAAGAAATGAGCTACCTCCCTCTCATCAAGTTGAGTGCACTTGCTGGAAAGTGTTTGCAACTCCTTTTCTTTATTGGTAATATCTAAAATAAAGGAAAGATATCAAATTAGGAGTTTTACCTTAAGCTACTGGCGATAGTTTGAACTCAATTAACCATGGATCTATGGTAAACTGTAAACTTTCGCCACATGCAACTTTCGCAATATATCTCTTGTGAATGTCATTATTATTATTATTATGCAATATTTGGCGTCGCCGGTGCCTGTGAGGTGAAAAGCAAACTGAATCACTGTAACCTTTGGGTCTCATCCCCCTGTATAACTTATTAGGGGTGTCATGTGGACCACTACACCGGGGTTTCCTCCTACTCTTATACAAATATTGCACTGGGTTCTTAATGTGCAAAGTTTGGGCATTCCTCTACACAGGGACTCCATTTAATGTCATACGTCTATGAAACAGGGGAGGGGCTCGCTATCGAACACCACAGCCTTTAGTCATCCGCCTGGGTTAGGTTGCAACACAAAATCTTTGTTTCCACAGGCAGATGCATTACCGACTGAGCCCACTACGAGTAAAACACAGGCAAAATTAGTGAAAGGCTCTTGCACTCAATATTGTTCTTGTTTTATAGAACTTGGCTATTCTGCATTGTCCTTGATTGATCTCAATTCCCTCTCTCTTTGTCTATTAAAGAAGATCATGATTTATTACTTGTTAGTTTGAAAGCACTAACTGCTGTCAGCCCTAACAAAGAGTTTGAACAATCCAAAATAGAGAGTGACACTCACATAGGGCACATATTTTACTTTCTTGATGTTATGTGTCCAATAAGAGTCTATGCTTGCAGATAAGAAATTGATCTTTGCAAATGAACGCATTATCAAATGAGCTGCATCCCCCCCCACCCCCAAGACCATTTCATGGTACAGTAAAACGTGTCTTTAGCAACCGCCCAAGGGAAACCCAAATGTGGTCTTTGTAGACAAGTGGTGTTTGTAGACAAGTTCCATTAGTACATGATTCAATGAGAAACCATTTTCAAGGGAAACAAAAAATGTGCTTGTTGTAGACAGGTGGTCACTTAAGCAGGTTAGACTGTATACACCATTATCAATGCAATCTTAATGCTAACCAGCTTCTTTTGCTTCCAGCGTTCCTTGCAGATCTCTCATTCCAGCCGTCGCTTCTGTCAAGTCGTTCTCCATCGCGCATCTCCTCTCCTCTGCCTCCTCCTTCATCTTCGTCATCTCCTCCATCTTCTCATCGTTCTCTCTCATCCTCCTCTCTCCATCCTCCACCTGCTGCCTCCAAGATTCCTTCTCTTCCTCCAGGCTAGCCTTGCCCTCTTCCAATGTCTTCATCTACGTGGAGGGAGGAGGGAAAAGTGGACCATTCATCCCATAATTGTACATGGAGAAATCATTTGAAGTATATTTAACATCAGGGGGGTGTTTCACAAAACTTGTCATCAGTGACCAATGACACTTTTTGTTACAAGCTACTGAAATCCTTGCTTCTGATTGGTTATCAGCAGATTTGTCACTGATTTTTGTCATTTGTCACTGAAAAAAGGCTTTGTGAAACATCCCCCTTGGCTTATCTTATAAAGAGTTGATATTAATCGCAACTTATTTGTGATTGATATCATTCGCAACTATGTAGATAAGCGATAGGAGATTTCAAAACTTGCAATTGATTGGAGGACTTGTGATTGACAGGCCCTGGAAGATATACAACCTGTATAGCATTGAAGGATCCGAGATGAAATAGGCTATGAAAAGAGACTTATATAGTTGAGGCAACGCAATTTGCAGAAAGCAAATTTTAGGGTAAGGTTGAGGTATTAATGGGATCAATGATTATCTCTCGTTATATAATAATCCATCTCTAGACCTTCACTGTAAATAGGACGGTGAGCCCAATAGTGTTGGACCAACAGATAATGAGCATATTTCTAGTCCTTTGTTGAGGTGCATGCTGGCTTAGTGGTTCTTTCTCATGATTAATTACTTAACGACCATGCATATTACAAGTTCAAAATCCTGGGCTACTATTTGACCCCTTACAAGGTATTGGTCACATTATGACATTTCTTACCTGAGCTGTAACTGCACCATGATGCTGCAGTGTCATCTGGAATAGCGATTCCACATCTCTGAAGGTGCTCTGCGCGACTTCAAATTGATTCTGAAATTGCATAAAATATAGGGAAAATGTCACAACTTTAATACATACCATTCAGAGAACATACAGCATTTCATGACTATGATTTCTTTGGGCATGCTGTGACAATGCCGATTCATAAAAATCAAAACCTGTACTTGAATGGCTCTATTCAAGATATCCAGTACTGCAATGAATGCACTGAGCTGTGTCTTTAATTGATGCACTCTCTTCTTAAAGCGGGACTGCACTACTTGTAGCTACTTGCGCCCTCTATATAGCAAAAAATGCCTAAGCGGTACCTGTTAGTCCCCCATGATCCCCTTTTTCTTATGTTAATTGAGAGCTGATTTGATGAGATTACCACCTGTCTGTGACCATGCAGGGAGGTCTAATCCCTCCTGGCAAAACTAGTGCAGATAGACTTTCAAGTGACTCTGTAACATTGCCTAAGAATCTGAAACAAAATCATGGACTTAGCTCATGCTTCAATCATAATTATAATCCTTTAGGAATCCCATGGCTTTAACAAGCCGATAGCCTGTCTGATTATCAAGATATTTATGATTGGAAATCTAAATCAAATTTTGCGTTTTCCTAATGTTTTTTAAACTTTTTTGAGGCACTTCATGAACATTTTGAAGTGCAATTTTTTTAGGGCTTCCATAGTACACCATATCACAGACACTGATAACACGTAGGGCCATGCCTCTCAGAATTAACATTGTTAAACAATGCATTTAAAGTACATAAATGAAGATTGATAGAAATTGATTACAAACCTGCACTTGAATGGCTCTATCCACAGTACCCTGTAGCTGTATGAAAGCATCAAGCTGTGTCTCAAGCTCGCATACTCTCGTCTGACTCCTCGTATAATGCCTCTCATAGTCCTCCTTCTTGTATTCAGCCTCCAACTCAGAAATCTATAAGGCAAAGAAGGAATTGATTATTATTCAATAAGCAAGTTCGTAATTAGGATTTGCGCATGGGCAGATAAAGGTCATTCGTACCCAAATTGTAAAACCATTGAGACGAATACTCGGATCGTGCTCATGAAAGTTATGTAATCAGTATTCATTTATGCACCAACAGTACATTTACCGTATCTGATACACAGGTGGGAGTATTTTTCTCAAGAGGCAAACAAAAGGTATTCATGAAGCACCTCCATCACTTTGGCAGTGATTATTCTAAAATGCACAGGTGGGAAGTATCCATCATGTCTAAGATCTGTGGATATTTTGGGGTCAAGCGGTCCAGAGCTATTTACAAACTCGCTTATTAGGTTACTCTTTAACCCACATAATTGAATTCTTTGTGAGTTTTGTTATACCCTGTAATGCAACTTGACAGAGAATTTAAACAGGTTTTGGTCATTCATGATTCAATACTTATTCCACCGCCCCACCCAATAGCCCAAACGGACCCCTATGTCTGGAACCACTACTCTCAGCAAAACCATATAGACATTATCAGATCAATATGAATAGGTTCACGTTGTACATGTGGAGTCAAATATGCAAGAAGTGATATGACTGTACTTGCTTGTTGTGGGTTTTCATATGAGTGCTTTATTTTAATAGAGAAAATAAATTCTAATCATGAGTATAGAGAGTGAGTTTTAACCCTGTTTTAACCAGGGGGGGGGGTCAATTTGAGTCAACCCCCCCCCCCTCCCCCTATAGTAATTTAGTGACTAAATAGCCCGGTTAAAATAGGGTTAAAGTAAAAGACATACCGTAGGGGTCACCAAACATCATGGTGAAAAATTGGAGAGAGAGAGAGAAGGAGAAAAAGAGAGAGAGAGAGAAGGAGAAAGAGAGAGGGGGGGGGGAGGAAGAAAGGGGGAGGGGGGAGGAAAGACATAAAAGACACAAATATAACAAATAATAATGTACATCAAATACGATTGAGTATACCCAGCATACCTGTTGTTGATGTTGCCTGTAAGCTCTACAGAGGTCATCTTGCAGGTCAGCTATCTGCTGTTTATATTCCTTCTTCATTTTCTCATTATCATCCTTGAGACTGGATAGCATCTGAGTTTTCTACAAAGAGGGAGGAGGAAAAGGAATTGAAATGGCAATAATAATTACTAGTTACATTTACTACTAATAATAGCACTACAACATTTATTATGCATCATCGATCTAGTAAACTATCTGAGGCGCAGAGGGAGATTACCCTGGCTTTAGCACTGCTGCCATCACGGCGCTCTAGCATTTCAAGGAATTAATTCCTGCCAGGTACCCATTTACATCACCTGGGTTGAGTGTGGCAAATGTATACCAATGTCTTGCCAAAGGACATTAGTGATCGACAGTCTGGTAATCCACTCAATCATGACACTTTTACATGGATATTGCCCACACATCCATCCCATGGGATGCTCAATGTGCCTACAAAGTATTATTATAACCTTGGCTTTTAGCCCTGCTGCCCTCCCTCTAAGGTGCTAAAAGCATTCAAGGAATACATAAATCATCTGCTTTCCTGACTACAGGAATGTTTATTAGCTCTTCCAGAGAGGGTAAATATATTGGGATGAAGAGGCTCAAGAATCATAAATTTTAAAAAAAGGAAAAGGAAAAGCGCTGCTGACCAATGAGAGATATAAGAGGACAGGAATGGGAGGCTTTAATAGCAAACAAAGAAAATTAATAAAGAACCTGAAAAGATGAATTTACTTTTTTTTTTTTTTAATATTGCTGACCGTAACACATATTACTTGTTTATAGCACAAAGATGTTAAAAGCTTATTGAAACATTTTATCATTTTGACATCAACATAATACCAACCCTTCTATTTTTTTTTTTAAGTTGTTGTGTAGGGTTGAGAATACATGTACCAAAATCATCAAATTCGTAGTCCAATAGACATACATGTAATGACAAAAAGCAAGTTTTTGAAACAGTCAAACATCAAATTCATTGACTGATGATTGCATCCTCATGGAGGTATTCTCGAAAGCGGACTAACTTTAGTCCATGGTTTAATCCACCGACTAAGTATGGAATGCCAAGTGTCCATATGAATATGTTTTTTAATAATTTAGTCTGTCACTAAATTAAAATAAAATGTAATAACATAATTAATACTTAACAATATAACTATGATATAATTATGTTATCATGGTAATTTAGGGACATATCAAATTATTAAAAAATGTATTGATATGGACACTTGGCATTCTATAATTAGTCAGTGGATTAAACCATGGACTAAAGTTAGTACGCTTTCGAGAATACCACCCTCAGTTTTTGAACGGAACATCATGGAAGTCTTACCTCTCCTAGAGCAGCCTCCATTTGACCTATCTGCATCATCTGCTCTCCCACCTGACACATCAAATCATCTATCTCCTTATCAGCCGACGCCTGCAAGTCAAAGTGAAAACATCCATATCACAAGGATTCAGAAACTAGAAATGGCTAAAGGTAGGGGTAATGGAGGATTACAAAATGTAAATGTTTGATGTCTGTCTCAATCTAGACATGGTCTTGATTTTCATCTACCTTTACACCGTACTTAGTTTGAATAGTTTGCCAGATGACATAAAACAGTGCAATACATTGAAATGCTTCAAATGTATGTATAAGGATTATTAAGAAGGAAAAGACTCACCCTGCCCATTCTCTTCATCTGTCTCATCTTATCTTCATTCATCACCCCCTGCTCTTCGTTCTCCTGGACCTGTCTCCTAGCAACGGTCAGCCTCTCATCCGCTTCGGCCTTCTGAGAGCGCAGCATCTGTATCTCAGTCCTCAGCAGCTGATTGCTGATGGCTGCCGTCTGGACGTGGCTCACAAGCTTGGCAGGATCAACAGAATTTGGACTCGTACTAAACCTAATGAGAAGAATAAGACCATACATGTAGGTGCGATTCATGCATTATCAGCTCAAAAACTTAATAAGGTCTACTAATAAAGTAATATCCAATACTTTCCAATGTTAACGAGAGGAAGTATGTTGAGCATATCTCACTCTTCTTATGTTACTCTATCCACCTTTCCTTCTTACTCTTTCTTACAGCGCATAGAGACATATTGTGGTATGCGCTTTATAAGTTTGGTATATTATTACTATTATTATCTACAGTGTATACAAGAACTAGGTCGTAAATTTCCTTTGAATAAAAGGCAAAGGCTTTATTTTATCCATTGATGGTACTTTCTGGATTTGTTTTTACTCCATTTCTCAATTAGCAATGAAGTATAATTAATTGTATATTTACTGCTCTTCTAAAAGTCAAGTTTACTTATAATTTGTTATCCATTACAATTATTACTGCATCATTTTATGGACATTTTTTAAAAAGACATAATTCTAAGAAAATCAGTAAGTCTGCATTACCTGATTCTAATTATATATGGATTGTGACAAAGCACCATCAGAAATTTTCAAACCAATATTAAGCTTTATAAAATGGGTTCAAGAATGTAGCCAATAAGTAGCATCAAAATTGATCATGTGTGCGTGCATTAGCTTTAACCATACACGCACGGGGAGTGCATTTTGGTGATAACAACCATGCAAAAACGGTGCAAAAAAAAAAGGCATAATGAACGCTGCATGTAATTCAATGGATTACGAGAAGTCGCACCATGCAATGCACAGTTTGTTTACGAGGCCACTGCTGCCGCGATTGTCTGTGTGCACACGTTATTTGTTATGAAGGTTGCAGGTTTACAGTGTTATCCCCTTGCTAAGCAAGATTGTCGACCCATTTTATATAACAAATAATACACAGGTTTTCGTTCCTGACGATATGGCGGTGGAGCGATATTCGGGTATTCCTAATGGCACAAAATACAGTCGGTTACCCCTCAGGAATTTTATTGCACCATAGTGAATGCACTGCATCGACCATAACGCACTCACACCTGTGTATTATTTGTATACTAAATCCCTGAAGATATACATACATTAATTTTAACACTTTTAAACATACTGCTTCTGAACATGTTCAACCACCTACCTAAGACTCGGCACAACTGGAGGTGACGTGAGCGTCTGGGTGCTGCAGACAAAGACGGGAGTCATCGCTGTGTTACTATCAATATACTGATGTGGTGTCGTTCCACAGTTCATGTGAGTCATGCTGATTGGAGTACTACCCACTTCTCTGTCTGAAGTGGCCTTTGGCGAGGTTCCAACCGCTCTCTCTGTCCTGGAGGGAAGGGGTGACATCCCGACTCCCGTATCCATCAGGTGTACTGTTGGCATCTCTGTGCCAGAGTCCTGCACCTTGGCTGCTGGGGAAGTCCCCATAGCGATGCTCTGCATCTTGACAGGTGTCATCCAGGAAGAGGTGTCCTGGACACTGACCGGGGATGTTCCGACTCCAGTGGCACGCTGTTTCACCGGGGTCCCCACCATTGCGTCACGGACCTCCGGCTGTCTTGCATCCGAGCCGCAGTCCGTCATCTCAATGCCCATGTCCGTGGATGAGTCTGTGACTTTGGTCGGCGAGGTGTTTGTTTGAGCGTTGCTTGGTTTGATGGGAGTCATGGATACACCTACAGAAGCTACCTTCAAAGGTGAGCCAATCATGGCATCCTGCAGTTGGACAACTTCAGTCCCTGTGCCACTCTCCTGCAGAGAAACAGCGTTGGTTTCTGTGGATATGTCTGAGATCTTCACTGGGGTCATAGAGGTATCGGTATTAGCAACCTTTACTGGGGTCATAGAGGTATCTGTATTAGCAACCTTTACTGGTGTCACACCGGTTGATGTTTCTATGAGCCTCAAGGGAGTCATGCATGTCTGGGTGTCTTTGACTTGATGAGAAAAAGCATTGCTTTGCACATCATTCATGCTAGGAGTTGTGCACACTGCAGTATCTTGCATGACAGGAGAATCAGTTCTTGCCGTGGTATCCCTGGAGTCATACTGACTGTGAACAAACTTAAGGAACTCGTCTTCATAGCTACCTTGGCTGTCACGAGAGGCGTGGCTCAAGCCGTCTCCTGCTCTACGATTGGCCACCTCTCTCCTGGGCGGCAAGAGCATGTAGCCTGGCGACACCCCTAACAGACTTCCTCCAGCGCTCAAGGAAGCAAAGGTATCAAGAAGAAGACGGGTACACGGACTGGTCCCTTGGGTACTCACTCTAGATGGGGTTTCATCATCAAACGAAAGGCTTCCTACCAGACTATCATCAATATTTTCATCAACGTAGCCCTTGTTTTTATCATCATTGAAGGACCTTGATGATGAACAGTCTTGAAGACTATCCTTGGAGGCATCAAGAGACTGAGGACACTGCAGTGATACATCAAGGCAAGAGTTCAGTTTCTCCTCGTATTCCATCCTGACAATCTGAAGCTGAACAGAGAGAACAGCATCAACGTACGACTCTACGTCTTCATCTGATGGCTCTGATCTTGTGGGTGATTTCAGAGTTTGGATGTGGATGTCCGAAGTTGTCTTGGCATCATTTCTGATGGAAGGTATTTGTGCCTGTATACAGAATGGAAAAAAAATGAAATGAAAGGAAAATTCAAATACTGTCAAAAAGTGATACAATTAGAAGAATATGTCACACAGATCAAGCTGTGATCAGGTCCACTAAAGAAACAGCACATGTGGTTTTTTCAGAATTCCAATTCATAATTAGCTATATCAAGATTGGGGCCTGAATCCTAAAATTACCAATTTACAAGGATCATTCAATTAGTTCTAAATCTGTTGAAAAGAGGTCCAATTGTAAGGAGATTATGACAGTTTCATTAACACATTCTTCTGGTGTGCTTCTATCTTCAGCAGGTAAATGGCTTTCCCCTTTGTGAACTTTAACCTTTGACCTCCATACCTCTTGTTGAAGGGTCTGAACTGCATTACTGATGATTCCTTCCACAAAGGTCGACACAGCATCATCAAAAGAAGTCTCAACGATGTTCCGGGCATCATGGACGTCTACTGCAGTGTCCACTGCAGAAGGATCTGTGAGCTGTGAGGAACCACATTTTCTTCTCAACATCTTTGGCTGTAACAGAAAGGAAAGAACCTTTGGTCATTAATTTTTCTCTCTCTTTGAGGAACTGGACAGAAATTCATTCAAAGCAAATCGAGGTCTTGCATCTACACTCACTTTATTCTCTTGTACATATAGGAGACTAATAGTGTATTGACTACACCAGATTAATCTCAGAGGAGTTTTAACGATACCCTCTCTTTAAGTGACCACCTGAACAACTAGATATTACCTTGAAATGATACAATAAATACCATAATACATAGCATTCTTACGCACTCAACTCTTGTTTCACAGGGTTATACATCAATGTCCAATAATAAATCAATGTTGAAAAGACAAGGCTCAGCCATGTGTGTTTTCAGCTGAGGCTCTTGATGGGATAGAGTTGGTCATTCAATTGCCTGCTAAACGAGTGATAGGGTAATATTGACATTTGGGGAAGTTGAAAACATGAGAAAGGAACAACTACTCTTTAAATAACACGCTCTGACAATGTTAACATTACCTTTGGAGAAATACCAGGGGTGAACTCTCCCTATAAGGCCTTAAAAAAAATATGTTGCATTACCCTTTTAGGCACCAAATCGTGGGTCAGTCAGTCAGAAACCTTTTTTTTTTACACCCTCTTTGGGCTGATATTTCTCAGTTTTTAATGCTGTAATATTTTTTCTCTAATCAACGGTAAAAAAAAGAGATTTTTTTTTTAAAGCCGACCATAGATTTCAAGATTTTTGGGTCGGTCTCAAAGGGCAATACAACATCTTTTTTTTTAGGCCTAACAAGGATAGCGATAAGACCAAGGGTAGTAGAAAAATCTGTAATTCCATACTTTCAAACTGAAAACATGCTTTTAATTCCTAAACTGATTGGGATGCTGTCAGGATCTCTAAACGGACCACTCAAACAAGGATTTTCTACAGCCCTCCCCTTCCTCCTGGCCCCCTCCCCAGTCAATCATTTACCTGATGCACTGTGGTGTTACTGCCAATCAGACCAAGTTCAGCTTGTACCAGTCTATCAAAGAGATGAGATGTGATGGAGTCTACTACACTGTCATCTGGCTTTGGCTTGCATGTCACACTGGGAAGGCTGCTGGGGGTCGAAGCACAGCTCTTGGACCTGTGTGTAACAAAATAATAATAACTTCTACTCATATAGCGCTTTTCTAAGAGATTTAATATCAAAGCGCTTTACAATATTGATGCAAGTAAAACTAAACAAAGAAATGGCTTGAGAACAGAAATGAAATTATCAAACAAAAGATAACAAGGTTAGGTAACAATTTAAAACTAGGTTGAATATGCCTTTTCCATTAGATTGGCTTTTAATTTTGATGTGGTGCAAGGACTATTGATTCAAGCTCCAACCTATCTTCTTCACCATGTCAAAAAGGTATTGTATTAGTATTAACAATAGTTTATGGATGAAGTAAATTAGTGTAGTTTGATGAGTGATGACAATCAGTATTCCAGGCTTGATATAAATTTTATAATACTTCATCTGACTGAAATATAAATGAGTTTGGAATAATACAATATACAAACAAAAAGAAATACAGTAACCGTATCAGATCATTAACAACACAGCAACAATGTATTCCCATTCTAAAACACTTCCAACCACAAAAAGTGTATGAATCTTTCCCATTGCCAAGTGTTCACATAGGGATAACACTCGATCAATAAGGGATAAAACACTAATCAACGTATGATTAAAGTTATACAAAAGTATTTTGATAACCGAAGCTATTGACTTACTTCTGTCTCTTGTTTCTCTTGGGTGTTTTGCCCCCTCTAGGGGTGCATCTCCCATCAAGCTTCCCTGCCCCCCCCTCGCAGCGTAGAGCCTCTATACGGGGCAAGGATGGCTTCAGACTGAGCGACCTGAGCTGCTGGCCCCTCAGCCCCGACCCCGTTCCATTCACTGTGGCTAGGGGCTGCCTGGACGGGGTGAGAAGGGGCGCAGGGAAGTCCAACACCTTCATCGGGGTTCTGGTTCTTCCAGGTCCCTAGGAAATCGGAGAAGAAAGTTTTAATAGACTTTAAGGTTTATCATTATTTTGTCAGAGCCAGTAGCTGAATTTTAGCAAAAGATTTACAACATTGAAAGAAGCATTAAAAAACAACAAAGATGTACATACTGTCCTTAAAGTATGCTTTAAATATATGACTATCAGAAACTTCAGATATATTTGCTGATGGTGACAAACATACAGTACATGTACATGAATTCTATTTAGAGACAATTGAGCTGCTCACAATCTTGGATACTGAAGTATTATCCCCATTGCAAGTGTGAAATTCTTGGGCACGTCATTTACATGTACATTGCAAAAGCAATTTGCACACTGCTGTAGGCTACCTATGTTTACACAGCTGCTTATCAGCATGATTCTGAATTAATTTTATATGAAAGATGACATCTTGACAATTGACATAAAATTTTTAGGATTTTTCTTTGCAGTGTTTGCACTAATATAACGCAATAGTAAAGACTAAAGATTGATGCTTAATGCACGTATTCACTATTGGTACACAACAATCACACTGTTACTCACCGTCGCTGTTAAACCAGCGGATTTCACATTCTCCTTGTCCCTATGAAATTCTGTCAACCTCTGGTGCGGAATGGCGTCCTTGGAAACATTGTTTCTGTCTTTCTGTAACTTTTATTTTTCCTTCCGATAGAGTTTACCCTTTATCAGCTTGTCATCCCTTACAGTTAGAGTGGCTGCAAAAGAAACAAAGCACAATAAGGAAAAGGCTTCATCACTTAAATTGGCTTAAACTAAGATTGAGCCAAGTATATTCATGAATTGTATGAAACGATACAGAAATTACATGTATATTCAAATTTTATGGAAGGTGATCTTTACCGGACAATAGTTGTACATCATGTCTTCACTACACCTTCTATTTAAAGAGAAGGTTGAGTTCTGGGAAGAGGTGAAAAATAATTTGTGAGCATTACTCATTCTTATTATGCAAGTGTGGAAAAACATCAGTTAAGACATGTTCCCTGAAAAGCTTGGCTCTTCAGATGCCTTCATATTCTAAATATGCATGTAACATCGTAAAAATCGGGGGCCGGCTTTTTACGCCACGTGTTCGTGTAGTCCCATATAGTGGTCTACATCTTTCTGTGCAAGTGTTTGTAACTTTACCACGACTTGGCCACATTTCTTATCATTTTGATGATTCCAGAACCTTGCAATACACACAAATTTTTATATGCTAGATGATCAACCTTTTCTGGTTGGTTCCACACAGTTTCTTTCACAATGCAATCGCATGACCAGAACTCAACTTCATCTTTAAATGCAATTATCATTGGGCAAACTGCTTCCATACTATTCGAAACTGGATGACAAACCATCTGGGTACAGGGTGGTTGTCAAATCCTTTCCCTAATCTTGTAATCTGTCTGAATCTTTAGGATTGAAGGGGTCAGAATAATCCAGAAGAGGAAGATATATGAACACAAAATGAAAAATGGGGCCAGGTAAAAATATGAGGCATTAGGCTATTAGGCAAACAATCTGAGATGTCAAAATGAGAGAGGCAAAAATCTCTATCACCTTTTTTTATTCAATCAGGCATTTTAAAAAAATCTGGAGGAGTGGAGGTAAATCAAATCGGTAAAGATGCCAGGCTAAATAGAGGCTGAATAGAACCTAGAGGTAAATTTATAAGTGTAAATACATGTATTACTATTAAACCCTAATTAAGTCAAAGGTAAACATGGTAAAATTGCCAGAAGTATATACGAATGTCAAGTCAGAACAGAAACATTTATAAATAACAAACTCTAGCACAGTTAAAATTTCATAGAAATATCAATAAGAGTTCAAGTTAACTCCTATTTTCAGCTGTTACCTCTAGGTCTTTGTCTTACTTGACTTGGCTCAAACATTTTTTTTACCTCTATCATAACTTTAACTCTGGCATTTTAACTGTTACCGTCTACGTGTCTGTGTAGTGTGTATAGACTAGTCCATTTTGAAAATCTTTTTCAACATGGATTCCGATTTTGACCCATAATTTCCTAAAAAGGGACTATTAAACTGATTATTTCAGTCAAGTTGGTAAGTGGAACTGATTTATTATAGCCTAGATCTAGGCCTAATTTACAATATAACATGCTCGAGGTAAAATGACATTTTGGGGATTTTGGGGGCAAAACGCTACGACCAGGACTGGCCGTGGCGTTAGCAAGGACATGTGTATAAACGGCTTCCGTCTCTAAAGAGAGAGCCGACCCTACCCCAATAAGAGGCTAACGAACGAAAGAGACGGAAAATTCGGTCTAGTCTAGATCTAGTCTAGATCTAGAGTCTACCCTACTTATTAAGTTTAGTGACAATTGTCTTGATTTTACCTAAAATCTAAATAGCAGTAGATTCTAAAATACAATCTTTTCTGTTTTCAACTTGTAGATGTTAATTGTTATTTTGTTAGAAAAAATCTTAGAAAATTCAAATTGTGAGCCATTGATCAGCCACTTCGTAATCGTATTCACAATTGTGTGTAGACCCTATTGTGTGCAATTGCTTCCTCTCAGTCTCAGCATGAGGTCAGCGCTAGAGCCTAGAGGTCAATACGCATTAGCATTGACTCTATGCTTTGCTGGAGTGATTTAGCCCGACTCCTTTTTTTTTCATCTGCAGATATTTTCAATTCACAATCAATTCTGTCCAGACACAACAACACATCACACAAACAATTCACCAGGATTCACCATTTCAAAAATCTAAATCGGATTAGGAATAGGACAGGACTCAGGAGTATAATTATATCAAGCAGGCATAAGAAAAACAAGAATCCACTTACTTGCAAACAAATAGGGTAGTCTAAAAGTAGAAGTATGGTCAATCTAGTCGCTCTTTTGAACAAACAGACCGCAGACAGCATAATGAACGTGTGGGATCACGCTGCACTGCACTACATAGGACCGTACCTTCAAACTGTGTTGTTGTGCTTTGAAAATTGAAAACGCCGCTGTGAGTGGTCACATGACCAACATTAACAAGCACTAACCATGACTCAAGATGGCGCTAGACCAACATTTTCATGAAGAGAGCACGACTCGACCACAGACTCTTAAATACGTATTTAAGAGTTCTGTGGACTCGACTGAGAATATACCAGAAAGCAGGCGCGTACGCAGGGGGGGGGGGGGGGGGGGGGGGGGGGGGGGGGGGGGGGGGGGGGTGGGTAACCCCCCCCTTTGGAAATTTTTTGTGTGTAAACCCCCCTAAAAAAAACCTAAAACCCCCCCCCCCCCCCCCCCCCCCCCCCCCTTTTGGATTTTTTTTTTTTTTTTTTTTTTTTTTTTTTAATTATTAAAAAAAAAAAAAAAAAAAAAAAAAATTATTCCCATGGCCGACCTAAAAAAGGTGACCTTACCCCCCCCCCCAACGGAGCAAAATGTCAAATTTCCAAATTTCGAGACCAAAAAAAAAAAAAATATGTCCTCTTACCCCCCCCCCCCCCCCCCCCCCCCCCCCCCCCCCCCGCTTATTCAGCGGCTGGCTGAGTCGTTGCGAAATTTTCGGACCGATTTATAAATGTTAAAACCCCCCCCCCCCCCCCCCCCCCTTGAAAAATCCTGCGTACGCGCCTGCCAGAAAGAATAAAAGAAGACTAGACTTCGGCTAGACTCTAGAGGGAAGATTAAAGGAGGCTTGTAGCCTATATATAGACGAGAAAGTTGTGCTTGTGCATGAAGATTTACTTTTAGAATATTTTATTATCTATATTACTCTATCAAGGCATGGAAGTTTACTTATGGTTAAGGTTACACCGTTCTTTCTAAAAATGAAGCATAATAACGCGGCCAGGGGCGTCGCTAGACCTCTTTCAGTTTACCGATTACCGAAAAACTAACCCCCAATTACCGCCAAAATTAAATGTCCCAATATTTACAAATTTAACCCTATATACCCGAGGCTGAAGGTTAAATTGTTTTTCCTACGGACTATCTATAGTACTTGCGTATGCGCAAATGGTCATTTTCTTCGACGACATAAATACGAAATTCGTATATTTATTCAATTATTTTGTCAACTTAGTCAGCAACATAGCTATATATTTTAATACAGGCGCGGAACTAGGATCTTATTTTAGGAGGGGCGGTAGTTAGCAATTAAGCGAATCACTTAAAGAGCTCATTAGGGGGGTGTGGGTGATAGGCCTACAGCGCGAAGCGTGGAAAATTGGACGTTTCCTTAAATTATTAGGAAAAGAAGACGATTTATTGTACCGTTCTCGACTCTTAATAAGCCCCATTTATCTGAATTCAGTTTCCCCCTCTCGCGCGAAGCGCGGAAGCTTTGATGTTTCCTTAAATTATTAGAGAAAGCAGACGATTGGGTGAACTGTTCTCGACTCTTAATCCTTGTCTGAATTCAGTTTCTCCCTCTCTCTCCCGCGCGAAGCGCGGAAGCTTTGACATTTCATTAAATTATAAGAGAAAATAGACGATTCGTTTAACCGTGCTCGTCTTTTAATTCTTGTCTGAATTCAGTTTCTCCCTAGTCTCTCCCGCGCGAAGCGAGGAAGCTTTGACATTTCATTAAATTTGGCTAAAGCAGACGATTCGTTGTACCGTTTTCGACTCTTATTAAGCCCCATTTATCTGAATTCAGTTTCCCCCTCTCGCGCGAAGCGCGGAAGCTTTGATGTTTCTTTAAATTATTAGAGAAAGCAGATGATTCGTTGTACCGTTCGCGACTCTTGTAAATAAAGTTTCCCCTCCCGAATTTTTGGCGTTTCATCAGAAAGGAAGACGATTCGTCGTACCGTTGTTAACTCTTAATCCTTGTTTGAATTTAGTTTCCCCGAAAATTTTAAACCACTGATTTCTTTAGCTGATATTATAGGAAAGTGAAACTTCGAGAAAATATGAAGTCGTCACAGCGGATAAAAAGCCACAGTTCGTAGGGGAAAAAAATTGTCGGCCGACCGCCGTTATACATCTCACCGACTTCAAACTTCTGCATTGATACACGAGGATCGAGCAAGGATACCGACACAGCTGACTCGACACAGCAATGTATTTACCTGTGTCTTTCTTGCTCCCTCGACAAAACGACTCCACCCAACGACCCCCCTCTCTCTTTTACTCCCACTCCTTTTATCTCAGGCTCTTAGCTCCCCTCTCTCTACTCTCTTTCATCCCCCGTTTCTTTTGTTTCCCTTTTCTCTTTTTTTTCTTCTTTTCTTTCTTTTCTTTCTTTTCCTTTCTTTCCTCTCCTCCCTCTTTTTTTCTCTTTCTTTCTTCTCTTTTCTTTCCTTTCTTTTCCTTTCTTTCCTTTCTTTTTCTTTCTTTCTTTTCTTTTTCTTTTCTTTTTTTCTTTTCTTTCCCTTCCCTTTTCCCCCTCCCCCTTTTCTTTTTTTCCCGACGGCAGCGCAATTTTACCGACAATATCCTGACAGGTGGGGGGGGGGAGTGTCGCACCCCCACACCCCCCCCCTTTGCGACGCCCCTGAACGCGGCGTATAAGAAGAATAGTATCTATAATTGTTACGCTTTCTGTCATGAAATTAGTACAGACAAAAATAAGTAATAACAATAAAAATAATAGAATGATAGCTAATAAAAATAGACGGACAGAATAGCCAAACAGTCTAAACATATAGAGCGATAGTCAGAATTAAAGTTAGCTGTTAGATGATAGACTGCAAAAAGTAGGGGAACCATTTAGCTCAGCGAAAGATAATTAAATAAAAGGATATCGTATAATTAGGCCTAAGGCAAGTTATTATAATAGAAAGTTTTCTAAGTTTTTAAATATGTGAACATTTGATTGGTCCCGATTCATATTTCTTGAGAATGCTGCATATTAATCTATGATAGGCTAAAAGTATTTAATGAAGGCCCTGATTCAACAAACTTGCATAAAATTCGCAATCAGGGTAATTGTGAATAATTAAGTTGTTATTCTTTTTGTATATAAAATGTTTCTCACAATTAGGGATAAAGATCTGTGCTGTACTTGCAACTCACAGTGCAGCCTTGTTCCGACGACAATCGTGTGAAACCAGTTCCCCATCGGTTTACCACACCCCCCCCCCCCTTTAAACTTTTAATAATGTTAAATAGCCGAGTATAGCCTATAGTTGTCCGGTGTTTTTTTTTGTTTGTTTTTTTGTTGATATTTTTAAACGCAAGGGCTAGACATTATACTAGTATAATGAATCAACATTATACCTACCGTGAGCCCGTACAAGCTTTTTTTAAGTGGGGTTCTTTGGTTGCAACTTTGAGCCAGAGGTGAGGGAGAAAGGAATATTTAGCGGCGAATAAGCGGGGGGGGGGGGGGGGTATTGAACATATATATATTTTTAAATCAACACCCCCCCCCTCTTAAAGGTACTATGTCCCTTTTGCAGCCAACCTCAAATGCTGTAGAGCTTTGCAGGAATTATGAATATGTCATGTCTGTGAAAATGTCCTATCTGTGAAATTTAAACGTTAGCAGTGTCCTCATATTCAAATTATGCAAGGAAACCCGTTTAGAGATTAAACTGATTGAATCTTTGCGCAGCATAAAACGTATGACCATCCGGTACAATGTCTGAAAATCGACTGACTATTACTTTTGGGCTCTATAGCCCTAAAGTCGATTTGACAACTAATAGTCGTTGTTTTCCCACTTGAAGACATTTTCAAGCTCCACCTTTTTAAGGGAAGTTCTAAATTAGTATTATCTTTCAAATGCAGTTGGAATTTAACTTTTTCATTTGTTTGGCCTGCAAACGGGACATAGTACCTTTAAGCAAAAAAGAAGGACAAAAAAAAGTCCTTAAAAAAAAAAAGTGAGGGGGGGGGGGTCGCGCAAACCCTCCGAACCCCAACTTTGTACGAGCCTCTGCATTAACCATCCGAGTTTACGTGTATGACGGTCAGTTATACAAATTAAGGCCTTTCAAATGCCAGCTTTTAAATTTATTTGAATATATTCCTTGATCAGTAGGCCTACTAAAAATTAATGATGTAAGCATATAATTATATATGAGCCAGATTTTCTTCTTCTTCTTAATTCTTCTTCTTTAATTTCCTTCTTCTTCTTCAGTCTCCTCTTCCTCCGGCCTCCTCCTCGTTTGCTCATTATTTTTATATTTGTGAATATTTTACGCCTTGTTTATTATAAAATTAGCCATAGGAAAACAGTGATTATTTACTGTAATTTTCATTTGAAGAGGAATCTATGAAACATATCTGGTTATCGTTTCAATGTTTTTATTTTGTTTATTATTCTTGATATTATATTTCCTTTACATTATTAACTTGGAGACTCCCGAGCGAAGATTTATTATATCTAGACTCATATAAAACCGCTTTGATAACAATCTAAAGTACTTTCTTGGAAGCGAAATGTTTGAATATCATTAGTATTAAAATCATATAGAGATGACATCCTATTATGATTAAAATGCTCTAAAAGTAATGGTATAGGGAAATTAAATATATTTAATCTTGCACAGTAGCACTTCGATGAGACAGGCAAGCCAACTCTGAACTCGAAAACAAGAGTCTGGAAAGACAGACCCCCCCCCCCCCCCCCTAAAAAAAAAAAAAAAAAAAAAAAAAATCAGTAAAAGTGAGCCATGAGATCAAAAGTTCGAAAAGATGAAAAATCAAAGAAGGCAATCTGACAAGATTGAAGAGCGCCATCTATACGCCAACAAACAACAGACGACGTTGTAGAAAAACTAAAAAGTGAAAATTGAGCCCGGAGGTCGAGCCTGATATCGATGCTAATTTGCGTTATTTACATCGCCTTGAATTCAGTTTCTGTTGAAATCCTGCCAGAAAGTGGTACGTATAAAGCTATCTCGTATCAAAATTAGACATGGCTGGCCAATACTATTCCTTTTCCTACAGAAATTTGTCGTTGTGTTCGTGTCGGCTGCTACAGAACTGACCCTGTCCATCGCTACTCCTCTCTCCCTCTCGCTCGGGCGTGACGACAGGCCAAGTACCGCTGGGTTTTTAGTGTAAATGGATCGAGCTAGCCCCAATAGCTGACGTTGTTTCTATGAAAATTGCTAAATAGTTTTAAGATTTAAAGACATTTACAGTGTGTTTTGAATGAGAGTAATTCTATGAACGTGAAATCACTGTGATTTGAACTTGGAAGTCTGAAGAAAATGAGAAAGAATGTCAATAAATAAACAAAGAATGTAAAATTGATGATTCTTTTCCTTCACTTAAATTTTTTTATCAGATTTACTTGTACTAGACTAATTCATGTTCATGTTCTTTTTAGATCTGTTTTTTTTAAATAACCTTTAACATTTTTTTTTAAATTAAAAAAGGAGAAGAAATGAAGCTTAAAGAACGGAAAGAACAAAATGTACTAAAAGAATAGATCTAAGTGAAGGAAGGGGAAAAAGAAGAATTTAGTAGATTTTTTTAATTAAATGAGGAATGAAATAATTAAGTTCAGGAAGTAGAGCAAGAATATATATATAGAGTCTAGTAGAAGTAGGAGAGAGTGATACGCACAATGAGGGAAAATAAAGAAGATGAAACATTAATTAGTGCAGCCGGAAAAATAAGAAGAGGAGAACCTAAATTGATATTGATTTGCTTGAATTTTGTAGATTTTGACTTGAGCTATATGCAGTTTCTGATCACCTAGGTATTTCAACAATGCCTACACATATCCTGCTTGAATGAACGATGGATCTGACAGCAGATGAAACACACTCTACATGGATTGACTACCAGCACATTCTGACTGCTGCAGCAGGAATTGTCATCCTTGTCTACATCTTGGTCCAAGGAAGGAATTCAGGGAATTCCCCAAAACAGGATGCCAGAAAAGTGAGCATGTATATTCTTCAAAGGAGTGGAGTTGAAATTGATGAATTGTCTCCTACCTGCAGAAAGTTAATCAGTATTAAAAATTATATACCTCACTTAAGAAATCCAGCCATCTGATTGGTCGAATTGCATTCATAAACTTCAACTGTTCCTGTAAAATTCTCGGTAACCATGCATAAAACATTTCAATATTTTTAATAACCATGGTTATTAAAAAAAGTTGGTCAGCGTCCATGGTTACCCCATAGGTTTACATGTTAAAAAATGGTTTGAGCGATGGAGGATGCCGTATGTGTGCGAAGGATTGGTCGGTAATTTCAATACAATTGAATCTCGATCGATCTTACCGACAATTTTATCTTGCATTGTTGACATGAAGACGAAAATAAACTTCCAAAAACAAAAAACAACATCTGCCGATAGATCTTGATCTAAGTTCGTGCCAATATGCATTGCAAAAGTAAAAGAAGAGTCCGTATATGGAGCTTTTGCGAAGCATTCATCACACGCGAAGCCGGTTTCAATCCATTTTAATGTATATATTGGAGAAAACTGCCAAGCATGTTAACGGCGGGCCATAGCCGAGTGGTCTACGCGTTGGTTTTCGGTACACCTTTTGTTGTACGCAAGAGTTCGAATCCCGTCTTCGACAAAAATGATAAATATTTTTAATTTTTCATTTTTTAGTCTATTTTTTTCGGCATATAAAAGTATTAATGACTGCTAGTATTAAAAACAACATCTGCCGATAGATCTTGATCTAAGTTCGTGCCAATATGCATTGCAAAAGTAAAAGAAGAGTCCGTATATGGAGCTTTTGCGAAGCATTCATCACACGCGAAGCCGGTTTCAATCCATTTTAATGTATATATTGGAAAAAACTGCCAAGCATGTTAACGGCGGGCCATAGCCGAGTGGTCTACGCGTTGGTTTTCGGTACACCTTTTGTTGTACGCAAGAGTTCGAATCCCGTCTTCGACAAAAATGATAAATATTTTTAATTTTTCATTTTTTAGTCTATTTTTTTCGGCATATAAAAGTATTAATGACTGCTAGTATTAAAAACAACATCTGCCGATAGATCTTGATCTAAGTTCGTGCCAATATGCATTGCAAAAGTAAAAGAAGAGTCCGTATATGGAGCTTTTGCGAAGCATTCATCACACGCGAAGCCGGTTTCAATCCATTTTAATGTATATATTGGAAAAAACTGCCAAGCATGTTAACGGCGGGCCATAGCCGAGTGGTCTAAGCGTTGGTTTTCAGTACCTCTTGTTGTACGCAAGAGTTCGAATCCCGTCTTCGACAAAAATGATAAATATTTTTAATTTTTCATTTTTTAGTCTATTTTTTTTCGGCATATAAAAGTATTAATGACTGCTTTAATATTCGAGAAATAGTTGTTTTCATACGCTCTCGGGAAGGTTAGAATTGTGCTATTCCCCGAGGCTTTCTCGGGAAGGTTAGAATTGGGCTATTCCCCTCGGCAAGCCTCGGGGAATAGCACAATTCTAACCTTCCCTTGAGCGTAATAAAACAACTATTTCTCTCAAAGCAGTCATTAATACTATAGAATGACACCTCATCCACTTCAGACATTGAAAATGTGACATATAATAGACAGGTGTATTGATAAGTTTAAATGAAAATGTCAAATTAGGCCTATATTATTAGAAGTCTACATTTTAAACTTAATTTTTTTTGCAGGTGTCAGCTTGAGTATTAGTCTGTGTAAGAGGCTTCAAAATGATTAATGGAAGTAAAATACTGCTACAAGCATGTATTGCCTAAATATTTCAGTCATTGAAAAACAAGTCCACTATTTAAAAATAAATTTTAGATCAAGAATGGTTTTGAATCTTTTATCACAATTGCTAATGTTGTACATGTAAACTATAAAGTGATTTCTTAAAGTGACTCGGTAGCATTGTTGAAGGTTTATGAAAAAACTGCGTAATTTTTGTTTGAAATGTTACTTAATTATTACCGGTATATTTCTTCTTCTGTACTAACCCTCTAGCATGCAAACAATCCTGAACAAATTCTCAAACCATGGAGATATTTATGGTTTTCTTTGAAGGCGTCACTGGTCAACAACTACTGTTTTTCCATGAAGATAAGACAAAAGACAGGCTTTTAAAAATCTGTCAACACTTAAATGTCTGGGATGGTGTTTAGAGCAAATGCATAGCTTTGTGAAGATTTAAAATCACCTAAAATGTAATTAAATTGTCGTAATATAGTTGGAAAAATTAAAGATCAGATCAGTTTTTCTCAATTTTTATCATTAATAATGGTCTGTTTTCACTCAAACTTTCAGATTATCTTTAATTGTACATCTAGCATTGAAGTCACTACCTTAGCACCATTTTCTCTCATCTGAACAATATTACCAAGTCCCTTTAATTATCTCTTTGCATCTCCAGGCAGATGAAATCTCAAAACCCAATGTATCAGAAAGCTACGTCAGTTGTCACCTGCCAGACTGCGTCAGATGCAAACCAAGAAAAGACAACCAACTTCTATGGAATGAAAGACTTACAAAGTTTTTGGAAAAGCAAACCCCAGAAAATCAACTATTACTTCAAGATTTATGCGAAAGCTTTAGACATGATAGGCAAGGAGCACACATTGATAGCAACTATGACAATAGAGACAAAACCTTCGATCTTCAAAATCCAATGGTTTATTCATATCCCAAAGTTACAGGCATTCCATGGTATGAAATTGAGGCTTTATCTAGCGTAGCCTACAGGAGTGACGTTCAGACTTTAAAAGACAAGTTTGGAGTGATTAAAGAGGACTTTGAAAATGTTTACTCAAGATATCTGGAAGGTGATACAACAGGGTGGTCTCTGAATAATGTTCCGTCGGGATCCTGGAATATGTTCCACCTCTACAACCAAGGCAGGAGGAAAGAAGAGAACTGCTTGCGATGTGTAGACACCGTGGAAGTATTGGAGGGGTTGGAGACGTTCATGCGGGGAGTGACGTTTGGGTATGCATGCTTCTCTGTCCTGCAGCCTGGCTCCCACATCACACCCCACTACGGACCATGTAATATCCGGCTTAGGTGTCATTTAGGTATATTCTTCTAAACATGATTTTTTAAATTTTTGCATTGACATTTTCTTTTCTGTTTTTTCTAATTCCTGAGGTCTTGTACAAATATGTTGTAAACCTAAAACACTTTTTTTTTTTTAAAGATTTAAAAAAAATGCTGAACACTGCAAAATAAGATCACTTTTACATGTACATGTACATGAATGGAAAGAGGGGGTGAAATAAAGGTCTAAAAACATATTCACTTAATAGAGTCTGCATGTTAAAAGGTACATACTTATGTCGTTACAATGTTAATTTTATTTGTTTTTCAACAGTTTGCAGTGTCAATTTATGTATGGAGCTTAAACTATCTCAAATTTTAAGACAGGGGCTTCACATGTGGGTTCCAAGCAAAAGGATCCTTGGATCACCACACCCCTGTTTACATGTTCATACTTTGGGGATCTGCCTTGCAATTTTAGGGGACTGTGTGTACTCTACCCCTTGACACTGTCAAGTGTCAAGCCTATTTATTACTTGAAGGTCCACATAATTTCAAACTTATTGCCTTTTGCCACCTGACTAGCTATTGCCAATGTATATTAAAACTTAAAATTCAGAACTTAAAGCAATACTCATTGTATTCTGAATTTTCTGATTCACTCTTGTGAAAATTGGATAGCCAAGTCATGCATGTTGGGATCAGGGCTGGTTGGGATTGATAATTACCTTACTTTCCATATACTAAATACTGTATATTGAAACATTTGTGCGTGTTTTGTGCAGTTTGATGACCAAATAAGTTGAAATAATAATAAACAACTCCAAATTTAACATAATTTTCTTTTTCTCTTCAGGCATTCGGATCCCTGATAACTGCTCATTAACAGTGGCTGGTGAATCCAAGCAGTGGACTGAAAAAGATTGTCTCCTGTTTGACGACTCTTTTCTTCATGAAGCAGTCAACTTAAATGAAGGATCCGCGAACTGTGATGAGGTCGGGTCAAGGGTTATTCTCATGATTGACCTTTGGCATCCTGATCTCAGCGATTTGGAAAAGGAGGCTTTCAGGAGTGTTTTCTGCTAAAAATTGCTACACATTCACTTCCACGAGGGCATGAGCAAATGTCGAAGAGAAAACTTTCCTTCACAAACAGTAAATTTATTTACAATTCACTGTTGATGCCAGAGAGACATTTAATAATGACGTTTAGCAGGTTGTCGACATTGAGACGAGGCGAGCTCACACCTCATAAGTTTGGAGAGACCGTTAAGATTGTTTCGTGCAGAGTTTCCTGCTCACACAAGCATGTGATGTGCAAACCTTTGAAACATGCACATTAGGCTCATTCATACTATTATTCTGAGAAGACCAGTATACTTGTACAATAAAATGAAATACGTCTGATTATCAAGAATTGTTATTAAATCAAATTTATTTATTTCAAACTGCCAACTACGGTATAAAAGTAGCAATGTATAAGTGTTTGGTAAAAGCAAAAAAAATCCTTTGAAACTGTAGCTGTACAAGTTAAAAGTAACAATGAAAATACATGATGTACAGTGTTAAAGCATTAAGGCTTGCATCTCTGTGTTTTTGTAGTTATCTGTTTTTGTTCTTGCTTTCTTCACAATACATGACTTTATAAGTAATTTAATACTTCATTCATATTGATGACACTGACATGATGACATCATATTGACAACAGACCAAATTAAAAAAATGCACTACCTCCAAATGGCTGAGAACAATTCACTTTGGAGTTGCTTTAGAGTTGTGACTAGGATATAAATTACAATCAGATATATTCTAGTCTTCTGGTACTAGTGCACTTAACAATGCACAGAAAAACACAACTCTTAATTTTTTCACATGATGAAGTAGAGTTGTTAAAATAAAGTTTATGATAAATGTACTACATACAAAATATAAATTTGCATAACATTTTGAATTATTACTTTCTTTAATTTGATAAATATATTGGCACTTATAAATAATAATAATAATATGGATATTTACAAAGCGCCGGTATCCGGCAGGCTCTGACGCTCATGGCGCTTTACACATATTTCCCTGGTTATAGCCAAGCTGCCAAAGTAACTAGCGCTCAAGCATATACATGTATATCAGGTATCCATTTACGCCTGGGTTGGAGAGTGGCAAATGTAGATCAATGTCTTGCCAAAGGACATTAGTGAGACTTGAACCCCATACCTTGTGATCTGCAGTCGGGTGACTTATCCACTAGACCACAATGTGAGCATTTACCTTTTATCATCAGTTTGATCAGGCAGGTATATTTAAAAAGAATTTCAGGAAATATTTCAGTAATATTTATCAGATTGACATATTTGGAAAAAACCCTGTCTTTTATAAAGACTACACTATAACTGTCTGTAACCTGTCTGTAAATATCCATAAATGAATGGTACACGCCAATAAAAGCTAAAACAACAACACAACATGTACTTTGCACAAAACGACAGATTTTTTCAAACTAATTGACTAGAAACGACATGTTTATAAAGTGGCAAAATTATACAAAATTTCCTTAGCCTCTATTGCACTACACATACCAAGGGAAATAAATAGCAGGAATATATAGAAGAAATGGTAAAATAGATAAATGTGACACAATTCTGCAATTTGCAACTTGGAAATGAATTAACATGCCTTTCCTTAGGTAAAGACAAATCTCTATATACATGTACAAACATGTAAAAGATCACTGCTAAACTATAGGCAAGCTAGTTGCAAATGGCAAAAATGGTAGAGGAAATGAGAGTGATGTACACAGCCGGTACAAGGAATATAAATTCATATGACACGCTACCGACACATGGATAAATAAAGTGCCCTTTCTTTACTGCTATAGGTGTATTATACAGAGAATAGAAAATGTATTTATTTATACCATAAAAAGCCCATTGTAATTCTATTACTTCCTCTACATGTACTTCAATAAGTTATGCCAATATAAATATAAATTGATGTGACACCCTTAAACCACAGGATAAATAGAGTGCACATTCTTGTTGCTGTATTTATAAGACAGAGAATGCAAAATCAATGTACAGTCAAACCTGCTTTAGTACATGAGCACCTGTCTACAAAGACCAATTTTTTTGTTTCCCTTGAAAATGGTTTCTCATTGCAACAGGTACAGGAACCTGTCTACAAAGGACCACCCTTGGGTGGTCCCTTTAGACAGGTTTGACTGTACATGTATTAATAACTTAACATAATGCCCCTGTGATTCTAGTAATACCCCTACGTCAATAAGTGACGACAATATAAAATATTAGGTGATTATATTTGCATGAAAATTTAAGAATAAAAGTTGTAGTTTTTCTGCCAGCACTGCCTCTGGTATTATCATAGTACTATACAATGTTTGACATTTTCTACTAAAAAATTCAGTTGAAGGCAAGATATGAAAGACATTCTAGAAATTGTTCAGTAATACTGCTTTGTGTTCTCCTTGGTGAGATTATCAAAACATGCTCACTTTAATACCCTTCCCCCTCCCAAACCCTGAATACCTACTCTTGCCAGCCAACAATCCTGCTCAATATAAAGTCTTTTTTCTCCCACTTGAGTGTATCTCTTTATTCCGGCTCCCCGGACTCTATATCTCATCAAATACAAGAACCCTCAATCCTTCTCCTTTCAAGCCAACTTATACACTTTCTAGCTGCTATCTAGGTGTCCTTGGGGTTTTTTCTCGAAGATCATAAGTCGAACTTAACTCTAAGTTGGACTTAAAAATGATTGAGAGCCATTCGTAGCCTTAAAAAATATATATATTTGAAAGCGAAAATTCTAAAGTATTTAGATTTGTTATTAATTCCACATCAAGAACATGAAATCTCCTTGATAATAGAAAATATATATTATTTGAATCATCATTATGCCTTATAAAATTACTTGTACAAAATATTTTCATAGATGCTAATGGCTCAAGTCCAACTTAAAGATAAGTTCACCTTAAGATCTGTGTGAAACAGCCCCCTTGATTGGTACAAAAGTTGAACCACTGCTTGCCTCTTCTAGTGGCAGTACTACCCCTCTCACGCATCCCAACAAATGTCGCCCTCTGTGTCTAGCTGACCTCTTCAGCCTCAAGTTTTGCCATCTCCTTGGAGAGCAGGTATGTCATCCGGAGCGCATCTTGAGACTCTTCAGAACCCACCTGCTCCAGTGCTATCTCAGCTGCTTGCCTCACATCCGATATCACATCACTTCTCCTGTAACGGAAAGGTAGAAAACATTAGGATTTATTTTTTTAAAGTTACAAATCTACCCTAAAAGTTTAGAGACTCATGAAATAAAAATCTAACACATCAAGGGGTCAGTGACACAAAGACGTAACTCCATTTTGGCCATTTTGAGAAAAAGTGGTTTATGTGTCACTGAGCACTTGGGCCTTAAGGAGTTAAGTCAATGTTTCACTAGCCATTGACTATAATTGGGTGTTGGTTGGAGTTAAGTCATTGTGTTTCCTGGAAAGCCCACATTGTTCTGAACATTTTGATACCAAATACTCATTTTGGCAAAATATGGAGTTACGTCTTTATGTCACTGAACCCTTGACGTGCTCTATGAATTATAATGATAATAACATAGTGCACATATCCACCATGCAACAATTCTATTAGAGAAAGAGAGATAGAAGAGTTTGAGGAAGTTGTTTACAGTGTCACATTGTCCCTACACATTTCACTGAAACATATGCCACCCATCAATCTTGTGGTTATTGGGACACATTCCATACTACCAAAAATATGCACAAAAAAATAGGCCAGGAATTAAAATGTGTATCTTAAGGAGAAGAAATTTACAGGGAAACACAAATATTAATATTGATGTACAGTGGTACATCATGATAACGCACTCTGATATAATGAGATACCTGATAAAGCAGGTAATTTTGCTGGTCCCAGTTCTTAATATTCTTCTTTTTTATCCTGGTAATATTCATGGTAATATTTATGGTTCCAATGTCCTTGTTATATCGAGTTTCTACTGTACCTGTATTCTTTCCTGCCACTCCATCAATCACTTTTTAGTCAAAGTAATGAAGTACAGTCAAACCTGCTTTAGTGATCACCTGTCTACAAAGACCATATCCCCTTGAAAATTGGTTTCTCATTGAAACATGTACTATAGGCACCTGAACATAAAGACCACCTGCCTATAAACACCACTTTTCTTGTCTCCCTTGGGTGGTCTTTATAGACAGGTTTCACTGCATTGACTATCTCTCAACAGAGATGCCAACCTCTTGACACAAAAAAACAGACTGAGTATCCTAAAAAAAAATATTTAAAAAATCAGATTTTCAAGAAAACTCAACTCTACCAATGGCCCGTTGACCCCGGGCCCGTAAAATTTCAGAAAAATATTTTACGGGCAATTACGGTCAAGTAAAATGTTTGTTCTTTATTAAAATTTAAAGAGAAAATTGTAAAGCAAAGTTTTTGTTGGGGTTGAGGGGGTTTAGTTGAACATGTTTTCTATGTGATTCCGCTGTTTTTATGGGCTTTAAAAAAGGGGGGTGGGGATCGTATTTTAAGAAGTGATATCGTATTATCGTATTTCACTCTTATTATCGTACTAAATACGATTTAATTGTACTGGTTGGCATCTCTGTCTCAACCCACCCATCTTTGCCAGAACCCATCAAGATACCTTCCATATGACAATGGAACCTCATCATAAACAGCTCTGATATAACAAGGTATCTGTATTTACAGAAAAAGGAGTCTTAAACAGAAACTTCATCATAAGTTTTTGAGATAAGTTACTGACCATCTTTCGACCAGCTTGGGTACAGCAGACTTGGCTTTGAGATGACCAAGGGATAAACTTGTCGCTTCTCTCACCAATCGATCTTCATCTGTCAGTTTAGAAATCAGCTTAGTCACCACTCGTTTGCTTCTCACTTCTGCAGGCAAGAGTGGGAGGGGGGGGGGGGGGGTAAAACAAGGTGTTATTCTCAAAGTTGCTCACTAATTTTTTTTTTTTAAATAACATGTTTAAGAGTAAGTAATATTTTGTTACCTGGGTAGCCTCATCAGCATTAGTGCTGTTCTTCCTGATGGATTTGCAATTATTATTGCCCTGTCAATTGCCAGGTACCAATGACACCTGGGTGAAGAGTGTTAAATGTGGATTAATGTCTTGCCGAAGGATATTAGTGCCAGACTGGGATCTAACTAGATACAAAAGCAGTGAATCTCAATAAAGTTCATGTTTCTTGAAAATTGCATGAATGAGGATCATTACAGAAATTATATGCTTTTTATTTGATTACTTGGTCTAAGGAAAAAATTTAACATTTAGTGTGCCACAAACAAGGATCAGGAGAACTTGAATGAGAAATATTTCTTCTAATTATTTGTACTTGGGGGACAGACTGAGGCACAAAATCATCCAACATAAAGATTTTGATCACTTAATAAATTTTACCGCAAGTTCAGCTCAGTTCAGTTTTATTCAACCATTCAAAATCAAATATACAGAGCATTCACATGTAATACAAATAAGGATACAAAATAAAGGGTTATGCTGCCCTTAAAGACAGTCTGCACTAGTTTTTGCCAGGGGGATTAGACCTCCCTGCAAGGTCAATGACAGGTGGTTATCTCATTAATGCTACGGTCACAAAGGTTCGTACGAACGATAATTTTGTATGAATCTCCCTGTTTTTCTATTGTCTTCCCGAATTTCCATTGTCTGAAAATCGTTCATACGGCGTTCGTAGCAGTTCGTAATGGCATTTGTGACCGAGGCTTAAATCAGCTCTCAATTAACATAAGAAAAAGGGGATCATGAGGGACCAACAGGCACCAATTAGGCATTGTTTGCTATATAGAGGGCGCAACTATTAGTGGGGACATTGGTGGGGCTTTAAAAGCCAAGGCTTGATAAAACGAAGCACCTATAAAGAAACATGTCTTCCTACCTGTCTTGCCCAAAGCGATGGCGGCAACAGCTCTCATATTAGCATCCTTGTCATCGAGCAAAGACATTAGAGATGTAATCACAGGTGCTGTACGGAACTGACCTGTTAGCAGAAAGGGTGCAATGAATGATAAAAATGATGAATCAGTAAAAAAACATCTGGCATTTAGTCTTAAATCTAGGACAAAGAAAACACTAAACATACTTATCTGAACACTTTATATAAAATCTTTAACATTTTAAAACCTTTTTTGTTTGAAATAGGATGTGACCACAACGCCAGAAGCAATATCATGCATGTTCATGCAAAAACAATCACTTGGTTGTATGTAGGCCTACCACATATCGAGATTGATTGAATCTGAATTTCTGAAAGAGATAGCACATGTAAAAATGACCCCAAATATCCACAGATCTTATAAACATGGAGAAGTCCCACTTTGCGCATTTTTAGAATAATCACTACCAAAGCGATGGAGGTGCTTCATGAATGCCTTTTGTTTGTTCTCTTGAAAAAAAATATCATAGAATGTACCATTGGTGCATTAATGAATACTGATAACATAACTTTCATGACCACGTATCCAGCATTCGTCTCGATAGGTTTCCAGTTTTGTTTAAATGACTTTCTGTGCCCATGAGTAGACAGTATCTCCAAACTGGCTCAGAGGTTTCGTAGTCGAGTAAATACGTCACCGGACTGTCGATCACAAGGTCCGCAGTTCGAGACCCACCGCAGCACTAATGTCCTTTGGTAAGACATTGCTCTACATTTGCCACTCTCCACCCAGGTGTTAAATGGGTATCGGGTAGCAATTTGAGCCTAGTAGCTCTTGCTATAAAGCTCCCCAGGGAGTGGAGAAAGGGCATATATTGTGTGCAGGCAAGCCAGAATCAGATGACTGGGGGTAATAACTGTAAAGCGCTTTAAAACTCGGACTTGCCTATGTATTAAGCACTATATAAGCAGAAATATTATTATTATTTCATTATTATTCTTCACATACCAAGGTTCTGCACAGCATCCAGTCTGACTGTACTCTTCATGTCAAACACCCCTCGCATGGCAATGGTTCCCTTCGCGTAGTCCATCAGGCGTAGGAAGAATCGATCAGGACCCCAGGAGGCGTCTCCGCAGAAGTTATCGTACATCTTCTTTGCAACGGTCTTCTTGAGTTCCAGGACATCTCCGTACAGAATGTTGACGATCCACTGGGTCTTGGTCGATGTAATGTGTTCTAGAAGAAAAAGACATCAGAATTAAAGTGCAATCTAACTCTTGTGATAACTTCGTTTGGATGAAAGCAGAAAAAATCAGATAACATTATCGCAAAAAGTTTGAAATGAATCGCACCAATAATAACGTAGGAAAACTTTCTGTAAAGCAATATTCTGAAGAATTTCTATGTCAAAGTATATGATGTATTAATTATGTAAGTAAACTTATCTTGATTCTTTGTACATTTGTTAAATGTGAGCAAAGCAAATTTCCAATATAGGACAATATATTGAAATTGAAATAGAAAGTTATAAGTGTTTTAAATATGAGATCACTACCAAAACACTGATCTTACACATTCAGCCTTTTAGAAGTGCCATACTTATAGTGAATAAAACTTTCTTATTCTTTGTCAGATTTTGTTAAAACTTTCATTAGTTTGCTTCTCAGTCTGCTTCTCTGATATTTTTGCTTTCATTCAGAGTTCTTCTTCTTCTTCTTCCTGAAAAATGCAGGCTTCATGAAATGAAGGTTAATGCACTGTGGGTTGATGCATGCACAGTACGCTGACAAGAATTTCTGGTGCAGGTTTGTACATTGTAAAGTAAAGTAGCTTGTCTGCATGCTAGACGGTGCCTATGAGGGTTGGATTTCCATTTTAAAATCAATATTGACATCAATGGAGGGCAAATGGGATGAAAGACAAGTACACAGGCCCATAGTACGCATACTATTTCATGAGTTTTTATTCAACCCTGGCAGTTTTCAAGGCAGTTTTATGCATGAATAAATGAGGCTTAAGGAGCAAAAACCAATATTGCTGAATCTAAAGAGCATGAGAAGAGATATACAAGTGAAAATCATGATTGGAAAAGAAAAATTACCATTTATTTGCTCCTCATAGACGTCTAAGAAAGCTTCTCTGAATTTAATCCATGTGACTTCTTTAGCACTCCCAAAGTTCTCCTCCCAGAAGTCGATCTGCTCAACGTCGTCTTGCACACTGTTCCATCGCTTGTAGAAGGCACGCTGTGAACTGCCCCCCTCAAGATTGCCCTCGATCTCCCCGGCCTGGGGCTTGTTCCGATGTGAGACTGCTTCTATCTCTCGTTTTATGGATGAAATGAGGACAGGCAGAGATTCTGTGGGGAACCCAGACGAGTTGCTGGATGCTATGAAGAAGACCCAGTTCAGTTTGGCCAATATTAGCCTCCTGTAGTAAAAACAATGTCAATAGATGAAAAGAGAGAGAGAAAAAAGGCAAATTGCAGTTAAGAGTCAAATATGTGCAACTCTATGTCAGGAATTAGGGGCAGTTTTTTCTCCATTATTTTTTTATTAGGGGGGATGATTTAGGCTTACAAGTTCAAGCATTCTCTGACAAGCCCACACCCCCCTCAAAAAAAGGGGGGGGGGAGAGGAAGAAGTATTCACTCTTGGTTTTGGCAGTGCCTTTTCACTCCAAAATTCTCTAACAAGCATTTAATTTTGTTAAAGAAATAAAACAAAGTAAAAGGGTCATCGTATCGCACCCCAGCACTCTGACTCCCAGGGCCTATTTCACAAAACTTGTAATCAGTGACAAATGACAGTTTTTGTTATAAGCTACTGAAATCCTTGCTTCTGATTGGTTATCAGCAGATTTGTCACTGATTTTTGTCACTTGTCTTTGAAAAAAGGCTTTGTGAAACAAGTCCCAGGTCCATGGTTTACTGGTATGCTTTTTTAATTCACATTTTTCTTTGGAACTTACATGGAGAAGGAAAGACACTTTTCCAGATCTGGAAAGTCCTTGATGGCCACAGGAAAGACTGGTTTGTCTGATATATACGCCAGTGAGATGGCATCCTCACAGGCCTTATCTTGTAGAGATTCCTCACTCAAGATCACAATGCACACCTGTATTAAAAAGAGAAAGACAGAAAAGTTTAAAGCCCCACTATACTACTTGCTCCCTCTATATAAAAAACAATGCCAAAGCGGTGCCCATTGGTCCCCATGATCCTCTATTTCTTATTTTAATTGAGAGCTTAGTTGATGAGATAACCACCTTTCCAGTGACCTTGCAGTGTGGTCTATTCCCTCCTATAAACTAGTACAGATAAGATTTAATGTCCTGTGCCACTGAGCTGCTGACATTTGTTCATAGATGAGCATTCAAATGTTAAAGTTTGAATTTCTCATGGGCTTTTAATTATTAGTTATACATAAAAATACATTCAACAGGAAAAATCTGTTTGGGGGAAAAAACAGCCATCTTAGTAAAAAGAAAAAGTTTAAAAAATGATACATTCTTTATACATTAAGGGATTTTGATTTGATTTTGATGATGGTAATCTCATTTGACATGGAAGTAAAGTTCCGTAAAAATGAACTACTGAAAACTAGCTACTACAGATTATTGGATAACAATATTACAATTGAAAATGGTGCAGTTAATCTTTAATCAAAGAATTAATCATCAAGTCTTTCTGTTGGGGAAAAACATCCTTCTTAATCTTAGTTTAAACAAAAAAAGATCCATTCTTTATACATGAAAGGATTTTGACTTGATTTTGAATAATCTCATTTAACATGGAAGTAAAGTTCCGTAAAAATGTACTACTGAAAAGTACTACAAATTTTTGGTTAACAATATTACAATTGAAAATGGTGCAGTTAATCTTTAATCAAAGAATTAATCATCAAGTCTGTAATTCGAAAATATAAATTAATACCTGTGCATTGACGAGAGCTTTTCCTTTGCCGGATGGGGCATCACTGTCTGGTTCCCATACTTTTAAGCTTTTCTTTCTCAAATTCTCTGTGAAATGCAAAATTATCACGAGAACAAACATTAGAATATCTGTATCTGTTTCTGTTTCTGTGAGGTTAAAGATAACGTTGAGTTCTGGTCATGAGATTGCATTGTGAAAGAAACATTGTGGAACCGATCAGGAAAGGTTGATCATTTAGCGTATATAATAGGTTTGTACTGCACAACTTGGTACTGCACATTTCCGGAATTATTGACATGATAAGAAATTTGGCCCAGTCTTGGTAAAGTTACAAGCGCTGTACCGTCTGTACACAGAAAGATGTATATTTTACATGCCATATTTAGAATATTAGAGCATTTGAAGAGCCATGCATGCTTTTCAGGGAACATTTTTTAACTGATGTTCTTCCACACTTGCATAATACAATGATAATGCTCACAAAGTATTTTTCACCTCTTCCCAGAACTCAACCTTCTCTTCAATTCCTTTCGGTTCACCAAGAGAAGATGAGCAGAGTTGGAATCGATGCAATTTGAATAATGGCTTATTTTATGCAATCAAGCATTTTCTTGTTTTATTAATTATATGTGAAGAAAAGCTTCAGACGCTCTCTACTTAAAATGACAGACATTTTAACAATAAGTTGACTGTTGACCTTTTCACTACAAGAGAAAAACAAACTTAACCCCCGACACCTGTATTGTTCTTACCAGCAAGAAATTGTGCAAACTTCTTATCACTCTCATGGTGGCATATATACACATCATCATGATCACCTGCCATCTGTGAAGGAAACAAATATGAACTTCAAATTAACAAATTTTAAAGACAGCTTACATTATAGGTCGTACATGTAAGGAGCCTAATAGTTGGTCTCATAATATTATAAAAGCAGAGAAGAGACGCAAAGAGCCAAGAAGAATCGTGAAGAGTAAAAAACCTACAAGCTGACAATAAATTCAAGGGTAGCCAAGAAACAACCAAGATTAGTTTAGTACATAAATTAACATCTCTTCTCAGCTTCATTGCAGCTTCTTTGCAGCTCTTCTCTGATCTTCGTGGCTCTTCTCTGCTTTAGTAGGATCTTAACATTGGATGAAAGACATGAATAAGCTAGGCGTGAGGAGTCTATTTGACTGACAAACTAACCAATCTGACAGGGAGATGTAAATAATGTGTTGTAATTAGGCACAAATTCGCACACCGTCGGCAGAAGAACCCTCATCTTGATGCTGAACAGGATTTGACAAGTAGCAGAATAGAAGTATAAATAACTGCTTCTTAACCTTCTACGTTAGATCATGTAGAACCAGTCTCGATCTAGACCGAAAACTTCAGTCTCTCTAATCGTCGGTTGTTCCACTGAGACTACGTCTGGCTCCACTAGACCTCCGATTATACTAGTACGGCCTATGGGGACCGTGAGGGTAGAGTGACCGAACAGAGATGAACGAAATGCTCCGAGGTTTTTCTCTTTTTACATGTACGTCTTCATCAAATCTAATTTTGCTGCCATTCTACAGCCCCCGTTATCTATACAATAACGAAAACTACTTCGACTTACGATAGCTTGCTTATTCAGCTCCAAAATTAATGATTAGAGTCTAATCAGAGAAAGTCTCGTAGTCGTTGTCCGCCATCTTGATTTTAGTTGATGAATATTAATTTTTTTCTTTGCGAACGTCCAATAGCTACCGTACCTATGTACAAGTCAGCCCGGCTTGACCCACGAAACGAGTGCTCTGATTGGCCATTGGCTATGTTTTGGTAGGTTGACCCGGAAATATATCGGCCGCCGGGTCATATAGCTCTATGTTCGAGTGCATGAACGTACGGTTTCACAGTTCTGAGACGAAAATGGGATAATTCGTATAAGTAAGTCTATAATTTTCATATTTGTATAAGATTTCAATTAAAAATATGTAGTGTAAATAGGAGAACACTACTCTATACCTATTTTACATCTGATTTAGAAATGTCGGGAACGAAAAAATGTTCCGCTGTGCCCTCGATTACCCCCACGGTACGAGATCTCTGGGTCACCGTCTGTATTGGGGAATGTCAACAAATGTCAGTTTTATTAAAGAAATGACCCAAATCAGACGGTTATTTCTGTCTAGTCTCGATCTAACTTAGATCCTTCTCTGTAAATGTAGCGGGCCGTAGTGCGTACGGAAGTCATTAGATTTACGTTCAATTTGTGTCAATGCAGGCCACCATTAATCTATTTACTAAACCACTCTTTAGTCTAGATATCCCTTTCCTTCTCAAGTAAGACTAAGAGTTTGGAGCCCCATCCTACTCAGCTCAGCTTACCACTAACAGTAGCAGCAACAACGCCTACACCAACGGCCTGTCTGCCTGCTCTGCGTACCGGTAACGCGGAGTTTTGAGAGTAGCCTAGACTCTATATCAGCTTTGATCAGACTAGCACTTGCACTTGTTGCAGCGAAGGCCGAATATAAGCGCGATATAGTCTATATTGCATTTGCAGTTGCACAAATAATATGATTATCAAAGCAGAGTAATTAAACAAGTTCAGATAATGAAAAACATCGAACACAACTTCAAAGTCTAATTTCCAATTACCTCGGAACTTGTTCACAGAATTCAGCCTTCTTCAGGAGTGGAAATGTTTTAATGACGTGTTTCTATTTTCATCAAGATCCTGGTGAGCAGTCTATTTCCAGGCTATACAAACTTATCTTTGATTTAATTGAACGTGAACCAGGGAATTTGTCTCTTTTATGAATATCTACCTTACATATAAGGTACAGAAAACTGCAGAAATACAATTGATTAAAAAAAATCATGGGTATAACAAATATACTACCTAGACATAAATGATGAATCTATAATTGAACTGTGATAAAGGCTAAAATCATCGCCGACCACAACGGCTTGCTAGTGGCTAAAGGCGGCCGTGCCCCCAGCCGCGCCCCCGCCATGCATAGGCCCTGGCCTGTCCAGAACGTCGAGCGCCTGTATTGTCTGTAGGCTATACCCAACGTTGGTAAACGTGAAAAAGGAGCTGATTTACAGAGCAGAGCTACATCAATTTGTGACTGTCGCGTGTCGAGACGTTTTCCCCCGATATTTAGATAATATTTAGCAGGCATTATGGCGGGTTCTGGACCTGAGCTTCATATAAAGACACCTCTTTTAGAGAGCATCCCGATGACGAAAGTTGCAGGCTGTCCAGTGTACATAAAATGTGACAACATGCAACCAACGGCATCCTTCAAAATTCGAGGCATTGGACTCAGATGCAAGAAGGTATCAATCACGTCGATCAGTGAATATTTTTCATACGCAATTATGTTGTTAGAATTATTCTGAAATGTACTTGTTGATCTCAGTTTATTTTATATTATAATATCGACATCTGATCTCCCTACTCTAGTACAGCAGAATGATTTGGACAATAAATAATTCTACCATTTCTAGCAATCTAGGACTAGGACCATATACTAGACTAGGCATAATATTGATAATCATGATAAAATTAAATTAATATGCAATGTCATATTTAAACCCAGATGTTGTGTGTCCGGACAGGCTGTGTATCCGGACAGTTGATTTAAAACAGCAATTTGAAGAAGTTTACAAAAAATATTTCATAAATATTATGTTGGACAATGAAAGGACAAATATTCATGATGATTAGTGAGCTATTTGATGAATATATTTTTAGTTAAAGGTAAAGACCAGTATTGGAAACACCCCAATTTTAAAAATTAAATGGAAGCTCTCATTACCAATCATGTGAAAGAATATGTTTTGACTAAATCACTAATACATGATGATAAAAAATTTGCCGGGAAACCGCCTATACTAATTCATAAATTTGGTAATTTGTTTCTCTCATGGTCGTGTGATGCGTGTGAGAGATATAGGGTAGTCCCATATACATCTTTCTGTGTATAGTGCTTGTAACTTTACGAAGAATGGGCCAAATTTCTTATCATTTTGATGATTCCAGAACCTTGCAGATGCTAGATGCTAGATGATCAACCTTTTCTGATCGATTCCACAACGTTTCTTTCACAATGCAATCGCATGACCATTACTGGTCTTTACCTTTAAATCCGAAGGCAAAAGAGAAGTCTTTATGTTTGTTAAGTGTCTGGACACCCAACCTTCCATCATACAATTAGAGTTGCAGATTGCAGATTAATAAATCTACTGCTAGATACTAATAACTATAACTATTGTTTGTTATGCAGGCACTTGAAGCTGGGTACACCAGAATCATCAGTTCATCAGGTAAAGTAGCCTTGCCAGGAAGGGAAATAGTATCTACATTTATATATTTTTGAATGAGAGAAGGGGCGGGGGGGGGGGGGGGGGGGAAGAGAGGAAAATCAAGAGGTCATATTGAGTCATTTGAATGAAGCTTGAAGCAATCCTTGAAAATAGATGAAAAATGTAGTTGCAGTAGTGTGATAGTATTATTTTGTTAAATTCTATGTTATTCAGCTTTTAAAATAAATATGATTGCAGCTAGGGACCTCCGGGAACATGAGGCCACCCTTGGTATTAAAAAAAGACATATTATTGTTATTATTATTGTTATTATTATTATTATAAAGCTGGACAAAATGAATGAAATGGTATTCAAAGAAATTTGAATGTTAGTATAAATGCAATTTAAGCTGTGTAAAGCACTAAAGCAGGCTGCATACAGTTAAAAGAGACACCCATGATAAGTGCCTAGTCTGGTATTATAAGTTCAATTTGTTTTCACAATTGAGAGCATTTTCAGTAACATAATACAGATTTCAGAATAATTCTCTCAGCGTTACAGATATTTTTGTCTCTCAACTGTTGTCTTATTTTTGTGTTTGATTTCCCTGTAAACTAGGAGGTAATGCTGGTTATGCTGCTGCTTATGCGGCGAGACAACTTGGTATGCCTGCTACCGTTGTGATTCCAGAAAGCACATCCAAATTCATGGCCGACAAAATACGGGGTCTTGGAGCCGATGTTATCGTCCATGGAAAAGTAGGCGAAACTGTATTCTTTCTTCTTTTTTTTCCTCTCTTCTTTTGTTGATTGAATGACACGACACACACACCCAAACACACTCACGCATACAGGGTTATGGCGTCAACCGTGGACCAAGTTTAGTACTTGTGTGTGTGTGCGTAGGTAATTGCCAGCAACCGCGGACCACTCCATAGAAATCTACATCAAACCGCGGACGTACCTGCTATGGTATGATCCAGGTAGCGAGCGCCTCTCCCGCGCAGTCATCAAAGGGGGCGCTGTGACATTTCGCGATACACATCGGAAATATTCAAATGCCCCCTACGTCGTAAATTTGATACGGCGGAACCGGTATCGCAACCGTGGACGGTCCCCCATTGCAGGTACGTCCGCGGTTTGAGGTAGTTTTCCATGGAGTGGTCCGCGGTTGCTGGCGTTTACCTGCGCACACAAAACAACAACATGCATTAGGTAAAAGGTCCTGCACAAAGATCAATAATTAAGACAGATGAGTTTGCATTTGGCAGTTAGAGTCAATCTTTGTCTATGTATAAAGTTAATGCTTTGTAAATCAAAAACAAACAAAAATGATGGAAAATGCATGGTGCAAGGTAATCCTATTTCTAATAGGCCTTAGCACATGTAGTTTGATGTGCTAAGGCCGAGGCACATGCACATTTTGATTTAAATTTGTTTACAAAAACTGTTCAAATTTAAATTATTATTTTTTGTTAGTTTAATTGTGTTTAAATTGGACAAAATATCAGATCACTCCGCCATCACCTCATCTGACAATATTCTCTGTCATTCAACAGGTATGGGACTATGCTAATGAACACGCCCTTCAACTGGCCAAGGAAGATTCTTCAGCTGTAGTTATTCATCCTTTTGATCATCCAGATATTTGGTATGATATGACATGGAATGAATTCAGAATTTTAAAAAAGTTGTATTTTTATTTACAATATATTTATCCTTTGATTCTTGCATTCACTCCCATTCTCATTGTGTTTGTGAATTCACCAGTATATGTAGAATATAATATTAAGATGTTGGGCTAACAGTTCATTAAGCCATATGAATGTGTGATATATCATAATCAAATCTCATCCATCGCTAACTTTCTTTCTACCTTCACCCCCCCCCCCCCTCCCTCTCCTCCCCATGGTTCAGTGATGGATAACAAAAATTAGATGGTATTTTGTGAGTATAAACCAATTATAGCTGCATATATATAATTAATCACATTTTTGTGTCAATATTATACATGAACATTCTTGTCAAAAACTAGAAGGTTATCATAAGTTCTCTTTCTTCATATGAATGTTCCTCACATGATAAAAAGGCTGTTGCTCTCTCTATATCCTTTGCAGGGAAGGCCATGAATCTATAATCGTGGAGATCCAAGACCAGCTTCATGGCAAGAAACCAGACGTGGTGGTGACGTGCGTCGGGGGCGGGGGCCTGCTCTGTGGGGTGGTTCAGGGTCTGCAGACGGTGGGATGGGGCGATGTTCCCGTCGTTGCTATGGAAACCTTTGGCGCTGAGAGCTTCAATGCTGCAGTGAAGGCTGGGAAGCTTGTGACGCTACCAGATATAACCAGGTGAGAAAATCAACTATCAGATTTTTCTCATTGCTTGCAAAATGTAATGAAATAATAAGAGCCTCTCCGCCCCCCCCCCCCCAAAAAAAAAAAAAAATGAAAAATGAAAAATAAGAATTAATAGACAACTGAATGAATAAATGAATTAATAAATTAATGAATAGTGAAATATAAATGAATGAATCAATAATGTCTTGTTAAATTTCATAAATCATAAGAGCAAGATACACATTACGCAATACCAATATATAGATCCAAAGTTGATTCCCTTATATGAATTACCGGTAATTAAATGTGTATCAGAGATTAAAATATTTCTAATTGATTATACCGATCTAAAACATTCTCACATTTACAGTATGTGCAAGTGTCTAGGTGCGCTACAGGTCAGTCCAAAGTGTTTGGAGTATCATTCCAAGTATCCCATCCTCTCTTGTGTCGTTCCTGACAAAGACGCCATAGGTGGTTGTCTCAGGTTGCTTGGTATGTCGCCGATTACGATTTAGCATCAAGACAGCTCTTTTATCTAGTGCTTCCTTTTCACCTGGGGGGTGTTTCACAACCCAGGACCAAAATCCAGTTGAAACCAATTGGAGCAAAACCAATTGAAACCAGTTGCCAACTGGTTTCAATAGGGAAATTGGAACAACTGGTTCCAATTGGAACCAGTTGAAACCAATTGCCAAACTGGTTCCAATTGAAACCAGTTGAAACCAATTGCCAACTGGTTCCAGTTGCCTAATTGGTTTCAACTGGAACCAGTTGTTCCAATTTCCCTATTGAAACCAGTTGGCTTCAACTGGTTTCAATTGGTTTCAACTGGTTTCAATCGGTTTCAATTGGATCCAATTGAAACTTACAGTTGGCATAAACTTAATTAGTTATAAGTTAATTAGCTCTTGCACTAATCATCGCTCATGTCAACACAGAAGCATTGATATATGTGTCTACAAGTACAATGTAAAGGGCATTATAATATGCAGACCATATAATATACTTAACAAGGACAGCATTGCCATTATATATGTTTGTATTTTATGTATTTTGTACATGGTTAGTGTTTTACTAATCAACTTTTAATCTGTGTAATTACAAAAATATGTTACTAATGAACATGCTTATCATTGCTAATTAATCTTTATATTTATCTAAAACAAATGCATTACTTGCAAATGAAAATTAATTAATAAATACATTGTAAATCAAAATAAATTACAAAAAACATTGATCTGCACACAAGCAGATAATATGCAAATCAACTGGTTTCAATTGGATCCAGTTGGGTAACTGGAAAAGAATTCTAACTGGAACCAGTTGGGTAACTGGAAATTACTTCTAACTGGAAATGAATGCTAACTGGAACCAGTTGGGTAACTGGAAATGAATTCTAACTGGAACCAATTGAGTAACAGGAAAATCATCTTACTGTTTCCAGTTGAACTTCTAACTGGAAATGACTTCTAACTGGAACCAAAATATTGAGTAACTGGAAAAATCATCTTACTGGTTCCAGTTGCACTTCTTATTGGTTTGAACTGGAAATGAGTACCCATAACAATATTTTCCAGTTCGGCAATTGGTTTCAACTGGAAATTTTCTATTCCAATTGAAACCAATTGAAACCAGTTGAAACAAATTGAAACCAGTTGGAGATTTCAACTGGTTTCAATTGGATTTTTGTCCTGGGAAAGATCCTAAGTTTAACTTAACTGTAAGTTGGACTTAAACGGTATGGAGAGCCATTTTGTAGCCTTAAAATAAAATATATTCTATGTATTTTAGACTTTTCAGAAATTCCACATCAAGAAAATGAAATCTCCTTGATAAAAGAAAATATGAATGATTTGAATCACCATTTTATGCCTTTTAATATAACTTTAAAAAATATTTTCTAAGATGCTAACGGCTTTCCATAATTTTGAAGTCCAACTTAGAGATAAGTTCAACTTAGGATCTATGTGAAACACCCCCCTGGTTCTGCATTGGTATTGCATGAAAACTAATATGCTAGACCCTGGGAAGGTGGAAAGGATTTTAGTAGAATTTGGTGGAGTCAATTTACAGAAGCCCACTGTCATTTTTCTTTATAAGACGGGGCCCAGCACTGTTTTAAAATATTATTATTATTATTATTATGATTGGTTGTTTTTCTCTTGATCAGTGTTGCTAAATCGCTTGGCTCCCTGAGGGTCGCTGAGCGCTGCCTAACCCTCAGCAGAGAGCACAGTATTCTATCTGGTGTTGTCACTGATCAAAAAGCCATTGATGCTTGCCTTCATTTACTTGGTGGGTACTCATTTCTAGATTGCATGGCTTGTCAAGGTAGCTTTATGGCCAAATGAAGTGGCACGAAAATGTGCGTCTGGAATGCAAAATGCATAATTTGAGGGTTCAGTGACACAAAGACATAACTCCATATTTTGCCTAAATGAGTATTTGATATCAAAATGTTCAGAAAAATGTGGGCTTTCCAGGAAACACAAAGACTTAACTCCACCCAACACCCCATTGAAGTTAATGGCTTGTGAAACATAGACTTAACTCCGGCCCAAGTGCTCAGTGACACATAAACCACTTTTTCTCAAAATGGCCGAAATGGAGTTACTTCTTTGTGTCACTGACCCCTCGAATTGTAGAAATTGATTGTTTTGTCACAAAGAGGTAGAACAGCATCATTAGGGTATGGAGCTGGTAAATACATCTATGTGTTTATATCTTGATGTTAGGCTCAATGTTACCTAGATTTTCATTCAGATGTGACAAATTAGAACTTTTAAATTACTGACATTACCTTTTGCCCTCCGAATGCATCTTTTTTTGTGCCGGTTTATTTAAGCCAAGCTACCTTATTATGCATGTATTCTTTTTTGGTTGTAACCCAACTCCTAACTCATTGTCTCACCCATGCCTAACCCTTTCTTTGCTTTGGCTGCTTACATGTGTTTTTAATGCTGCTGTTTCAGATATTTGCAAAGAGGCCATCTGAATCAAAATTCGTATAAAATCTAACACTAGCCATAATAAGAAACCCCATATCGTCGGCCTTATGCCAAAAGGGCCTTAACCCGATTTTGGGGGTTATTGAGTTATTAACATCACCTTGTAGATTTCATCATTCTCTTTAAAATGATGTGCTTCACTTGTTGAAATTCGATTTATTTATGAAGATAATTATGAATTTCAAAAGGGCCTTAACGCGTATCTCATCTTTTTCCTTACGCCAAAAGGGCCTTAACCTACACGGCAAATCTTTTATCAATGACAGATTATTTCGTAATTTCCATTTAATTCAATAAATATCAGTAGAAATACCATTAAAAACATGATTAGTCTACTATAGACACAATGTACTTAAAATAATCACTGAAAGTATATGTCATGAATTTAGATCATGAAATCTGAGTGAGATTTAAATTAGGTGTGGATGCATGAAATGCGACCGACTCATTGAAATACGCAGATGTCAACGTATGGGACTGTGATGAAAAATAAACATTGAAAAAGGTGTCCTAAATGTACGATCTCTAAAAAATAACTTTACCGAAAGCTGCATTATATTAATAAAAATATTCAGATATCAAAAATACTTTTTCAAACATATAATTAATCAGTTTTATCAGTTTTCGTGATCCATTTGCCGTAGGAGGGCCTTTCTGGCAAACCAAAGGTGTTGCGAAACAAGAAAATTTCCTTATGCCAGAAGGGCGCTAACTATGCGCGCGTAAGCGCGCATAGTTACGCGTACGATAACTGCAGGTTAAGGCCCTTTTGGCATAACGCCGCGTTGGTTACGCCCCTTTTGGCATAATGCCGAGTAGGTTACGGCCCTTCTGGCATAAATACGCTACATTCAAGCCTTATGCCAAAAAGGCCCTAACATGTTTTTTGCACATAGCATGTACAATTCTGAATATTTTATAACAAATTTAACACATTTCATGTAAAACTTAATAACTTAACACATTTATCGAAATTGGCTTCAAAAACAAAAAAAACGACCACAAAGTTTTGATTATTAGAGAGGCCAAAACCTTTAAACGCGATTATCTCGGAATGGCCAAAAGCAGTTAAGGCCCTTTTGGCATAAGGCAGACGATATAAAAAAAAAATTGAGAAAAAGTAAGACTTGTGCATAGTAGTAGGGTTGCATAATACTTCATAATATCACAATCACAATATTAAAATAAATGAATACATGTATTTGATATTGACCTTTGTCATTATGCTATGTATATTCACTATTTAAATTATAGTGACATTTATGTGTTCCTGTTAGCAAGTTTTAGAAATTGTTAATCAAGTAGCTGTCATATAAAGTTATCATAAAAGAGATTCTAGCAGAAGTGTCATGTATCTTGAAGAAAAGATAGCTGCAGCTTTCATCAAATTATTTGAGGACTTTTACATGTATGAATATTAATTCACTTGTGATGAGGAAAACCATTCTTCTTTACTCCCAAAATGAATGGAAAGGCAGGAAATTCCTATTTATCTTGCTCTACTCGCCAGATGATTATCCAGTAGGTTTGCGGTTGCACCATGTGTGTGAGAGAGAGAGAGGTTTGAGGAGTCCTGAAACAGGACTCTGACTCGGTAATCTTTCTTGGAGGAGTGTAGTCCTGAAATTATCGTTTCATAAAATAATTTGATGACTTTTACATGTATCAATATTAATTCACTTGTGATGAAGAAAACGATTTCTCCCAAAACGAATGGAAAGGCTGGAAAATTCATTATCTATCTTTGCTCTCTACTCACCAGATGACCATCGTATCTTGGTTGAACCGGCTTGCGGGGCAGCCGTATCAGCCGTCTACAGTGATGTCTTAGGCGAGCTGAGGGCTGAGGGCAAGTTGCCCAAGAAGCTAGGATGTGTGGTCGTCATCGTGTGCGGTGGGGGTGCCATCAACCTTCAAATGTTACTCAAGTTCAAGGAAGACTGTAATCTATGATTTAATTCATCGCAGAATGGGGTGATTCAATGAAATGTGTCCTGTATGGCGTATGTCTTTCATCCACTTACCTCATCCAAGAATCATCGCAGCGATCGGGCGATGGAAGAACTTAATTTAATTTAATTTAATTAAGGAACTTTACATAACTATCTTGATCTAAAGAGACACGAACGAAGATCCAAGACTCATATGGATAATGGCTTTTTATGACTATAAGCTTATGGCTTTGCAAAAGCATCTTATCCCTTTTCCTTTACAAATTATCCAAATAATTGGATGTTAGCTTTACTTTCATAATTATATACCACACTTAAAAAGATCATGTAATCATATTTTACGATTGTAAATTTGATCAGTTGCGATTAAAATGTTGAAGGGTACTTCTCAGGTTTTCTGTTGAGAGTCAGAAGGGTATTAAAATTTGTTAAAGGGGAAGTCCACCTTGATATTAATTTGGTTTTGATAGAAGCAGAAAAATGAGAGGAACAAGTCAGTGAAATTTTGAGTGAAATGCCATTAAAAATAAGAAAGTTATTATTATTATTATTATTATTATTATTATTATTATTATTATTATTATTATTATTTATTCGGCGTTTCAAAAACAAGAACAATACAGAGTAATATGCAAATTACAGCAATTACAGGAACATATATATACATGATAAAGAAACGACCTGAATCAGAGATGATGGGGCTGCCTGGGTTTGGAAAAGGTTAACTAAATTACCATGGCCCACAGGTCTTCCTTCCCACACCCCCTTCAACTCCATGAAGTTTTGATCAATCACAAGTTGGCAACAAGTAAGATACGTCACAGCATTGCCAATTTGTGTTTCACTAATGATAACTTAAAAACTCCATAACTTTCCTATTCTATTTTTAATCAGACATTGTTCGAACTTTTACAAATTTGTTCCTCTCGTTTTTATGCTTTTAATAACGAAATTTAATTATCATGGTGGATTTCCCTTTAAATGGTGTGAGTCAATCCCCTTCTTGCTCTCAGCATTCACAGGATGTATATACACGGATACAAGGTGACCTGACATATATGTGTATGCTTTTTAAATTTGGCAGCTCTTTGGTGTGCATTTAAGTCCTGTTTTTTCTTCTATTTGTGTACAGATTTTATTCAAAGTTGAAATCAAATGCTGCCAACATTTATTTTAAAGAAATAATATACTTGTGTATTATATTATTCTATGTACCTAAGCTCTAATTGTATTTCCTTTTGTCATTCAGTCATGAAATATACATGTAGTTTATAATATCTTATAATAATAATAATAATAATAATTGTGTAAACTCATGGCGCTAGCCCAGCAACAGTTCTTGTTATACACTGTATAATATAATTGTAATCCATATGATGAGAAAACAGAATATGAGAATAAGTGAAATACAAGGTATGCAAAAATGAGTTTCATGTGAAATGATTCTGATCCCAGTATTTGAAATAGATCTTAAGATTTGGAAGATAAATCCAGAAATGAAAAAGGCTTCATAAATCAGAAATTGAATTGTGGACCCAATTTCATTTTCTGAATAATTAACCCTCTTTCATTGTCTGCATTACAACCCTTTGCAGTAGGCCTATCTTTGTATTACTAACAAATCCTTAGATCTTTGAACCTTTGGAGTAATGAACCTTTAGCAAAATGAGTTGTAACAGGCAATATGTATTCCAGCACTGAACTATGCCATGGTACTGTTCAAAGCCTTTTTTGAATATTTAATAAATGAAGTATTTAATATGATAATGGATGTACTAAATTTCAAATGCCAAAGATGAAATCACAGGCTAGTATCAGGGTTAATAAATTATGTAAATATAGAATATACAGAATTGGGACCAGCAAATCAAGTCCTGATATTGGGAGTTAGCTGTGCGTAACAGTGTTCCTTACAACAAAACTTCAAACTTCTCCTTATTTTAATACCTCATTAGAACAAACTCCTTTCAACCAAGAAAACTTCCATGTCATACTAAAATCTTGTTCCAATTGGAAGCAAACAAACAAACAAACAACAACAAAAAGAAGCAGAAAACAGAGAACTGTCATGGGTAAATTTAACTAGAGGTTGTAATAAAAGTATTATTTATCATGAAGTTCTACTGTAGTTATGTTGTATGAATGTTAAATAAAGTATAAATATTTGGCTACATGTAAGGGATACTTGTTGAGTTTAATGTGACAATTGAAAGTATAAATTTCACATTCAATCTACACAGGATAATATCACAGACTGTTCTGTGGAAGGACGGTCAATTTGTGGTTAAAGTGCCTTGAATTTATGGGTTTTAAAGCCACACTGTCCTACTTGTAGCTACTTGCTCCCTCTATAGAAAACAATGCCTAAGCGGTGCCTGTTGGTCCTCCATGATCCTCTTTTTCTTATGTTAATTGAGAGCTGAGTTGATGAGATAGCCACCTGTCAGTGACCATGATGGGTGGTCTAATACCTCCTGGCCAAACTAGTACAGACAGGCTTTAATGCAAATGTAGGCTTCTTCATAGAACGGAAGCATTCACTTCTTTAAAATTATCACAGCTTTTATTCTGCACATCTGAGTAATGTGATTTTAATCATACATGGTGATCAAGCTCTCATTGTGTGTGTATGAAGAGTATTGTACTTTGATGTGAAATAAAGAGATTTATATATTATTCACAAATACATATCTGTTATGCTTATTAACATAACTGCGTGAAATTTGAAAACAAAGACAGTTCTATATAATGCATTGCATACCACTTTAAATTGCATTTGTCTTTTTGGATATAGTCTTGATATACAAATTAACACATTCCAACAATTTCATGAGGGTGGAAACCACACTAAGTGGCAAATGTAAGAAAGGTGTGCAACAGGGGGAAATGACTTGATCAGAAAGACAGAGAGAGAGAGAAGGGGGGGGGTTAAAAGGGCTATTGGTCCAATTTTTGATTAAATGCAACGTCCTCAACGCATAATGTCTCTATGGAAAGCATAGAGTTGCGATTAAGAGTTTCAGTGTTCACTTATGTGCAAGCGAAAGAGAGAGAGAGAGAGAGAGAGAGATGTAATATACATTGGGGGGAGAGGGGGGAGGGAGTGATTACAAGATACAACTGATGTGTTCCATAGGGTCAATGTCGCTATTCATAAGGTCCGCTTTTCATAATTGGAGAAAAGGGTCATTATTCATAAGGACCGCTATTCATAATCAAAGAAGAGGGTCGGTATTCATAATATTAGAAGAGGGCCGTCGCCGCTATTCATAATACGAAATTGGGGTCGTTATTCATAAGGGTCCCTATTCATAACATTACACAAGGGTCGGTATTCATAACACAGAAAGAGGGTCGCTATTCATAATACGACGAGAGGGTCGCTATTCATAATACGAAATGAGGGTCGCTATTCATAATGCAAAATGAGGGTCGCTATTCATAAGGGTCATTATTCATAATCGATGAAGAGGGTCGCTATTCATAATAGGAGAATAGGGTCGCTATTCATAATATGAGTAAAGGGTCGCTATTCATAATAGAAGAAGAGGGTCGCTATTCATAATAGTGAGTGGGGGTCACTATTCATAATAGGAGAAGAGGGTCGCTATACATAATACGAAATGAGGATCGCTATTCATAAAAAGAAATGAGGGTTGCTATTCATAATACGACTAGAGGGTTGCTATTCATAATAACAAATGAGGGTCGCTATTCATAAAAAAAATTGAGGTCGCTATGATAGGACTACAGGGTTGCTATTCATAATATGAAATGAGGGTCGCTATTCATAATACGAAATGAGGGTTGTTATTCATAATAGGACTAGAGGGTTGCTGCTATTCATAATACGAAATGAGGGTCGCTATCCATAATAAGAAATGAGGGTCGCTATTCATAATACGAAACGAGGGTCGCCATTCATAATACGAAATGAGGGTTGCTATTCATAATAGGACTAGAGGGTTGCTATTCATAATACGAAATGAGGGTCGCTATCCATAATAAGAAATGAGGGTCGCTGTTCATAATACGATACGAGGGTCGCTATTCATAATACGAAATGAGGGTCACTATTCATAATACAAAACTAGGGTCGCTATTCATAATACGAAACAGGGGTCGCTATTCATAATGCAAAATCAGGGTCGCTATTCATAAGGGTCATTATTCATCAGGGTCATTATTAATAGGAGAAGAGGGTCGCTATTCATAATAGGAGTAGAGGGTCGCTATTCATAATAGAAGAAGAGGGTCGCTATTCATAATAGGAGTAGAGGGTCGCTACTCATAATACGAAATGAAAGTCGATATTCATAATACGAAATGAGGGTCGCTATTCATAATACAAAATGAGGTTCGCTATTCATAATAGGAGTAGGGGGTCGCTATTCATAATACAAAATGAGGGTCGCTATTCATGATACCACGAGAGAGTCGCTTATATTCATAATAAGAAATGAGGGTCGCTATTCATAATATGAGTAGAGGTTCGCTATACATAATAAGAAATGAGGGTCGCTATTCATAATATAGAGTTAGGGTCGCTATTCATAATACGGGATGAGGGTCGTTATTCATAAAATGAAACAGGCCTAAGCAATATCCAAAATGCTCATAACAAAGGGAAATGTTGGATGGAGGACACCCCAAGGCGACACATGGCCCTAAATATTTGTCTTGTTTTTAAGTAGGTATATTTCACCTTTTATCTTTAATAATTATATAGAGACATCTCCCGCCCTAATGGTGACGCAAAAAAAGGAAAACATGAACATATATAATCGTATCGTAATTTGACTTTCTTGAGGGAAATGTTGCCCCACCACCCTGCCCCCGACTGATCTTATCCAGGCTATGACAATGCGACATTATAAGTAGACCAAGCAGGCCCATTTTTATAGTTATTCAAGGACTGAGTTTGCTATTTCAGAAATTGTCATTGTTTATACAATTATGTTTAGGTAGAAAATAGCTTTTAGTAGGAATTATGGACCTACAAATTATATAGCGGGGTTGGGCCGGACCTACTTACTGTACGGAGAGGGGTGAGAGGTGGGGGGGGGGGGGCACTTTAGAATTGTGATTTGCTTGAGACTTTGGGGAATAGGGGGCTTGAACACTTTCGGACCTTCACGGGTTTCGCGTCATGTATCGTACAAAGAGGTAACGCAATCCGAATATGAATCAAACATTTATTGTCTTTTTTTGTTGGGGTGATGGTGATGGGAAAGGAGGTCTGATAAGGTCTTTTTAGTGCGACACAATTAAAGTAAATAATGCCGTGAGAAATCTGTATTTGTTTTTATTTTGGGGTGGGATGTCTAGCCCTCGTAGCAACAATGGGGCCTGATATAAAATACAGAACAAACACAGGAAAAATACGGAATGTAAACATACATATGAATGCAGGTTCAATACAAAATAAACATTAATTAATTAATTCGAGACATGATAAATTCAAAGCAAACACAGCAAATACATGTAATAGTTATTCGAGTCGATAT